GGGTGCGTAGGAGATAGTGGGCGCCGCTGATGCGTCGCCTCTCGGCCGTCCCCTCGCTGGAGACCCTCGATGAACGCTCAGACCCACAAGGCCCTCACCGGATTCTTCGGACGCTGCTTCTTGCTGTGCGTCGGCTTCCAGGTGCTCATCTTCGGCCTGTACCTCGGCGTGCACGACTGGGGGTACGAGATGCACTCCCGCTTCTTCAAGCTCACCGTCGAGCAGTTCGACATGACGTGCTACGTGTTCCTCGGGGCGATGAAGACCGTGGGCATCACGTTCTTCTTCATCCCCTGGGCGGCGCTGAAGATGATGGCGCCGAGCCAGGGTGAATGACGCCGTTTCGAGCCCCCGGTCCCGGGAATTCCCGGGACCGGCGACGGCGGGTCACCGCACGTCACGCAATCGGGCGTCGATGGCGTCATTCCGTTCGCAACGACTGCTCCGACGGAGTACGCTATTTGGTTGAGTGAACGCACAGATGATGGGTACCAGGCGGTTCCCCTGCACCTAACGGAGAAGGCCTCGTGAAGACCGGATACAACCGCTTGATTGCCGTTTGCGTGTGCGGCTGCCTCGCCTGCGGCGCCGTCGCCGAGACACACGCGGCGGTCATCCAGATCGACGTCACCACCAGCACGCAAGCCGACTTGCCCCTGACGGCTGTCGACCTGACGGCCGAGGGCAGCACCGACTGGGCCTTGTGGGGACTCAGCGATTTTGACACTCCCGGCGACGTGGCGCCGGACGCCGAGAAGACCGGCGGCGCGGCGATCGGCCCGCTCGCGGTCTTGAACGGGGACCCGATCCTCGACTTCTCTCAGTTTTCTCTGAGCCCCCCCTTCAGTTGGACCGACGGCGTCGGCATCCCGTCGGGGACGTCGGAAGCCGCCGCGCTGGTGAGCCGTGAGAACGGCTCCGGCTCCGGCTTCACGATCCCGGTCGACGTCGCCGCCGGGCCGAGCCGTGTCACGTTCTACGCTCAGGCGTTTCAAGCCGAGGGGACGCTGACGGTCGACTTCGGCACGGGCTCCATCGACTCGGTCGTCGAGAGCGACACGCCGGGAGTGCTCGGCGACAGCGGTTTCGTCTTCACCATCGACGTGGTGGCCGCCGCGCCGACAACCCTCGATCTCCGCTGGGAGATGACTGCTGACCTCGGCAACTTCGAGAGCGTCGGTCTCTCGGCGATCACGGTGGGCGCCATCCCCGAGCCGACGGCCGGGTTGCTAGCGCTGGTCGCTGTCGTGGCCGCCGGGCCAGCACGCTCACGCCTCGGGCGTGTCGATCCGGTCGAGTAACTCGCCGATCAGGTTGCTGTGCGACTGCTGGCTGTAGACCTGCGCGACCGCGGCGGCTTGCGCGAGCGTCTGGGCGACGGCCAGGTTGGCCGTCTCCTCGGCGAAGTCGGCGTCCTCAATCTGACTGAGCGCCTCGGTCGTGATGACGATCTGATCCTGGGTCAGCTGTCGGTCGATCTCGAGGCCGCGTTGCGACGCCGCGACGGCGGCTTGCTGGCCCAGCGTGTCGCTGGTCGAGACTTCGACGACCTCGGCCGCCAGTGCGGTGTCGCCGTCAACGAGGTTGGCCGCCTCGCCCGACGAAACCTCCACCGGCAGCGAGACCGAGACCAAGTCGCCGGCGATCTTGTCGAGCGACTCCAGCGCCTCGTCGACCGAGACCTGCAGCGCCCGCTTCTCGTCGACGCCGATCTGGTCGCCGGTCGCCTCGACGATCTGGGCCCGCAGCTCGATAAATCCCTGCTGGAGGTTCGTCAGCCTTGAAGCCCTTTCGGCGAGCGAGAACTCCTGCCGGTCGATCGTTTTGAGCTTCGCGTTGAGCACCGTCAGGTCGCCGCGGAGCTGCTCGGCGGCGACGAAGCCGGCCGGGTCGTCGCTCGGCCGGTTGATCCGCTTGCCGGTCGAGAGTCGCTCGACGGCCTGGCCGATCTTGCCGACGCTGTCGGCGTGTCGATTTCGGATCGACAGCGACAGGGCGCGATTCGGGGCGGCGGAGATGATCATGGCGACCTGGGCGGGGAGGCTTCTCAAACTTACGTCGGCAGGGCCAACCGGCGGGGATCGCCGGACGCCCCGCGGCGCCGGAAGTAGCGGCTCGCGCAGGCGGTCGTGCCGCCTGCAGCGGTCGCGCGCCCCTTCACCCCGGTCGCCTATCGAGGAGACAATCCACGCTACGCCCGCCCGAGAGCCGCAACGAGACCCGCTGGATGTCGCCCGAGGATCACCACACGAAGCCGGAGACCGACGGCGGACGTGCGCCACGCCCGACTGCCGAGGAGTTGACGCGCGTGGCGGACTTGCTGGAGCAGGTCGCCGCCGACCGCAGCTTGTTGGCGGAGCTCGACGAGGCGGAGCGGCAGCGGCTGCTGCGGTACGCGAACCAAGTGGCGTTGCCCGACCGCGGCGCCCGGCGGCGCTTGCGCAAGGCGTTCAAGCAGCGCGATCAGGCGGAACTCGACGAGCTCCGCCAACAAGACGAACAGACGCTCGCCCAGACCGGAATCCGCCGGCAGTACAGCGTGCGGCAACTCAAGGCGCCGGCGCCGCCCGTGCCGTTCGACACGCCCGAGGCTGCGCCGCTCGACGGGCTTCAGGACGAAGCTCCCCGCCTGCGGCTCGAGCGGAGCTGCTACATCTGCAAGGCGAAGTACGACCGGGTCCACGAGTTCTACGACGCGCTCTGCCCGGAATGCGCCGAGCTGAATTGGACCAAACGCCATCAGACGACCAACCTGTCCGGCCGGTACGCGATGGTCACCGGCGGCCGCGTAAAGATCGGCTACCAGGCGGCCTTGAAGCTGCTGCGCGCCGGCGCGCACGTCGTCGTCGCGACGCGGTTCCCGCGCGACGGCGCCCGGCGGTTTCTCGAAGAGGCCGACAGCGACGAGTGGCGTGACCGCTTGATCCTCCAGGGCGTCGACCTGCGGCATGTGCCGAGCGTCGAGGCGCTCGCCGACCACCTCGTGGCGACGCTTCCACGGCTCGACTTTCTGCTGAACAACGCTTGCCAGACGGTCCGCAGGCCGCCCGGGTTTTACGCCCACCTGATGGAGGGCGAGCGCCGGCTCGCCAAGTCGTTGCCACAGTCGGCGCGGCCGCTGCTGGAGTCGTACGAGGCGCTCGAGAACGAAACCGACCCCGACGAGCGCAACCAGATGACGGCCGACAGCCTCGCCGCGGCGCTCGTGCGTGGCGGCGCCGAAGCGGCCGAGCTGTCGCAGGTGCCGCTCGCGCCGGGCGACGAGCAGGGGGGCGAGGCGCTGTTCCCAACCGGCCGGTACGACCAAGACCAGCAGCAGGTCGACCTCCGCGACGTGAACAGTTGGCGCCTCCGGCTGGCGGAGGTGCCGACAGTCGAGTTGCTCGAGGTGCACCTCGTGAATGCCGTCGCGCCGTTCATCCTCAACGCCCGGCTCAAGCCGCTGATGACGCGCGTGCCGTCACGCGACAAGCACATCGTCAACGTCTCGGCGATGGAGGGCGTCTTCTACCGGGCGTACAAGACCGACAAGCACCCGCACACCAACATGGCCAAGGCGTCGCTGAACATGATGACCCGCACGTCGGCGCAGGACTACGCCGCGGACGGGATCCACATGAACAGCGTCGACACCGGCTGGATCACCGACGAGGACCCGGCCGCGATCGCCGAGCGCAAGAAGGCGGAGCTGGGATTCCACCCGCCGCTCGACATCGTCGACGCCGCCGCGCGGATCTGCGACCCGATCTTCGCCGGCCTGCTCACCGGCGAGCACGTCTGGGGCAAGTTCCTTAAGGACTACCAGGTCGCCAACTGGTGACGAGCAACTCGTTTCCAAGCGAGTAGGCAGGGCAACGTCCTGTTGCGATCTTGGGGTGAATCACCTAACTGCGTTGTCGTTGACTCAGCGGTCACGGCGGCCGATAGTGCTTCTCCCTCCCGCCCCAACGAAGCCTCGGAGATAGCCGATGGTCGCCTTGTTGATGGACACCTGCGCGATCGCGTTGATCGTCGCGCTGGTCAGCGGGAACGATCAGGTCGAGTGGCTCAAATGTGGGCTCGTCGCTCTGGGGATGTCGATCGTCACGTCTGTCTGCATCGCCGCCGCCGCGGCGGCTGATGGGCCGGTCGCGTTCTATGTCGCCATCGTGATCGCCGCTGCTCTAGCGGGTGTCATCGCTTGGCTGACGATGGGCTTAACCTTCCAGCGCGGCATGATCGTGGGGGCGGTCTTCGCGATCTGGAAGGTCGTGTCGGCTGTGGCTTTGAGCGCGCTGTTTTCCTAGCGCTTGGTGGCATCGCCTAGCCTTCACTGAGCCGGCGTAGTGCGGCTACACCGACGTCGTCATCGCCAGCCGCCACTCCCAGACCTCGCCGTCGTCGGGGTGGATCAGTTCGCTGTGGAGCGAGAAGCCGAGCTTTCGCAAGATCGTGGTCGACGGGCCTTCCTCGCGGAGCGTTTGCGCGGCGACGACCACGGTCGGGTCGGCCTCCTTGGCGATCTGCACGAGCTCGCGGGCCATCGCCGTTGCGAAGCCGCGGCCCTCCTGGTCGGGCAGCGTGAAGTAGGCGATCTCGACGCGCAGGACGCCGCCCGAATCGGCCGGCGGCGTCTTGAACGCCGCGAGGCCGACCGGCGTTCTGTTTTCGACGCCCAGATAGCCGGTCCACGGCGGCTGGTAGGCCGCCGCGTCGTTCGCCGCCGCGGCCTCCCCGACGATCGCGACAAGCATCGCCGGGTGGTCGCTTATGGTTTCGGGCAGTGACCCGTCCGCCGGGAACGGCACGAGCTGAACGTTTGGCATTGGGCGCGGAACGCACGGAAGAGGAGAGGTAATCGAGAGACTCCGGCGGGACAGCCAATGTCCACGACAGGTTCGCGGTGCTGTCACGGCGACCGACGACCTGGACGGGCTCCACGCGTCGCCATCAGCGCAAGACGAAGCCCCCGGTCAACGACCGGGGGCTCAATCCGTTTTGGTCACGGTGACAGCGGCCGGTCAGTCGTCCGAGTCGCGACGGCCGACCTTCGCGGCGATGACGAAGGCGATCGCGGCGAAGCAGCCGCCGAGCGCCGGCTCGGGGACGGCCGAGAAGTCGTAGGTCAGGGCGACACCACCCGGGACGACGAGACTCACCTCGTCGAAGTAGCTGTCGACGTCAGTGTTGAACGTGCCGACGTTGACGCCGAGCGTAACCACGCGGGCCTGGGCGAAGTCGGGGTCGTCGTTAAACAAGTCGGCCCAATCGCCGAGCGTGCGGATGGGCGGGCCGCCGGCTGTGTTCGGCTGCTCGAATCCGCCGGTCCACCACCAGCCGCCAGTCGACGAGTCGATGCTCACTGACTGCCAATCCCCGGTGGGGACGAGACCTGATCCCCCACCGCCTTGGTTCCACGTCGGCTCGTAGACGAGCGTGCCGAAGCTGTCGTTGTCGCCGGTCGCGACCGGTGAGAACAAAGAAAGCTGAAGGGACGGCGCCGCGAAGGCGTTCCCACCCGGGACGTCGACCTTGAAATAGTCGTACGAGAGCGAGCCGGTCGACAACACCGTGAACGCGTCGCCGAAGTCTTGGAAGGTTTGGGCGCGGCCGCGGTCGGAAGTGCTAGGACCGGTTGTCAAACGGGCAGCGGCGGGACCCAGCGGTTGGTTGTTCTCCAACGCGCCCCCGACACCCGTCAGGTCGGGAATCGACGCGGTGCCGCCGGCTCCGCTGGTGTTGTACCAGACGTTCGCCACCGGCGGGCCGGTGATCGGCAACAGTCCATCGACAGCGATCACCGCCTCCACCGGAGTGGTGAACGCGGCCGTGACGAACGCGGCCAGTGGGAGCATCCATAAGGAGCGAGCGATCCGCATCGGGGTGTCTCCGAGCAATTCGGTTGGGGCATACCGTCGCGCAGCGGTCCCGTTCTAAGCGGTCGCGGCGGCGCCAGCAAGAAACAATTTCTCGATTCCTGTCACTTTTTCATCGGCAGCCGGAACCAACAAAAAAAGGGCCGCCGGCAGACGCCGGCGGCCCTTTCGGAAGTGTGAATTCCGTTGCGCCTCAATACATGTCATCCATGCCCGGCGCCCCGGCGCCCTTCTTCTCCTTCTTCGGAGCGTCGGCGATCAAGGCGTCGGAGGTCAGCAGCAGCGTCGCGACGCTCGCGGCGTTCTGCAGCGCGGTGCGGGTGACCTTCACCGGGTCGATGACGCCCGACTTCACGAGGTCCTCGTAGGCGTCGGTCGCGGCGTTGTAGCCGTTGGCGCCCTTCGCGTCGGCGACCTTCTCGCAGACGACGCCGCCGTCTTTGCCGGCGTTCGTGGCGATCGACTTCAGCGGCGCCTGAGCCGCGCGGAGCACGATGTCGTAGCCGACCTGCTGGTCGTGCGACAGATCGGCCGGCTTGACCTTGCTCGCGGTGCGAACCAGCGCGACGCCGCCGCCCGGGAGGATGCCCTCTTCGACGGCCGCCCGCGTGGCGTGCAGCGCGTCTTCGACGCGGGCCTTCTTCTCCTTCATCTCGCTCTCGGTCGCGGCGCCGACGTTGACCTTCGCCACGCCACCCGACAGCTTCGCGAGCCGCTCCTCAAGCTTCTCACGGTCGTAGTCGCTGCTGCAGTTGTCGATCTCGCGGCGGATCTGGTCGATCCGGCCCTTGATGTCGGTGCTCTTGCCGGCGCCCTCGATGACCGTCGTGTTGTCCTTGTCGATGATCACCTTCTTGGCGCGGCCCAGCTCGCCGAGGCCGACGGCCTCGAGCTTGATGCCGAGGTCCTCGAAGATCGCCTGGCCGCCGGTCAGCACGGCGATGTCCTCGAGCATCGCCTTGCGGCGGTCGCCGAAGCCGGGGGCCTTCACGGCGGCGACATTAAAGGTCCCGCGGAGCTTGTTGATGACGAGGGTGGCGAGCGCCTCGCCCTCGATGTCCTCGGCGACGATCAACAGCGGCTTGCCGGCGTTGACGACCGCTTCGAGCACGGGGACGAGGTCCTTGACCGAGCTGATCTTCTTCTCGTGGATCAGCACGTAGCAATCCTCGAGGACCGCTTCCATCGCCTGCTGGTCGGTGACGAAATAGGGAGACAGGTAGCCGCGGTCGAACTGCATGCCCTCGACCCACTCGACCTCGGTCGCGAGCGACTTGCCCTCGTCGACGGTGATGACGCCGTCCTTGCCGACCTTCTCCATCGCCTTGGAGAGCATGTCGCCGATCTCGGCGTCGCCGTTCGAGGCGACGGTGCCGACCTGCGCCATCTCTTCGGTCGACTTCACCTTGATCGAGAGCTTCTTCAGCTCGGCGGTGATGTCCTCGACCGCCTGCTCGATGCCCTGCTTCATCTGCACCGGGTTCACCCCGGCGACGACGGCCTTGAGGCCCTCGTTGAAGATCGCCTCGGCGAGCACGGTCGCGGTGGTGGTGCCGTCGCCGGCGACGTCGGAGGTCTTCGAAGCGACCTCCTTCACCATCTGGGCGCCCATGTTCTCGTAGACGTCCTCCAGCTCGATCTCCTTGGCGACGGAGACGCCGTCCTTGGTGACGGTCGGCGAGCCGAACGACTTCTGCAGGATCACGTTGCGACCCTTCGGGCCGAGCGTGACCTTCACGGCGCGGGCCAGCTTCTGCACGCCGCGACGCATCGCGTCGCGGGCTTCTTGATCGAAGGCGATGATTTTCGCCATGGGGGAACTCCGGTGTGTTGGGTAGTCGCTCTTTGCTGAGCGGTATTTTGCTTCGGTGAGAGAGGCGCTAGTTCAAAGGCGCTGGCGCTAGTTCTTGCGAACTCGGCCCGAACCAAAGAACTAGCGCCTAGCGCCTTCGAACTAGCGCCTATTCAACAATGGCCAGGATGTCCGACTCGCCCATCAGCAGGTACTCGTCGTCGCCCAGCTCGATCGTCTCGGGGGCGTAGCTCGTGAAGAGGACCTCATCGCCGACCTTCACCTGCAGCTCGCCGCGGCTGCCGTCGTCCAACAGCTTGCCGGGGCCCACCGCGACGATCGTGCCGCGGTTCGGCTTCTCCTTGGACGAGTCGGGCAGGAAGATGCCGCCGGCGGTGGTGTCGGACGACTCCAGACGCTCGACGACAACCTTGTCGCCCATCGGCTCGAGCTTGACCTTCGTCTTTTTCTTGGTGGCGGTCGCCATCGGCGAGTTCCTCGCGGCTTGGAAGGAATTGGGTCGGTTGACTCGCGGTCGGGCCTCTTGGTGAAGCGACGCCGCGTGATGTGCGGGGGGCGTCACGGCGCAGCGGTGACGCAGTCGGTGGCGGTAGAAGGCAACTCGGGCGCCAATGGGGCCGAACCGCCTATTCGCCGGGATTCGCAGCGATCACTGGCAAGGCCGGCTTATCCGGGGCTGTCATTCTGGCCCCGGCAGGCCCTCGGGGAGGGGGCCGGTACGCCGCGGGCTGCCAGTTTGGCGGACGTGTCGTGGCTCACGCCCCCGCCGGTCGGTTTGGCGAGCCATCGTCCCCATCGAGGCGTACAATACCCGGCCGACGGCGTCGCCGCCGGTTCTCCCACTTCCAGGCGAAGGAGACCGAGATGCTCGCCCAGCCACCCACTCCCGCAAGCAGTCCCGCGAAGCGTCGTGCCCGTTGGCTCGTGACGTCGGTCGCGGCACTGCTGCTGACCGCCGTGCTGGTCGAGTCTGCCTCGGCCGTGCCGCAGTGGCGGCAACGCCGCTGGTTGACGCGGCCCCCGATCGACCCGACGATTCGGGTTAACCCGCGCTTCACCAGTTCGCGGCAGACTTACCGCGCGGGCGGGTATTCCCGCTACGCAACCACCTACCGCGGGCGCCGTTGAGGGCGCCCGGCCCCACTCTCGAAGGAGAGCCCTCCGATGTTCCGCTCGAAGAAACGAATCGCCCTGTCGCTGCTCGCCTTGATGGCGATGGCTTTCGCCGTGCCGATGGACGCCGAAGCAGGCCGTTACCGCCGCGTTGTCCGCCGCGCCTACCGCCCGGCCGTTGTCTACCGCGCTCCGGTCGTCGTCCGCGCCCCGTACGTTGGCGTGCGAGGCGGCTACTGGGGCGGCGTCAGCGTCCGCGCTCCCGGCGTGCACGTCGGCGTCGGCTGGTGAGCCGCACGCGTCGTTCTGTTCAGAGACCGAATAGCCCCGACCAAGCTTGGTCGGGGCTATTTTCATGTCCGCTTCACGTCTGGCGAAGACGCGCCGTCAGTCGCCGTCGGGCGCGAGCGGTGGCGTCCCCACCAGCCGCTTGAAATCGCCCTGCTTCCAGCGCTCGATGTCGGTGCGGTACCACTTGCTGAAGCGGTTCTCGCTCGGGCCGCCGGGCAGGTTGGTCCACGCCTCGTCGGTCGCCATGTCGGCGACGAAGTGGTAGCTCGGCGCGAAGGTCGACTCGCGCTTGGCGGTCGCCTTCAGGTGCCCTTGGAACGGCGTCGCGTGGCAGCCCGGCATCGGCGTGCTTGAGGACTGGAAGCCGAGCAACCGCCCGGTCGTCGTCTGCCCCGAAGCGCCGCCGAAGAACCGGTCGGTGAAGTGGAACGAGTTGACGTCGCTCCAACTCCGCTCCGGTTCGGCGATTGCCCGTTCAGCCGCGCGGCGGATCATCTCGCCCTTGTCGCGGACGCGCCACCAACTGCTGGTGACCTTCGGCAGCACGCGGTCGATCGCCGTGAGGACCATCGCCGAGTAGCCGAGCCGCGTGGCGAGGTAGAGCATCCGCCGCCAGCCGATGCCTTCTTCGTGGCCAAAGATCTCCAGCAGCACGTGCCGGTAGAAACCCATGAAGAGCGCCGCGTCGCGGCTCTCGGGGTCGAAGCGGCAGTCCCACGCGGTGAGGCGCTCCTTGAGCGGGCCGTCTTCGACGTGCGCCAAGAGCACCGGCAGCAAGTCGCGCGCGTGGCGGCTGACGACGTCGTACTGCAGCTCTTGCATGTCGGCGAGCGTCGCGCGCGGCAGCTCGGTCAGCCGCTCGTCGATCCGCACCCGGCGGTAGTCGTGCAGCCCGTGCGAGTGCAGCGGCGTGCCGTCCGCCAGGTAGAGCTCTTCGTTCGCTGAGGCGACGAAGCCGCGCGCCGGGTCGTGCTCGCTCGGCAGGCGATCGGCCGGGACGACGCCCTGCCAGTGATTCGCCTCGTCCCACGCGCCGACCGGCACCAGGCCGGACGCCTTGCCGCGGATCGGCAGCCAGCCGCTCGCTTGCTTGCCGATGTGGCCTTCGCTGTCGGCGAACACCCAGACGAGCGACGGGTGGGGCGATCGCCGCACGACGTCCATCGCTTCGGTCGTCGATCGGGAGGCCACCACGTCGAGCCACGTGCCGATCGCCGCGCCGCCGCCCGCCCGGCTGCCGACCCATGCGACCGACAAGTGCTTGCCCGCTTCGGTGGGCGGCTCGGTCAACACGCCGACGTCGTTTTCGTAGATCGCTTCCTCGATCGCCTCGGCGCCCTTGCGTTCGATACGTTCGACGCGCGGCTCGTAGTCGAGCCACTCCTCGCCGCGGCGGTACTGCCAGGCTTCTTCGGCGCCGGGCTTCTGCCGCACGTCTTCGATGAAGTGGTCGCTCGTGTTGGCGTGCATGTACGTCACGCCCCACGACAGCCGCGACGTCCGCGCGACCGCGAACAACGGGCAGCCGGGCAGCGTCGCGCCGAGCACGTACTCTTGTTTGCCGTCGTCGTCGGTCCACCGCAGCGCGGCCTCGTACCAAATGGCCGGCAGGCGGTTCACTTCGAGGTGCGGGTCCGACGCCAACAACGCCGCGCCGGTCGCGCTCCGCTCGGGCGCCACCGCCCAGGCGTTGCTGCCGGCCAGGCGTGGCAGGTCGGCAAGCAGCTCCAGCGCGTCGTCCGACAACTGCTTGCCGAAGCGGACGTCGCGGAGCGGCTCGAAGTCGACGCCGTCCAGGTACGGACGGAACAGCTCGCGAAGCCGTTCCTCCTCCACGCCAAGGTGGATCAGCTCGAGCATGACGCGCTCGGCCTCTTGCTCGCCGATCGCCAGGCCGGCGAACGACAGCAGGTTGCCGATCAGCATCACCGCCTCGGGCGTCCACGGCTCGGGCTGGAAGCCAACGGCCCACATCGGCAGCGTGCGGCCGATCTCTTCCAGTCCGTCGTTCACGCCGCGGCTGTACCACTCGAGCTGCTCGAGCACGCGCGGCGGCAGCATGCCCGCCTCCTCGCTTAGGCGGCGTTGGATGCCGGCGCGGCGGAGGAACCGGTCCATCTCCAAGAGCTCGGGCCGGTTGGCGATCTGCTCGGCGGCGCGCCCCGAGGCGACGGTCCGGGCGAACTGCATCTGCGTCGGCCGGTCGAGCGCGTGCAGGTACCCGAGGGCGTAGACCGCCTCGAGCCAGGTCGCCGCCTCGGCGTGCGGGACCCCCGCGTCGTCGCGATACGCGGTAAACTCGACCCGCGAAGCCTTCGGTTCCATCCGTTCCATGCGGGCAGTTTAGCGCTTCTAGGGGAAATGAACCACAGAGGCGCCGAGAGCACCGAGGAAGGCCAATGACCAATGACCGCGCCCCAATGACCAACCAAGGTCGCGAGCGTCCCGTGGTCATTGGGGCTTGGGCATTGTGGCTTCGAGCCATCCCGTTTATCGCCCTCTGGGCCGTCGGCTTCCTCGCGTTCACCGTCTGGCCGTTCGCGGCTTCTCTCTACTGGAGCTTCACGCGGTACGACTTGATCTCGTCGCCGCGGTGGGTCGGGTGGCGGAACTACGAGCGCCTCGCCGAGGAGCTGTGGTCCGGCGGGCCGTTTGGGCGGGCGCTCTGGAACACGGCGTACTACGCCGCGGTGAGCGTGCCGCTGTCGGTCGCGCTGGGCGTGACGCTCGCGGTGCTGCTCAGCCAGCAGGTGCGCGGCGTCGCCATCTACCGCACGCTCTGGTACTTGCCTTCGGTCGTGCCGACGGTCGCGGTGGCGATCCTCTGGATGGGACTGCTCGACCCGCAAGCGGGGTTGGTGAACCACCTGCTCGCGTCGGTCGGCTTGCCGGAGCAAGGCTGGCTCAACAGCACCGCTGAGGCGGCGAACCCCACGAGCTGGGGCGAGGGAGGGCGGCTTCTCGGGTCGAAAGACGCGCTGGTGCTGATGGCCCTGTGGGGCGTGGGGAACTTCATGGTGATCTACCTCGCGGCGATCGGCGACATCCCCGAGTCGCTCTACGAAGCGGCGCGGCTTGACGGCGCCGGACCGCTGCGACGGTTCGCGACGATCACGCTGCCGATGCTCTCGCCGGTGATCTTCTTCAACCTGGTGATGGGGCTCATCCAATCGGTCCAAGCCTTCACGCAGGTCTACTTGGTTAGCGATGGTCTGGGTGACCCGGCCGGATCGACGCTGATGTTGTCGCTGCACCTGTTCCTCGCCGCTTTCCGCGACCTGGAGGTCGGCTACGCCTCGGCGATGGCGTGGACGCTCGCGGTGATCGTCCTAGCGGTCACCGTCTGGCTCTTCCGCGGCTCACGCCGCTGGGTGCACTACCGCGCGTGAAACGCGTGGTTACGATCAAGCCCGAGGCAAACGCTTGTCACGGCCGCACGTTGTGGCGCTCCTCAGTCGACTCGAATCAGAGTGCTCCTCATGAAGATGTTCTCGACGCCGCCGTTCGCCGTGCTGTTGGTCCTGGTCGCGCCGCTTGCTTGCCACGTCGGGCACAGCCGGGCGGGTCAACCGAACATCGTCCTGCTCTACGCCGACGACATGGGGTACGGCGACCTGGGCGTTCAGAATCCCGACTCGAAGATCCCCACGCCCCACCTCGATCGGCTCGCCGCGGAAGGGGTTCGGTTCACCGACGCACACAGTTCCTCCGGGATCTGCACGCCGAGCCGGTACGCGATGCTGTACGGCCGCTTCCACTGGCGGAAGTTTCACGGGATCGTCACCAGCTTCGGGGCGACCGTGATGGACTCAGACCGCGAGTCGTTGCCCCAGGTGCTCCGCTCGCGCGGGTACCGCACCGCGTGCATCGGCAAATGGCACCTCGGCTGGGACTGGGAAGCGATCCGCGACCCGTCGGTCGCGAAGCAAGGCAAGAGCTACCCGCCCGAGGCGTTCGACTGGAGTCAATCGATACCTGGCGGGCCGCTCGCGTTCGGTTTCGACAGCTACTTCGGCGACGACGTGCCCAACTTCCCGCCCTACGCTTGGATCGAGAACGATCGCGTGACCGAGCCGCCGACGGTTCCCTATGCACGCAACCCGCGTCCGACGGAGGGCGCGGCGGAAGGCCGACCCGGGCCGATGGTGGCGGGGTGGCGACAAGACGCGGTGATGCCAACCCTCACGACGCGGGCCGTCGAGTGGATCCGGTCACGCCGCGGCGACGAGCGACCTTTCTTCCTGTACTTCCCGTTCACGTCACCCCATGCCCCGATCGTGCCAACGGCCGATTGGCAGGGCAAAACCGAAGCGGGCGGCTACGGCGACTTCATGGCCCAGACCGACGACACGGTCGGCCAGGTCCTACACGCACTCGAACAGACCGGATTGGCCGACGAGACGATCGTCGTGTTCACCTCGGACAACGGGCCGGAGGTTTACGCCTACGAGCGGGTTCGCCAGCGAGACCATCGCAGCACGGGCGCGCTCCGCGGGCTCAAACGCGACATCTGGGAGGGAGGCCACCGCGTGCCGATGCTCGTCCGCTGGCCCGGCGTCATCGAACCGGGCCGCGTGTCCGACGCGTTGATCAGCCAAGTCGACTTGTTCGCGACGCTCGCGGCGGCCGTCGGCGCCGAGGTCCCCGAACGCACGGCCGACGACAGCCACAACCAACTGCCGCTGTGGCGTGACAACGCGCCCAGCAGACGCGACACGCTGGTGCACAACACGAACAAGAACGGGTACGCCTTGCGCCACTGCGACTGGTTGCTGGTCGACGCCCCAACCGGCGGCGTCTCACGCGTGCCGGCCTGGTACGACAAGGCCGAAGGCTACGAGCAGAACACCCAACCCGGCGAATTGTACGACCTTCGCAGCGACCCCTCGCAACGAAACAACCTCTTCGCCGAGATGCCCGACAAGGTTGCCGAGCTACGCGGCCTGCTGGCCGAGGTCCGCCGACGCGGTCAAGTACGCAACCGCTGAGGCAGCGTTCGGCCCAGGTTCTCGAACCCGGCCGGCGAAGCCGCAAGAGGTTTCGCTGACGCCCGGCCAACGCCCATCGGCTGGCGTTGCTTTAGCGCGAAGTCTTGTCGCCTGCGGCGACCCCGGTTTGAGAACCGAGGCTACCCGCAGCCTCGCGTCAGTCGAGTGTGACGACCTCGTCGCCGTTGCGTGTGGCGAGGGCGCGCCACACCACCGGCTCAATGTCGTTGGCGAACGTCCGCGCCGAGCCGTCCATCCGCACGGCGTTCACCACGCCCGGGTGGTAGCTCCGGGCGGTGACCGACGCATAGGTGACGTTTGTGTCGCTGACGCCGACGCGTGACGTGTTGAAGTCGGCGTCGACGTCTTGGCCGCCGATCGAGCAGAGCATCTCGGTGTTCGGCGGGAACGTCGCCGTGAAGCCGGCTTGGTGCGTGCGACCGTCGACCCACTCGGTGTGGCCGGAGTTTGTCTTCTCGTCGCCGCCGAAGGCGCAGACGGCCAGCGGGTCGTTGGGATCGGGCGTGTCGGGCGCGTCGACGCCGCTGTCGCGCAGGTAAGGCGTGTACGCCTTCACCTCGGCCATCATGAGGGTCTTGCTCATGCCGTCGGTGAAGTTCGCCGGGCGGAAGCCGACGTTCGGCACGAATGCGCCGCCGCCGTCGCTGCCGTCCTTCGGGTCGTACACCTTCCAGACGCCGCAGTTCACGCCGTAGTTGATCGGGTAGTCCCGCGGCACGCCGGCGCCGTTGAGCCGGGCTTCGTCCTTCACTTCGGACGGGCAGATGAGCACGTCGACTCGCTGCGCCTTGAGGATGCCGGCGGCCAGTGCGTCGGTTTCCGTCGCATGCACGACTCCGTTTCGGTCGAGCAGGTGGTAGTCCTGCTCGAAGTCAATCGCCGTGGCGAGGTTGAACTCCTCGACGTACGGCAGCACCCGCGCGGGGGCGCCCCAGCGGTAGTGCCCCTCGCGTGTGCTGATGCTCGGCGGGAACCGGCCGCCGGCGACCTGGAAGCCGTGCATCGCGAGCGTCATCTGCCGCAGCTTGTTGAGGCACTGGTTGCGACGAGCCGACTCACGGGCGGCCTGCACGGCTGGCAGCAGCAGCCCGACCAGGATGCCGATGATGGAGATCACCACCAGCAGTTCGACGAGCGTGAAGGCCGGAAGCTGGCGTCGACGGGCGATAAACACGGCATTTGCAGACACTTAGAGCCCCTCTCTTGTTGAGATTGAATATCAACTAAGCGAGAGTCTCGACCCGGGCAACAATTACGTCAACCCTCCCTGCGAAAAATGACCTGCGTTAGCGGGCCAATCAGCGGCGACCAAGAAAGCGACTTCGGTCGTTGAAGCGAACGACGAGAATGGGGTTCGTCCCACGCGAACCGACTGGCAGGACGGAAGCCCGAAGACATGCCCCCGACAAAACTCCAAAGCCTGAGCAGGCCAAGAGTTGCGAGTCGAAACCGGTGGGTATTGTCGGAGGCGGCGTTTCCAGACGCCCCCGACAAAAGTCGGTGAGAGTAAATCCGCTTCGATCAGCGGACGTACCGGCCGACTTGCAAGGCGACGCGGTCGGAGGGCCGCGTCGGGCCGATCGCCAAGCCGAGCCAGCCGTCTTCGATGACGAACTGGTTGGTCGACAAGCCCACGAGCGCCGCGGCGACCTGATCAGGCGTGTCGGGGCCGACCGCGACCAACGGCAGCCGCTCACTCTTCGCGAGCACCTTGCCGAGCACGCCGTGCAGGTGCATCCGGCTGGCGGTGCGGAGGCGGCCTTCGATGTGCGGCGTGCCGTCTTGCACGAGCGTGGCGTTCACGCCATCGACCACCGGCCGGTAGAAGGCGTGGACCTTGAAGTCGCGGTGGCGACGCCGCGCGACCGACAGCTCGCGGAACGAGAGCACCAACTCGGCGCGGCCGTCTTGCAGCTTGAAGCGGGCGGGCTCGACCTCGGCGAACTGGAGGATGGCTCGGACCTTCTCGTCGGCCGGCTGCGGCTCGACGCCCAGCTTCTCGACCATCCGCTCGCGGAGCTGCTCCGGCGTCAGCCGGGCGCCGGCTAGCTCGAGGCCTTCCAGGGCGTTGTTGAGCGTCGACTCGTGCAGTTGCACGCTCAGCAGGCTGTCCGACGGCGCCCGCATCCGTGGCGTGTGGGCCGCAAGCTGCTGGTCACCGGCGAGCCGCAGCCGGCTGATCAGACGCGTGTCGGTGGTCCGCATCTCGAGCGGTTCGACGCGGAGCCCCAGTCGTTCGGCCCGCGACAGGACGGCCTCTTCGTACCGGGCGTCGAGCCTGGCGATCTGTTCGGCGACACGGTTGTCCAGCTCGCGACGCACGCGGTGCTCGACCTTGGCCTGCGTCTCGACCCGAGCGCGGCCGCGGAGCCTGGAGTACTCCTTGCGAGCGGTGGAACGGGCGTAGTCCCGCAGCACCGGGACCCGGTCGTAGTTCGTCGACAGACCAACCAAGCGGGGCGACGCGCTCGTTGCTTCGACCACCGACGGCATCGCGTCGAGCGACTCGCGGGACACCACGACGAGCTTGGTGGCCGAGAACCGGGTCACGCCATGGCTAACGACCCGCGCCGGCCGGCCGTGTGAGGCGGTTCGGGCGATGACGTTCCCCTCGGCCGCGAAGCCGATCCGCCAGGCCGCCTCGTCCGGGATCAGCTCCACGCCGAGTTGCGACTGCGTCGTCGAGCGGCCGGTCACCAGCGTGCCGGCGATGCGGTCGCGGACCGGACTCGTCGTCGGCTCGGCGGCGGGCAGGAGCCGCTCGATCAGCCCCGCGGCGATCGCCACCCGCACGTTGGCGTTGCGATAGTTCGTCTCGATGGCGCGGGAGAGCTCGACCGCCTCGGCGTCGCTCGACTGGGCGAGTCGGACCGCGTCCGTGGCGACCAGCTTCGCCAGACGGTATGACGGCCTGGCCTCGTACGCCTCGAGCCGCGCGGCGACGCGAAGCGGCGCCGCATCGGCCGCGTCCGTCAGGCGGGGTAAGGCTTCGCCTCGCGACGCCCAACGAGCGTTGGCGAGCTGGTCAGCGGGCAGGACGCCGCGCTTCGCGAGCGTGACGGCGTGCTCTTGGCTCGGCCGCCACGTGGCGACGCGACGATCGATCGCGTAAGCCGCCCGTCGCAGCTCCGTAGCAGACGCGCCATCGCGGAGCTGCTCCGCACGGACCCGGGCGTCAGCCACCGCGTTGACAAGCGCCGCGAAGTTCGAACCGATCGCCAGCTCGTCGCCCGCCGGCGTCGCGCCGAGCGTCCGCAGCCGGTAGGCGGTGGCCCAAGCCCACGGCGCGAGGTCGCGGTCTGCGGCGACGCGGTCGAGCTGCACTGCCAGGGCGCGCGGCGTCGGGAAGTCGACGCTCGGTGCGTTGGAGAGGTACTCCAAGATGGTCGGGACGACGATCGGCGTCGTCACCGGCCGACGGTCGCGGACCACCGGCTTACGCGCGACGGTCTTCGGCGGCGCGAGCAACAGGGTGCTCCGCGCCGGCGCGGGCCGCGACGGTTCGGTCGCCGCGGTCTTGCCCGCCGCGTCCGCTTGCCACCGGCTGGCCTGCTGCAATCGAGCGACCGCCCATTCAGCCGGCGTCCGGTAGTCCGGCTCGGAGATCATCCGGCCAGCGGCGCGAGCCAACTCGACCGAGTCGATCCCCGCGATCGTCCACTGGGCGCGCATCCGCGAGGTGACGACCAGCCGTGCTCGGTCGCCGGCTCGCCAACGCGGCTCGGATGGCGTCATCACGACGAGCCGACCTTGGTAAGCGACCGGGCCGCGCTTGAGTGATGGCCGCGCGGCGTGGGCGGATCGCTTGCTGATCAGCGGCGTTGTGACGAGAGCGTCGGTCGCGTCCCGGTCGATCGGCGGGGCGACGGCGAGACCGATCGCCAAGGGCTGCGGCGCCCAGCCTTCGAGGAATGACGGCTCCTCGGCGAGCTGCAGGTCGGGCGTCTCGAGCGGAGGCAACTCGGCCAGCGGCCAGCGGAGCGGCGCGTGCGTGCGGGTCGGCGGCGCCGTCGCCACCGACTCGGCGACTTCGCCCGATCCGATCACCGCCACAACGGTGAGTCCCAGCGCGCCCCACGCCAACGCGACCAGCATCGCGGGGACGATCTCGAATTGCCGATTCTGCTCCATCGCTCGCTGCCTCCTGCAGCTTCACGCCCGTGACTCGCTTGGAGCCAGGGCGGCGTCCGTGTCGTCCGTTGCTTGTTAGTCTGTTGCGCTCCGGTAACCGGAACGCATCGCGGTAAGTGCGTCTAATGGGTGGTTTCGGTAGTCTGGGTTGACTAGTTGAGCCGTGGAGCGGAAACCGAACGCAGACGCTGGCGCGCGTTCGGGAAAGTCCACTTATCCGGTCTGAAGCGACCGAAAGAGAACGAGGCGGGGGTGAGCCTTGGACGCGATCGCCCAAGCCGTCAGCCGTGGGAGCGAGTGCGATGAGAGAGTCGGCCCTACAACTCGCCGCGGTCGCTCTGGGAGGCGCCGCCGGGGCCATGCTGCGTCACGGCGCGGGCATGGCGTGCCAGGAGCTTTGGGGCGGCCGGTTCGGCCACGCGACGCTCTTGGTCAACGTCGTCGGCTGCTTCGCGCTGGGGCTGTTGATGCACGAAGCGTGGCTCGCCCAAGCGAAGCCGGCGACTTGGCACGTCGGCGTGACGGTCGGCCTGTTGGGCGGGCTGACGACGTTCTCGACGTTCGGCTACCAGACGATCCGCCACGTCGAAGCGGGCGAGCCGGTGCTGGCGCTAGCGAACGTCGCGCTGAACGTCGTGCTCGGCCTGGGCGCGGCGGCCGCGGGGCTTGTGGCCGCGCGCGCCTGGTGGCCGATCGCCTCATGAGCTAGCGACGGAGTCGCCGGCCGAGCAACCCGATCACCGCCAGCAACACGGCGCTCGCCGGCTCGGGAACCGCTACGGCGTTCGCGTCGCCGGCGGGGTCGCCGAACGCGTTGACCCAGTTGGCGTAGTCGTCGGCGTTGACGAGGAAGTCGTGGTTGTGATCCGCCGCCGGGTGGGTCGTCTCGTTGCCGAGCGTCCCCTCGGTGTCTCGCCAGACCGTGTAGTCCGCCGCGTTGACGACGCCGTCGCCGTTGTAGTCGCCGGTAAGGTAGTTGGGGCCGCCGACGTTGGTTAGCAGACGCGTGCCGTAGGGGACCCCTTGGTTGCTCTCCAGGATGCCCTGATCGGGCGTCGGCTGCGAAGAGGGCGTGTTCGGGTCGCCGCTGGCCAACTCGCCGTGGTCGCCGGTAAACGACTGGCGGAAGTCGATCGGCGAACCGGGAGGCAGCTGCGCTTCTGGTATCGCGCCGGAGCCGGTGTTGTCCGTCAGGTTCGAAGCGTGCCAGTCGGCGTTGGTCTGGCCCGTCGAGTTGCCCCACCGCCCCACGTACTCGATCTCGTACCCCACCGCGACGTACTCGGCCCCCGGCTCAAGGCCAGGGTCGATCTCACGGATGCCGCCTTCGAAGAAGACGAGCGACCCAAGTTCCTCGGTGCCGTAGACAATCGGCGCGTAGGCGCGACCGAAGACGGTCTCCAGCGGCTCGAAGTACGAGACCGCGTCGAGGATGGTCCACCCGTCTTGGCCGTTCGGGTCGTCGAGACCGTCGTTGCCATCGTCGAGGTCATCGCCCAGAACCGGGGCGGAGCCCGAGTCGTTGCGGATCAGCATGGCCGTGGTCCCGCCGTTCTCAATCGTGCCCTCGTCGCCCAAGTCGGAGGCGCCGATCGTGCTGCCCGAGCCCGAGCCGTATCCAGGCCCGGTTCCCGTGTTGATCAGGTCGGTCGCGCTGGGAACGACCGAGTAGCGGCTCGGTCCCGAATCGGTGGCGCCCCCCTCCAGGTTGCCGGCCTGCCGGTAGACCAAGAAGCCGTTCGAGCCGAGGGACTGACCGCTGAGATCGAAGATGTTGTCGATCGTGCCCGCGCCGCCTGTGCCGGCGACGTTGTCTTCGCCCTCGAGGAAGATCAGGTAGTGATTGTCAAGCGACATGCCCGACGGGCCTCGCAACTCAATGAACTCGTCGCGTTGGTCGAACCCGGCTCCGCCCGGGTCGAAGAACAGCTCGTTGATGAACAGTTCCGCCGCGACCGGCGAGGCCATCGCGGCAACCAGAACGACAGCGGCGTAGGCGGGGACGAGTCGGGTCACGGGGTGCTCCAAAGTCATCGTGGTGGTCGCGCGAGGCGTCGTGCGTCGCGATCAACAAGGCGAGGCCGCCAAGGTTACGCGACCATCGTTGAGGAGCACGAGGACAGAAAGCGTTAAGCGTGTGTGAAGTTTTGGTGAATGCGTCGCGGTGTGTGAAGAATCGATGAACATGCATGGCAAAAGTCGTTGGCGGTCCGTAGCTTCTTCCGTTCCGGACGCGCCACGGCTGCGATCGCCATCGGCTCGCGTCGTTTCAACCCGTCGTATCCGAAGGAATCAGGATGGACGTACGCAGCAGGCGACAGCCTCAAGTCGCGCGAGCGTTCACGCTCGTCGAGTTGTTGGTGGTGATCGCCATCATTGGGATCTTGGTCGCGATGCTCTTGCCCGCGGTGCAGTCGGCCCGCGAGGCGGCTCGGCGTATGCAGTGCGCCAACAACGTGCGACAGATCTGCCTCGCGCTGATGTCGTCGCACGACACGATGGGGGAGTTCCCGAAGGGCCTCTACAGCGCGTCGCAAGAGCAGATCAACGCGACGGGGAATCCCGGCCTCTACACGCCGGAAGACGGACTCGGTTGGGCAACCAAGACGCTCCCCTACCTGGAAGAGCAGGCGATCTACGACTCGCTCTCACAAACCGGGGCGCCCGACATCGATGACGACCCGTGGCAGCCGTTCTTCTTCGTGAAGCTCGCTCTGAACAGCATCCCGTCGCCCATCCCCGGGCCCGACCGGAGCATCTCGACCTTCCTCTGTCCCTCGGTCGATCTTCCCGAAGTCAAGCCGGAGGGCGAGTACTTCGGACTCGGCGCCACGCCCCTCAACACGTCGGGTTACGGGACGTCGCACTACAAGGCTTCGCGGGGCTATCAAGACCGAGGCATGTTTGTCCGGACAGAGGAAGCCGAGCGCACGGCAACCTTCTTCGCCGACTACGACGGCGACGGCGTCGACGAGCCGATTGAGAAGAGGGCGTTCCGAAGCGTACGCATCAAGGACGTCACCGATGGAACCAGCAAGACGATCGCCGTCGGGGAGTCGGCCTTCTACAACCGAGCGCGGGAGTTCCCCGTCTGGATCGGGACGGACTTCCAAGACGCCTCGATCCTCTTCAAGACCGACTACCCGATCAATTGCCTGGTAGGCGGGCCGTGGGCGTACCCCGCGTCGGAAGACCTGCTGGCGAGGTTCCCCGACGAGAGCGAGCGAGAAGACTGCAGCTACGGCTGGCACTCGGGCGGCGTCTTCTTCGGCTTTGTCGACGGCTCGGTTCACTTCCTGACCGATGACCTAGATCGCCGCGTCTACTGGCTGCTGGGCGATCGCATGGACGGCGAGATCATCAGTGACCTGTAGAAACACACTCGCCCTTACCGCCCTGCTGACGCTCTCGGCCGTCGGTTGCGGCCGGGGGAACGGTTACGACGTGGCGCAGGTCTCGGGCACCGTGATGCTCGAAGGCGAGCCTTTGACCAACGCCAAGGTGATGTTCACGCCGGTCGCCAAGACAGGCTCGCTCAAGTCGGGCAAAGCGGGCCTCGGCATCCTGCAGGAAGACGGCGCCTTCGTCGTCGGCACCTACGGTCGAGACGACGGCGCCGTCGTCGCCGAGCATCGTGTGACCGTCATCGACCGCAAGACGGACGATCCGGGGCCAGGGCGTCGACTCGGGCGACGCCGCGTTCAGTTGCCCGAGCTCTTCACCGTCGAGCCGGGTGAAGAGAATGAGTTCACGATCGAACTGACCCGCGACGTGATCGCGAAGTACGGTTCGAACTAAGACTTCGCTTCGAACTTCTCTCGGCGGCCGCGAATCACGGCGCAACCGAGTCCCAGGGCGACGAGCATCAGTCCGGCCGGCTCGGGCACGATCTCAATGACGACGCCCTCGAACCGTGCGCCGTTGCCCGCCTGGGGGGTGAACCCCGGCGCTAGCTCGTTCGGCTCGGGGAAGTATTCGCCGTAGGTCAACGTGAAGACCTCGCCCGCTTGGAACGGGATCGCGAGACCGAAGAGGTCGTCGTCGGCGCCGCCCGTCTCGGTGAGCAGCGTGACGTTCGGCTCGTCGACCGAGGCGACATCGATCAGACGCAAGCCGATCTGTGAGTCGAAGATCGAAAGGACTTCGCCATCAGGTGCGGTGAGGGTGAAGAACTCGAACGACTCGTCTTTGACGCCGTCGAAATAGAGCTCCTCGAGTACGCCGTCGACGTCGAACGAGAACGTGATGGCGTCCGTTTGGCCGGCGAGCGAGCCGCCGAGCACGTCGAACTTGTCGTTGCTCTCGTCAATCGCCCCGGCGACGCCACGCGAGTTGACGCCCATGCCGGCCGAGGAGATCTCGGTTAGCACCGCGCCGGCGGGTGCCGCGGTCAGCGACAGCGTCGCGCCGTCGCCGCCGACGTCGGCGCTCGGCATGCCGTTGATCCCGTTCGCATCGGAACCAAAGAAGAAGTCAGCGGCATGCGCCGAGGCGCCGCCACCGAGCCACGTTAGCGCCAGCGAGGCGAGAGCGAGCGGAGCGAAACGAGAGAGCATCACGGTTCCTGGTGGTAGAAGCCCCTTTGGCGGGGCGTTGGGCTCACTGGGGAAGTAAAAGACAAGCGGCCGCGCGGCGTGCGCCACGCGGCCGCTCGTGTTTCAGCCAAGAGTGGCTCAGACGCGACGGGCGGCGGCGAGGCCGAGGCCCAAGGCGAGCAGCGCGGCGGTCGTCGGCTCGGGGACCAGGAAGCCGGGCGTGCCGATGGCGGGTTGGTTCACGTCGTTCACGCCGATCGTCGTGACCGAGTTGCTGAACGCGCCGAGGACGACGTCGTACGACTGCCCGCCGTTCAGGTCGGCGGCCGGGTAGAGCTCGAAGTCGATGATGTCGAGCAGGCCAGTCGGCGGGGCGCCGGCGGTCAGGAACAGCGTGACGCCGTCGCCGCCTTGGCTCAGGCCCGAGCCCGAGTAGGTGCCAACTTGCGGCAGGCTGACCACCGCACCCCAGAGGTCGGTGAATTCGGTAATCTGCTCGGCGACGGTCGCGTCGCCGGGCTCTTCCGGGAAGCTGACGTCGAGCAGCACGACCGACTCGCCCGGAGCGATCGCGGTGATGCCGGTGATCTCGTCGGCGGTTGTGGCGTCCTGGGAGTCGTCGTCAAAGAACAGCGCGCCGTCCGCGCCGAAGGTGAACGGCATGTCGCCGAAGTTGGTGACCTCGAACCAGTCGTTGGTGAGGTTCTCACCGGGATCGTTGCCGGGCCAGATCTCGGTGATCTGCAGGTCGAAGTCGGCACGGGCCGAAACGGCGAGCGCCATCAGGGCGCAGGAAAACAACGCGGTGCTCTTCATGAGTCTCGCTCCAGAGGTGGGCGGCCGGCTGCCGCCGGCTGGTCGATGGTGGGTGAGGCCCACTGGCCTCAGTGAAGCGAGGGAGTGTCACGACTTATTGCGTGCGGCGCGCTAAGCAAGCGCTAAGATTCGGTGAACATCGCAAAGCCGCCGCGTTCGACGCACGAGCGCACAAGAAAGCCGAGCCGGGAACGCAGGTCCCGGCTCGGCTCGTGGTTGTCTAGCGGGCTGTCACGCCGCAGTTACTTCGTGCGAATCTCGACGCGGCGGGGTTGTGTCTCGGGCCGCTTGGCGATCGAGACGTGAAGCACGCCGTTGCGAAGTTCCGCCTCGACCGAGTCGGGATCGACCGTGTCGGGCAGGTCGACCGTGCGCGTCACTTTGCCGAAGCGCCGCTCGTTGTAGGCGTACTTCGGTGACTCGTCGCCAGCCGACCGCTCCAAGGTCACGGAGAGTTGGCCGTTCTCGACGGTCACCTCCACGTTCTCGGCCGTGACGCCGGGGGCGTCGACCTCGACGTGGAGTTTCTCCTCCGCTTCCCACAGCGACGCGGGCGCCGCGAAGCCGGCCCGGGCGACCGTCGGGCGGTCGGGGCCGGGGAAGAAGTGGTTGAGCAGCGTGTCGACCTCAGCAAGCGAACCGGGCAAGACCTGGCTCAGACGGTTGGTAGGGGTGCACTTGGACATGATTGGGCTCCTTCTCACTCGTTCAAACCGCAGACGCCCCCAACGTGGCGGCGTCTTGATTCTCGTTGCGAGCTTAAGAAGCAAGTGCGGCGCCAAAATGGTTCGTGGAGCCGTAAGTCCATTCGTTTTAACGGCTTGAGTCGCCTTTGTTCCGACGGGCTGGACTCCATCGGCGCCATATTGGCGGCAAGAATGCCCGTGTGCGACGGCAATGGAAGATTGAACGACTGCCATTCTGGCGTCTAAACGCCTGCGGCAGTCACCACGTAGGAGCCCGCGAACAGAACGGCGGGGCGGTCGCCCTCGGCGTCTTCGACTTGCACGACGTGGTCGAGCTTCGCCTGGCCCTTCTCCACTAGCATCTCAGCGAAGTGGGCCAAGTCGGCCGTCGGCGTTGCGAGACAACGGGCGACGACCCGCTCGGTCTGCACCGGGGCGTGGAATTTGATTGAGCTGCGGCGGATGACGGTGGAGCCAGCCGCCTCCAGGTCATCAAGCAGTAGGTGCGTCATCGCCCACCCGGCCAGGGTGCAGAGGGCGTTGAGGCTGCCGGCGAAGGCGGTTTGGTGAGGGTTTCGGTTCGGCCCGAGCGGCATCGACAGGCGTAGCCCGGAGTCATCGAACCCGTCGACGAGGACCTCCATCTGGCCCGCCAGGGGGATCTCCCGGCGCAACAGTTCCTGCAGAGCCAGGCAGCGCTCAGCCGTCTCCGGGGGCGTCGATTGGGGCAAGTCGGGCATCGCAGCGGGGGTCAGTCGTCCGGGGAGGCGGCCGATGCTAGTGGATCGGCCGTCGCCCCACCAACGGGCCTTCTGGCCGGCTCGCCAGCAAGCTGAAGTTGGTGGATTCTCGGATGCTGGGTAGATTTTGGGGAGTAGGCGACCCCGGGAGACCTCGCGGGCGCGCCCCCGACCACCGTATACGCAAGGAGGCGTCGATGGCTTCGCAGCCGCTTCGCTTGGTGCATGCCAGCGACCTGCGTCTCGACCGCCCGCTGCACGGGCTGAGCGAGGCCGACGAGAAGCTGCGCGAGCTGCTTCGCGACGCGCCGCTCGAGGCGGCCGAACGGGTCTTCGACACCGCGTTGTCGGAGGACGCCGACGCGCTGCTGCTCGCCGGCGACGTGCTCGACTCGCGCCGGGCTTCGCCACGCGTCGTCTCGTTCCTCGTCGATCAGTTCGAACGTCTGAACAAACGCGGCGTCTCGGTCTACTGGGCCGGCGGCGTCCTCGACCCGCCCGACGCGTGGCCGCGCACGGAGCGCTTGCCGGACAACGTGACGGTGTTCCCGGTCGGGCGCGTCGAATCGCACGAGCTGCGGCGTGGCGACTCGATCGTCGCCTCGATCCAAGGCGTCAGCCGACACGGCGACCGCGAGGTCGACGCGAGCGGGTTCCGCCGCGACGCGCACGGACGCTTTACCGTCGGCGTCGCCTACGGCACGAGCGACGCGCCGGGCAAAGAAGGGGACCGCGTCGACTACATGGCGCTCGGCGGGCGAGCACGCCGTGCGACGGTCGACCACGAGCCGGGCGTCGCCCACTACGCCGGTTCGCCGCAGGGCCGCTCGCCGGCGGAACAAGGACCGAGCGGTTGCACCATCGTGCAGGTCGACGCCGAAGGCAAGGCGAAGACGCGCTTCGTCGCCACCGACATCGTGCGATGGCAGGACGAGACGCTCGAGTTCACCGTCGGCGTCACGGCCGAGCAACTCGGCACGCGGCTGCGCGAACGGCTCGACAAGCTCCGCGGTCGGGCGAAGGGCGTCCACCAACTCATCGCCTGGCGGCTTGAGGGCGTTGGCCCGATGGTCGCCGAGCTCCGCGACGACGGCCTCGCCGGCGAGCTGCTGCGAGACCTCCAGCGTCACGCCAAGGGCGAGCACCCGATCTGCTGGAGCTACGCACTGCGTTGCGACTCACCCTACGAGCCGCCGCACGAGCAACTCGACCAAGAGACGATCCTCGGCGACCTGCTGCGGCAGGTCGGCGTCCTGCGGCGCAACGAGGCGTTCGTGCTCGACCTGAGCGAACAACTCCCCAAGCCACTGCCCGACGCGTCGCTAGCGAAGATCGCCGGCATCGACGGCGCGGGCGACCGCGCCGACCTGTTCAATCGCGCCGCAAAGTTGGGCGTCGCATTGATGACCGAAGAGGCCTGAGTTGGCCGACGCGGAGACCCCTGGCCGGGTTCCGCCGCGTCCCCACAGGCCTCAGGCCTTAAGCCTGAAAGCTCCCATGAAGCTAACCGATCTGCATGTTGACGGGTTCGGCGTCTGGCACGACCTGCGTCTCCGCGACCTGTCGCCCGGGATCACGGTCTTCTACGGCCCGAACGAGGCCGGCAAGACGACGCTGATGCACTTTCTGCGGGCCATGCTGTACGGCGTGACCGACGAGCGACGCGAGCGTTACCTGCCGCCGCGCGAGGGAGGCCGCCCCGGTGGCGTGGTCGGCCTGCTCAGCGACGACGGTCCGTTCAGCGCGTCGCGGTACGTCGAACGCGGCGACAACGACCGCGGCCGGGTCGTCGTGACGCTGCCCGACGGCGAAGAGCAGGGCGACCGACTGTTGCGCGAGGCGCTCGAGTCGGTCGACGAGCGCACTTACTGCAACGTCTTCGCCATCGGGCTCGACGAGATCAACGAGCTCGGCGCGCTCGAGGGCGCGGAAGCGGCGCGCTGGATCTATCGCCTGACGTCCGGCTTGGACCGCGTGTCGCTGTACGACGTGATCCAAGGGCTCCGCGCGAGCCGCAAGCAGCTCTTGGGGCCGGACGGCGAGCCATCGATGATCGCGGACCTGCTCGGCCGGCGTGAGCAGTTGCAGACCGACATCGGCGAGCTGGCGATCGGGTCGCGTCGTTGGGGCAAGCTGGCGATTGAGATCGAAGAGGTCGATTCTCAGACCGAACAGCTCCAGACGGAACTCAAGGAGTCCGAGCGACACGCCCGGCGGATCGAGATCGCCCTGGGGCTCAAGCCGCTGTGGGCGGAGCGGGCGCGGGTCATCGAAGACCGCTTGCGCTTCGACGGGCTCCCCGACTTGGGCGACAAGCCACTCGACCGGCTCGAAGCGATCACCCGTCGCGGCGCCGAGCACCAGCGGCAACGCGACGTCGTGCGCGGCCAACGCCGGCAGCTGCACGCGGAGATCAAGGAGCTGTCGATCAACGACGTGCTCGGCCGCTCCTGCTGCCGACTCGACGCGCTGGGCGAACAGCAAGATTGGCTCGCCGCGCTGGAGCGTCAGTCCGAGGAGCTGACCGAGGAAGTCGAACGCCTCGACGCCCGCGTCGAGTCCGAGGCGGCGCGGCTCGCGAAACTCTGGCGTCACAAGCCCGACCCCGAGGCGGCCCCCGAGCTCGACGACGAGGTCCTCGACACGCTCCGCCCCGCCAGCGAGGCGGTCCGCGAGGCGGAGCAGGTCGTCGCCGACGTGAAGCGCGAACTCGACGCGACGCGTGGCAACCAGCGGCACTACGAGTCGCAGATGGAGTCGGCCCTCACGTCGAGCGAGAAGCTCGGCCTGCCGAACGACATCGAGGAAGCGGGCGAGTTGGTCTCGATGCTCCGCCGCCGCTTGAAGGCGGAACAGAAGGTCGAGCAACAACGCCGCAACGTCACGAACCTCGAAGGCGAGCGGCAGCGGCTGATCGAGGCGCAGGTGCTCCCGATCGAGTTGTTCCTGCTGCTGACGGCGGGCTTCGCCCTGGCGGCGGGCATCATCTTCTGGCCGTTCATCGCGTCGGTGAACGCCGGCCTCTGGTTGCCGTTCGCCTTGGTCGGGGCGATCGGCTGCTGGTTCCTCCGCCACGCCTGGGAAGAGAACCGAGCCAACCAGCTCGACGAGTGCCTGCGGCAGATCGACGTCGCCCAGCGACAGGTCGAAGCGGCTCTGAAAGAGCAGGGCGTGCTCGATGACGAGCTGCCGCTGCGTGAGGGGTCGGTGTCGGTGCGCCTGCAACACGCGGAGACACACCTCGAAGAGCTCGAACGGATGATGCCCGTCGAAGCCGAGCGGCGCAAAGCGACGCAGCGCACCAAGTCGGCAGAGGAGCTCTACCAGCAGGCGAAGGACGAACTCAAAGCCGCCGAGAAGGAGTGGCGTGACTCGCTCCGCTCGGTTGGCCTGCCCGACGAGACGACGGCGTCCGAACTCGAGAAGCTCGCCAGCCAGCACCGCGGCTTGGCAGAGCTCCGTTCGCGTAGCGAGGCGAAGCAAGAAGAGATCGACCGCTGCGAACGCGAGTACGATAAGGTCACCAAGCGGATCACCGCGCTCGCCGAAGAAGCCGAACTCGTTATCGAGGAATCCGAGCCGCTCGAACAACTCGAGCACCTTCTCAGCGAGAGTCGGCTGCAAAAAGGCCGCGTCGAGCACCGCAAGAAGCTCCGCGAACGCGCGAAGGAGCTGAAGGAGAAGCAAGTCAAGCTCGAACAAGCGGCCGAACGGGTCGACGCGGAGCTGCACACGCTCTTCGCGACCGCCGGTGTCGACGGCGAGCAAGCCTTCCGACAGGTCGTCACGGATCTGGAGGAGGCGGCCCGCCTCGACGAGACCCGCGCGCGGCTCACTCGCGAGATCGCCGCCGCGATCGGCACGTCCGGGACGGAGGACGACTTCCTCGAACTGATGAGCAAGGGCGGCTTGCTGAAGCTCGACGGCGTCTGGGCCGAGCTGACCGCCGAACGCGACGCCTTGGAGAAGCGACTCCGAGAGCTCGCCGCGAAGCGGGCGATGCTCGTCAAGGAACGCACGGCGATGGTCGAAGACACGTCGCTCGCCGACAAGCAGGTCGAACTCGACCTGGTCGAGGGCCAACTCGCCGAGGCGAAGGAGCGTTGGCGCGAACGGGCGGCGGTCGGCTCGATGCTCGAGCTGATCCGCAGCGATTACGAAGAGCACCGTCAGCCGGAGACGCTCATCGAGGCGTCGCGTTACCTCGAGCGGCTCACGCGTGGCCGCTACACGCGGGTCTGGACCCCGCTGGCCGAGGACGTCCTGCTGGTCGACGACGCCGACGGCGAGTCGTTGGCGGTCGAGAACCTCAGCCGCGGCGCCCGCGAGCAGTTGTTCCTCAGCGTCCGCATGGCGCTCGTGGCGACGTTTGCCCGACGGGGCGTGCAGTTGCCGATGATCCTGGACGACGTGCTCGTCAACTTCGACGACGGCCGCGCCCGGATCGCGGCCAGCGTGCTCACCGAGTTCGCCACGGAGGGCCACCAGTTGCTCGTCTTCACGTGCCACGAGCACGTGTGGCGGATGTTCCAAGACATCGACGCCGACGTCCGCCGGTTGCCCGTCCGCTACGAGATCGTCGACGAGGAACCGGTTGAAGAGGTGGTCGAAGAGGCGGCCGTTGAAGAAGTCATCGAAGAAGTCGTCGAGGTTGTCGAAGCTCCTGAGCCGCCGCCGGTTGTCGAGCCGAAGCCGGAGCCCCAGCCCGCCTATGTCGACGCGGAGTACCTGCCGCTCGAACCGGTCACCGAGGTGCGCCGCGTGGTCGAAGAGACGCCCGTCGTCACGGCCGTCGCCGCCGCCCCGGTTGAGGCGGCGGTCGAACCATCGATCGTCGCGGACGAGATCACTTACGGAGCGAGCGCCGGAGAAGTCACCGGCGAAGTCGCCTACGGACAGCCGGCATGGACCGGCGTGACCACGCCACTGCCTCCGGAGGCGTTGCCGGTCGCCAATCAGCCTTCGGCATACCAGACGATCGAAGAGACCCCGCCAGAGAGCCCGGTCGACAACTCCTGGCTCGCCGAAGCGGAAGCCGCCTGGAGCGAGACGGCCGACAGCCGCGTCTAGCCAACACCGTCCGCGCCATGCCGAGATTGGCGTACCCGCGGCAAGGGCGGCGATCGAAGTCCCTCACCGTCTCTAGCGGGAAGCCCGTGTTCGAAGGGTGACTTAGGGCAGGTGCGACCCGGGTACCCGCTTCAGCACCCTCCCCTAACCCCTCCCTCTGAAGAAGGAGGAGGACACGAGGCGACATCGCCGCGGGTAGCCAACACACCCTAGCAGCGGCGACGCCCCGTGGCGGCGACTAAGCCGCGGCCGAGTAGCTGTTGCCCGGCATGTTGCGGAGCACCGAGCGGTACTTGTTCCGCACGTCCAGATACGCGATCCACGTGAAAGCCGTCGCGGCGCCGAGGATCACGAGCAACGCGCTGCTCCAGAACTCGCCGTTGCGGTCGTTCGTGGTCGGTGCGTTGGCGAATCCCGCTTGCTGGACGCCGCCCGCGGCGCCGTTCTGCGAGGCGTTGTCGCCCCAGCCCGTGGGGTTGCCCGACTGTTGTTGGGTCGAAGCGAAGTTGGTCCCCGTCGTGGACGTCGTGCCGACGGGGGGCGCGCCGTAGTTGCTCGGCGTCGTCGCCGGCGGGGCGAGTGACGGGAAGGCGTCGTCGCTCGACGCGAAGTTGTCTCGTCGGCTGTTGTTGGTCGTGTACGAATCGACGCCGCGGTTGTCGTTGGAGAACGGTTCGAGCGCCTGCCAGTCGCGCTGTTGCGAACGACGCGTGTCGAGCGTCGGGTCGTACGCCTGCCGGCGGACCGGCTCGAGGTCGCGAGTGTCGCGCGGGGCGAAGTCGGGCGTCTCGTCGGCGAAGCTCGTCGCGAGACGGTCGCCGGCGATGCCGCTGGGGGGCGGCGCCAGCGTCGGGCCGCGGAGACGCGAGTTGTCCGAATAGCCGTTGTTGTAGCCGCCGTTATTCGTTGCGCCGGGCTGCACGCTCCGGCCCAGCGGGTCGGTCGCCTGGGTCGGCGTCGCGTACCCGTTAGGAGGGACGGACGTCGGCTGTGGCGGGGCGACCCGGGTATCGTTGGTGTACGTCGGCGCCGTCCCGCCGTAGTTGGGGCGGTCTCCGTAGGGCGACGCGTACGACTGCGTGTTGGTCGGGTTGAGTCGATCGAGAGCCTCGCCGGCGCCGCGGAGCGTCTGCTCCGTGCCGCGTTGCAGGTTCGTCGCGCTCTGGTCGATGAAGTTGCGGGTGTTGTCACCGAGCCGCTGGGCCTGCTCGTTGGTCCATTGGCTCGCTTCGCGCCCCGCGTCGGTGAGGGGACGCGTGGCGTCTTCGAAGCCTTGCTGGAGGCCCCGCAGGTTGAGCGGGTCCGGGTTCTGGAACGCCGTCCGCTTCTCGGCGGTCGACGCGGCGGCCGCGTCGGGCCACTCGGGGATCACCGGCTTCGCGACGGTCCGCCGCTGCGGGCCTGCCTGGGCGGCGATTCGCTTCGGCGACGACGCGTCGCGCTCGGACAACCGTTGCGGCACGTCGTCGACGCCGACGTAGACCCGGACGCGTTCGATCGGGCCGACGTTGGTCGGCAGCTCGCTCACGAGGTCACGCGATTCGCCCGCGCTGAGGGCGGCGAGATCGGCCGGCGAGAGTTGCACGAGGTACTCGTAACCGGCCTGATCGGCGTCGTTGTCGGACGATTCGGCCGGGGCCCAGCCGAAAGAGACCGCGATCAGCGAGGCGACCATCGAGGTCGCGAGAGTCGTCAACACGAGAGGGGCTCCTGCGTGCCTTGCTGCGTCGGTTGGCGGCCGGCCACGAAGCCAGCGCCAGTGGCGCATGGTACGTTCGCCGCGAGGGCGGAGCGAACGTTTTGCGTCCTGCGGGGCAGATTCTAGCCCGCTGGCGCCGAGCGACCTAGCCGAGTTGAGAGCCCAGGCGGGCTGGGCGGAGGCGGCAGACGGCAAGCCCTGGGTCGTGGCGACTCAGCCGCCGGCGACCGCCGGCGTCTCCCCGTCGTGCAAGTCGTCGAGCTCGCGGCGGAGCATGCCGAGCAGCGCTTGCAGGAAGGCGACCAGCATGGGGCCGACAAGGATGCCGATCGGGCCAAGCAGTTGCAGGCCCCCCAACACGCTGAGCAGTGCTAGCAGCGGGTGGAGGTTCGACTGGCCGTGCAGCACGTACGGCTTGATCACGTTGTCGATCGACGAGACGACCGCCATGCCGTAGATGCCCATGCCGATCGCGGGCCAGAGGTCGCCCTGAACGAAGTAGACCCACAACGTGACCGGGACCCAGACGCCCATCGCTCCGATGAACGGCACGATCGCCAGCAGCATCGTCGCGACGGTAAGCAGGAACAGCGGAGGGTTCACCTTGTTCTCGTCCGGGATGTCGTCCGGCACGGTGAGTCCCTGCTCGGCCGCCGCCTCGGCGACCGAGGGCGGGACCCATTTGTCGAGGATGCACCAGTAGCCGATTCCGGCGAGCAGGCCCTGCACGATCGCCGCCAGGATCGTCGCCAAGACGACCGCTCGGCTGACGTCGGCGAACCGCTCGAGGAGCTCGCGTTCGTAGTCGTCGTCGAGCGGCGACAGGTGCATCAGCGTCTCGATGATCGCCGGCCCGTCCGCAAAGAAGTAGTACAAGGCGAAGATCATGATCGCCAAGCCGAACAGGAAGCTGAAGATCGCCTGCACGCCGATCAGGCCGACCTCGACGGCGTGGCGCGCGGCGTACTCGGCGAGCTGCGCGCCCGCGACGTGTGGGTCGAAGTCGTCGTCGACGCTAGCGCGGTACCACTCGGTGAGCGGCTCGAGCTGCACGAAGAACCACTCGGTCCAGCCCTCCGCGGCCTCGGCCGTGTCGTCGGCGCTGACGACGCCGGCTTCTTGGGCGAGCGCCGGTGACGCCGACGGGTCGACGCCGGAAGCGCCGGCCGGCGCCCGTTCTTGGCGGACGCCGAAGTCGAGCGGGTTCGGTTCTTCGAGCTCGGGGTCATCGGGCAGGGCGATACGCACCACCCGCGCTGTTTCGACGAAGGCCCGCCAGCCGAGGATCGCTGTGGGCACGAGCACAAGCAGCGAGATGGCCGCGGTGGTCGCCAGCGCCGCCATCCGCGGCCGGCCAGGCAGCCGGGCGACCATCCGGTCGTGCAGCGGTTGGAACACCACCGCGAGCACCGCCGCCAGGAACAACGGCACGAGAAACGTTGCCATCACGCGGAAGAACAGGACGCTGATCAGCAGCACCACCGCCAGCAGCATGATCAGCGAGATGACACGCGGGATGCCGCGGAGCATCTCCTTCTCGACACGCTCGGCGAGCGCGGCTTCGTCGGCCTGCTGCGCCGGCGTGGGGTCGTCCGTTTCGTTGCTCGAAGGGGTCTCGGCCAAGATCGGCCTCCTGGTCTGCGTTGGTCGCCGAGTATAACGGTCCGCCAGGGACGGCGCCGCTCGGGTCAACGCGCTACCTCACGCGAACCAACGGCGGCCGCTGCTTTGTCCGAACCGAGCGATCCCCCCGAAGCGCCAGGCGACGGCCACGGATTGAAACGCGTCGGCTTGTTCGCGCTCAAGTGCGTGGTCGTCGCAGCCGTGTTGTTGTTCGTGGGCCGGACGGCCGAGGACGCTTGGCGGAACCTCGTGGCCGAGCGGGTGACGATTCGCCCGGCGGTCGCCGTTCTTGCCGGATTGGTCTTCCTCGTTTCGATGGCGCCGTTGGCTTGGTTCTGGCGGCGGGCTTTGACGGCGCTCGGCCAACCGGCGCCGTTCGGCGCGGCGATCCGGGCCTTCTACGTCAGCCAGCTCGGCAAGTACGTGCCGGGGAAGGCGTCGGTCGTGCTCATTCGCACCGAGCGACTGCTGACCTCGACGCGCGCGAGCGAAGTGGGCGGCGGATCGGCCCGTGTCGTTGCGGCGAGCGTCTTCTATGAGACGTTGACCCACATGGCGGTCGGCGCGCTGCTCGCGGCGGCCCTCACGGCTTTGGTGGCCCAAGGCGAGTTGGCGACGCGACTCGGTTGGATCGGTTTGTCGGTCGCCTTGGCTGCGGTCTGCCTGACGCCCACTCTGCCACCGGTCTTCGGCTGGTTGCTCGCTAAGGTCGGCCCGGCGCGGCCTGACGCCGCTGACGGGCTCACCACCAAGCTGACCTACGGCCTGTCGGGGCAAGGCACGTTGGCGTCGGCTGTTGGCTGGTTGCTGGGTGGGGTCAGCGTCTGGCTGGCGGCTGTCTCGGTCGGGGCCGCCGATTGGGCGGGCCTTGGCCGGCTGCCGCTATGGGTGCTTGCCGCCGCGTTGCCGGTGGTAGCGGGCTTCGTCTCGCTGCTGCCCGCGGGCGTCCTGGTTAGGGAGGGACTGACGCTCGGGTTGCTCGCTCCGGTGCTGGGCGAGGGCCCGGCCTTGGCGACAACGCTGGCCGTTCGCGTGATCTGGGTTGTCTCTGAGGTCGCGCTGTGTGGTACTTTGCTATTAGGCGACTGGTTGCAGCGTCGCCGGAATAGCACGTCCGACCCAACGGCGTTCGCCGATTCATGAGTGTCCTCCCGCACAACGCCGACCAAGCCGTCTCGGTGGTGGTGCCGGTGATGAACGAGGAGGCGTCGCTCCGGGAGCTGCACCGTCAGCTCACCGCAGTCGCCGACTCCGAAGGGTACGACTTGCAGGTCATCTTCGTCGACGATGGCTCGACGGATGCGACGTGGCGGATCATCCAGCAGCTCGCCGACGCCGACGCGGCCGTGCAGGGAATCCGCTTCCGGCGCAACTTCGGTAAGGCGGCCGCCCTGAGAGCGGGCTTCGCCACGGCGACGGCTCCGATCGTCGTCACGATGGACGGCGACCTCCAGGACGACCCCGCCGAGGTCCCGAAGCTCTTGGCGCGGCTCGACCCCGACTCGCCCGACGGCGGGTACGACGTTGCCAGCGGGTGGAAGCGGCTCCGCAAGGACCCGTGGCACAAGCGCTGGCCGTCGCTCGTGTTCAACGCGATGGTGAGTCGCCTGACGAAGGTTAAGCTGCACGACCACAACTGCGGCCTGAAGGCCTACCGGCGCGAGGCGCTCGAAGAAGTGCAGCTCTACGGCGAACTCCACCGCTTCGTGCCGGTGCTCTGCGCCGCGCAGGGTTACCGAGCGACCGAGGTCGAGGTGAACCACCGCGCCCGCGAGCACGGTCACTCGAAGTACGGCGTGACGCGGATCCTCAAAGGCCTGCTGGACCTGATCACGGTCAAGTTCCTCACGGGCTACGGCGAACGACCGCAGCACGTGCTCGGCGGGGTTGGCCTGCTCGGCTTCGGCGCGGGGGGCGTCGGGTTGGTTTACCTCGCGGTGCGATGGGTCGTCTCGCGAACCGTGCCCGGTTTCGAGCCATTGCACCTGCACGACACCGCGGCGCTGTACTACTCGCTCGCGCTCTGCTTGGTCGGGTCGCAGTTCCTTTCGGTCGGGCTCTTGGGCGCGATGATCACTGCGTTCTTGTCGCAAGATCGGCCCCACTACTCGATTGCCGAACGCGTGGGATCCGGTCCACGCGCCGACACACCGGGCGTTAGCGCCCTCGAAGCGTCGTGATGGGCGTCGACGAACGGGGATCGACGGCTCGCACCGGCGTCGGAACGCTCGACCCGCGCGCCCGCTGGATCGTCTACGCGACGCTGATCGCCGCCGCGGTGGGGCAAGCCGCCGGCAAGATCATGGCGGTCGACTCGGTCGACTACCGCCGTCTCGAGCAGAGCCGCGTCAGCCAGGCCCTCGACCGTGAACGGCAACGTTTGGTCGCGGAGGGCGTTGAAGGCGAAGAACTCAGGACAAAGCTGGCCGATCGCAAGGAAGAACTGAAAGGCGAATTGCGGCTCAGGCGGCCCTTCCTCAGCGCCAACGATCGGAGCCGTTGGATGGCGATCCGAGCGATCGCCGAAACGGGCGAGCCCTACATCGACCCGTTCCTGGAGGAGCCGACCTGGGACACGATCGACATGGTGCAGCACCGTGGCCGTGACGGGGAGCTGCATCTCTATTCGAGCAAGCCGCCGCTGCTGATCACGCTGCTCGCAGGGCCCTATTGGGTGTTGACGGAGGTCACCGGGACGACGCTTGGCGAGTCGCCCTACCTGCTCGGTCGTTTGATACTGCTGCCGCTCAACTGCGGCGCGCTCGCGCTCTTGCTGTTCAGCAGTGCGCGGCTGATCGAGCGATTTGGCGTCGGCGACGTCGACCGGCTCTTCGCGATGACGGTCGCCGCGTTCGGAACCCAGCTCTCGGCCTTTACGCCGGTGCTCAACAACCACCTGATCGCCGCGGCGTTCAGCGCGCTCGCGTGCGATCTGTGGGTGCGGCTGCTCGACTCGGACGAGCCGTTGCCGAACCTCTCGGCGCTCGCGGGGCTGGCGGCGGGTTTCGCGGCAGCCAACGAGTTGCCGGCTCTCGCCCTGACCGCTTGCATCGGCCTCACGCTGCTCATTAAGCGTCCAAGCGAAACGCTCAAGCGCTTCGGCGCCGGAGTCGCGTTGGTGGGCATCGCGTTCTTCGCGACGAATTACTGGGCCCACGAGAGCGTCCGCCCGCCCTACGCCCACCGCAGCGCGACCGATCCGGACGACAACTGGTACGACTACGAGTACACGGCCAAGGGCGTCACCCGTGACAGCTACTGGCGAGACCGCCGGGGCATCGACCGCGGCGAGCCCTCCAAGGCGGTTTACGCCTTCCACGCGCTGGTGGGCCATCACGGCGTGCTCTCGCTGACGCCGGTCTGGCTGCTGAGTCTCGTCGGTGGCGCCATGCTGCTCGCGTCCCGCGATCCGACGCAGCGCCGTTTCGCGTGGGCCGCCTTGGCGGTCACCGCGGCGTGCCTCGTCTTCTACCTAGGGTTGAGGCCCCAGAGCGATCGGAACTACGGCGGCTCGACCAGCGGCTTCCGATGGCTTTTCTGGCTGGCGCCGGTGTGGATCGCATCGATCCCCGTGGCCGTCGCCAAGCTCCAGCGAAGTCGGATCGGGATGGCGATCGCCGTGACGTTGCTGGCGCTATCGGTCCTTTCGGCCAGCTACCCGACGTGGAACCCGTGGACGCACCCGTGGCTCCACGAGCTGATGGAGAAGGCCGGTTTCGACGTGCTGGGTTGACCCCAAAGAGTTAGCCCCGGGTCGATGACCCGGGGCTAAGTGGGGGTGGTCCGTTTCCGCGTCGGAGCTGTCTTCAGCCCGACTGCGATTCGCTCGACATGCTCATCGTGTCGTCGGCCTGCTCGATGGTGTCGGCGGCTTTCACCGCGGCGCGACGGACCGCTTCGCTGTAGTAGGCGAACGCCGCCTCGATCTCGAAGCGCGTGAAGTACGGGTTCCGCACGATGCTGCGGACCGTGCCGTCGAGTTTCGCCGCAAGCTCTTGCCAACTGACTTCGCTGTTGGCGTGCCACACTGCCGCCTGGGCGGCGCCGCGTTGCAGCTCGCCGCGACCGAACGCCGCAAGCAATTCGATCACCTCGGGCTTGCCCGATAGCTGCTCCTCGGCGCGGACCAGCTTGTAGGGCTTCTTCGACGAGGGGATCCGCTTGCCGTGGTCGAGGCAGAGCAGGTTCACGTTGATCTTGGCCGTCTTCTCGGGCGCGATGCTGAAGGCGCCGCCGCCGCCGCCGAGGCCGCCACCGCCTCCGCCGCCGCCGAAGCCACCTCCGCCGCCGCCTCCGCCAACCGCTTGGCCGCCGCCACCGCCACCGCCCAAGCCGCCGCCGCCGATCTGAGCGAGCACCGGGACGCCGACGAACGCTTCGGGCATGCGGAGCTTCAAGTCGGCGTCGGTCTTGTTCTCAATAATCACGCGACCGCGCCGGTCGTTGCGGGCGACGAACTTCACGTCGACCGCGCCTTCGTCCATCGCGTCGAAGAGGTCGACTGGGTCGTCGTTCGCGGGGGCCGCTTCCTCCACCGCCGGCTCGACAGCGGCATCTTCCGCGTCGGCCTCCGCCTCCACCGTGACTTCGATAGTCGTGTCGAACGAAGCCGGCGCGTCGGCCTCGACCCAAGCGGAAACCAGCAACAGGCTCGCCGCCATCAGCAAGTAGAGGAAAGAACGAATGCTCATCGAGTGCGTTCCGAGAGATAGGGGAGAGGCCGTGGGCCTCGGTTGCTGAATGGGGAAACCTCAGGGCGCAGCCCGCCCGTCCTTCCCAGATTAACCAGCCCGAGGCTTGGTTCCAAGCAACGAGCCGGGCGGGCCGGATTCCGCGGCTCTACAGCTCGACCGGGGCCTCAACGCCGTCCAGGAAGCTCGCCAGCGAGCGGGAACGGTACGGCTGCTGGAGCTTCCGGACCGCCTTCGATTCGATCTGCCGGACCCGCTCACGGGTGACGGAGAAGATCTTGCCGACCTCCTCCAGCGTGTAGCTGTAGCCGTCCGTCAGGCCGTACCGGAGCTTGATGATCTCTCGCTCGCGGTAGCTCAGCTCGCCCATGACGTCGTCGAGCCGCTCCTTGAGCATCTCTTGGTTGGCGTCGTAGAGCGGGTCGTCCTCGCGCTGCTCCTCGAGGAACTCGCCGAAGTAGTTGTCCTCGTGGTCGCCGACCGGCTGGTCGAGCGACAGCGGCTGGCGGGTCATCTTGAGGATGCACGCGGCGTCCTCGAGTTCCATGCCGGTGATGTCCGCGATCTCCTCGGCCGAAGGCTCGCGGCCGTACTGCTGGACGAAGTCCGCCGAGACGGCCCGGACCTTGCTCATCGTGTCGATCATGTGGACCGGCAGCCGGATGGTCCGGCTCTGGTCGGCGATGGCGCGGGTGATCGCCTGACGGATCCACCACGTGGCGTACGTGCTGAACTTGTAGCCGCGTGCGTGTTCGAACTTGTCGACCGCTCGCATCAAGCCGGTGTTGCCTTCCTGGATCAGGTCCAAGAAGGACAGGCCGCGGTTGCGGTACCGTTTGGCGATCGACACCACCAGTCGCAAGTTCGCCGCGGAGAGGCGCCGCTTCGCGGCGTCGTACCTCTCGCGCCGCTCCTTGGTCTTCGCCACGAGGTGGGCGAGCGTCTTCGGGCTCTCCTGCGTGACCCGCATCAGGTAACGCAGTTCGTGCCGAAGCTCGGTAGCGTGGGCGTCGTCGAGCAGGTTCTCCGGCTCGGAGAGCTGCTGCTTGATGGTCGCCATGCGGTGACCGATCTCGTGAAGCTGGTCCATCAGCGGCAACAGACGCTGCAGACGGAGGTTCATCTCCTCCACCAGGCGGATGATCTTGTTCCGGCGGCTGACGAGTCGGCGCCAGGCTTCGCGGCGTTGCTTCTTGGTCGCCCGCCGATCGACCGCCTGCAAGAAGTCGGGCGTGCTCTGGTCGAGCAAGGCGTGGATCGTCTCGAGGTTCGGGCCGAGCCGCTGCAAGAGCCGCTTCTTCTCGGACGTGTTGGTCACGGAGATCTCGATCGTCCGGTCGAGACGCAGCTCCTTGCGGTGGACCTTCTCGAGCAGGTCGACGGCGCCCCGCAGGATGTAGTCGTTGCAGAGCAAGGTCCGGCGGAAACGCGTCCGGGTCGCCTCGATCGCCTTGGCCGACGAGATCTCCTCGTCCCGATTCAGCATCGGGATCTCGCCCATCTGCATCAGGTACATCCGCACCGGGTCGTCGACGTGCGACTCGCCCCCATCGGTGTGCTCCTCGGCCGTCGTCGCGGCTTCCGGGGCTTCCGCGCCGGGGTGCGAGCCGTTCACCTTCGGCTCCGCGGCCTTGTGGCCGTTGGCGGGCGCCTTGGCGGAGGCCTGGGGCTTCTTGCTGGGCGTCTTCGGCTGCTTCCGCTGGGTGCGTGGCACGGCGAGCTCGCGTCGGGGTGCGTCGGACGAGGAGGGGCCGCCGGGACGGCCTTCGACGCTGGGGTAAGCACGCGTCGGGCCAACCACCGTGGCGGGATCGTCCGACTCGCGTCAAACTCCTTGCTACCAGTCACTTACGGCTGCCGCCACGAATTGGCGTACGGCCGCCCAAGTGGAGAAAAAGCCGCCCATTCGCTTGACGATGTTGCGTGGACGCAACGCCACAGCGATCGAAGCTGCCGATGTCCGACACCAAGCTGACCGACGCCGCCCGCCTCGCCGCGAGCCTGCCGCCCGGCGTTGCGGCGTCGCCCCGAGACGTCGAGCTGGGACCGGCGTGGCTCGACCTCCGAGGGCAGCCGGCGGACGTGGCGCTCGCACGTTGCGACGGGGTCGGAGTGGCTTTGCGAGCCTGCCTCTCGCTTCAAGAAGCGGCCGTTCTGTTCGTCACAACCGGAAGGTTGTCGCCCGAGGCCGTCGCCAGCCGGCTTGCCGTCGCCGCCCTCGCCGACGGCTCCTCGGTCGTCCGAATTGCGACGCTCCGTGGCGAAGACGTGAGCGATCGGCTCGAGGAGTTCTTGGTTGCCGGCGCCGACTTGTCGGACCCAGATGATCCCAAGCGAACGGTTGTGACGGAGAGTCGACCCCTCTTGTCAGCGATTGCGGTCACTCCGCCGAGCGAGCTGAGTTCCGCCGTCGAGTCGGGAGCCTCGATCGTCGTGTCACGAAGCGCTGACCGACAGACGATCGAGCAGGTAGTGAATCACAGGCGCATCGACCAGGATGACGACCTCGTAGCGGTCGAACTACAGTTCGCTGCGGGTTGGGAAGTGACGGCAGCGGTGTCAGGGCCTCTTCTGAGTGACGATCGGGCGCAGTGGATCACGTCGGTTCTGCCGGCTGGAGTCTGTAGCTCGATCAGCCCTTGCAGCGACGGGGCATGGATCCACTTGTCCGCCGCACGCCGCGATGAGATCGATGACGCGTGCCGACGCTGCGAGTTGCTGCTGGACGGGCTCGGCGCCCGCCTGATCGACCGAGTTCGTCCAACAAGCGATGGCTGGACGGCCCGCGTGCCAGCGCATCTGCTCGAGTTCGGCCACGACCTCCGCCCGGCTTCGGAATGGATCGACCGTGACGTCACCGGCGGAAATGCTTAGCCCCCAACCAACGTGTTCGCCATGATCATGCCCAGCGACGCCGTCGACGTCCGCATCGACGGCCCCGTGGCGACTGTTACGCTCAACCGTCCGGACGCCGGCAATGCCCTCACTCGGGCGATGATGGCGGAACTGCGCGAGGCGCTTGGCGATCTGCACTTGGAGAAACGCGTTCGCGCGATCGTGCTGACCGGCGCGGGCGACGCCTTCTGCGTCGGCCGCGACCCCGCGGAACTGGCGCCGAGTGACGACCAAGCCGCCGATATGGTCCGGTGGGGCGACGAAGCAAACGAGTACCGCGAGCTGGTCGTCGCGATGCTGGAGATGCCCAAGGCGATCGTCGCCGCCGTGAACGGACCGGCCGAGGCGGGTGGCGCCGGCCTCGTGCTGGGGTGCGACGCGGCGGTTGCCTGCGAAGCGGCGCGTTTCGGTTTCCCGGAGCCGAGGCGGGGCGCCGTTGCGGGGGTCGCCGCCCCGTTGCTCGCGCACCGCATCGGCGCCGGGGTGGCGGCGCGGCTGCTGGTGACGGCGGAATGCGTCGACGCCCTCGAAGCCCATCGTGTTGGCGTCTACCACGAGGTGGTTGGCGCCGACTTCGTCTGGGCCCGCGCGTTCGAGATCGGCAAGCGGTGCGCCGAAGCGGCGCCCCAAGCGATCCAGCTCACGAAGCGGTTGCTGTGCGACACGATCGGCGAGCAACTCGCCACGCAGCTCACTAGCGGAGCAATCGCCAGCGCGACCTCGCGGACGACCGACTCGGCGCGGGAGGGACACGCCGCCCATCAGGAAGGCCGCGAGCCAGACTGGCCCTAAGGACCTGCCCGGCGGGTTTTCTTTCGGAATTTTTTCGCAGTCGATTTGCCCGCCCCCCGATCCTGACCTATTCCTTGAGTGCCGGGGCGTCCTGCGTCCTGGCGCCTCCCTCCTCCAATCCCTCCTCCTCCAGAGAAGTTGGCTCCGCCGCGTGTCGCCCTTCGGGCTCCGCGTGGCATGGTCGCCAGCCGCCCTCGGGAAGCCCCCGCGAGCGTTGGCGCCGAACAAAGGCAAACCCGTCGTGAGACGGGGACGCAAAGCCATGGGTCTCCGCTGCCGCGGACGTTGAGTTGGCCGGTACCAACGCCACGTCGCGGCAGAGATCGCCAGGCCGCTCGAGCGCGAGTCGCACGACGGCTTCCCCACGCCCCCGGGGACGATCCGATGGACTGCCCATTCCTGTTCAAAGCGGCCGCGTCGCCGTGGGCCCGAGCCTACGCCGCCGCCGCCGGCGCCAAGCCGCTCGGCTTGAGCGCCGACCCGCTGTCCCGCGGGGCGAAGCCGACAGTCGTGCCGGCCGCCCCCGCGGGACCGCCGAAGCCCGCCGCCACGGTGGTGCCCGGCGGGTCCTGACGCCCCCTCATTGAGGGCCGAGCACGGCCTTGGCGACAGCCAAGCCGAGCCGCCCTCGCTAGCTACGGGAGGGGTTCGTCGGGCAATGGGTGTCCCCCAACAACCGGCCGCCTGGCGGGCCCCTCCCACCTATCTTGCGCAACGGCTTCGCCCGGCCGACGCTCGATTCGGCCGAAGACGCCAGGTTCTCTTGCCGTTTCGGCTCTTTTCCTCAGCAGCGGGCGGCGTTATCCTGCGGGACTCGCTCGCGTCTGCGGGCGACGATCAAGCAGCAGGCGGCCTCCAAACGGAGCCCGGGCAGGAGAGACTGGCCATGGCCAAGAGCGGCAAGCGTAAGAAGAAGGTCGAGACCATCTTCCTCGTCTGCGAGGAGACGGGCGACTACAACTACACGATCCGGCGCAAGCCCGGCGGCGAGAAGCTGAAGCTCAAGAAGTTCAGCCCGCGTCTGCAACGCCACACGACGCACACCGAGAAGAAGAAGTAGACGCGTGTGGTGTGTGACGTGGCGGCGAGCGGCTGGTGAGTCGACAGCCGCCGCCACGAAAGCGGAGAGTTGAAAGCGGAAAGCGGAGTGGTTGAGCCGTGCCTCACGCCTGTCCGCTTTCCGCTTTCCGCTTTTCCCTGTTGAGTCACGGACGATGGCCAAGCGCTGGCGTATCGCTGCGCACGACCCCGCGCGAATCAGCGCCCTGGAGAAGTCGGCCGGCGTTTCGCCGGTGTTGGCCCAACTGCTAGTCGCCCGTGGGATCGACGACCCGGCCGAGGCCCGGTCTTTCCTGGAGCCAAAGCTCAACGGCCTCCGCGACCCGGAGCTGCTCCCCGGAATCGGCTCCGCGGTCGAAGCGATCTACGCCTCGATCGAGGCCCGCGAGCCGATCGTCGTCTACGGCGACTACGACGCCGACGGCATGACCGCGGCGGCGATCCTGCTGCGGTGCTTGAAACTGCTCGGGGCAGAGGTGCGCTTCTACGTGCCGCATCGTATCGAGGAGGGCTACGGCCTCAACGACGAGGCGCTCCGCACGCTCGCCGGGCAGGGCGCCAGGACGGTCGTCACCGTCGATTGCGGCATCGCCAGCCTCGCGGAGGCGGCCACCGCCCGCGAACTCGGCCTGCGGCTCGTCGTCACCGATCACCACCAGATGGCGGACGGGCTGCCGGACGCGGCGGCGATCGTTCACCCCCGCCTGCCGTCGACTGATGGCGGCGCTTACCCGTTCGACGGGCTTTGCGGGGCGGCGGTCGCTTTCAAGCTCGCATGGGCCCTCTGCCAACGGGCGAGCGACGCGAAGCGTGTCGGCGAGCCGATGCGGCGTTTCTTGCTCCAGGCGACGGGACTCGCGGCGATCGGCACGGTCGCCGACGTCGTTCCGCTGGTCGACGAGAACCGAATCCTCGTTCGACACGGGCTCGCTTGCCTGCGGCATTCGGCGGTCGCTGGATTCGTCGAGCTGGAGAAAGTCGCCCAACTGACCAAGAAGCCGGAACTCGACGGCGAGGACCTCGGCTTCGCGATCGCCCCGCGGCTCAACGCCGCCGGTCGCCTCGGCCAAGCCGAACTGGGCGTCGAGCTGCTGACGACCGACGACCCGCGTCGCGCCGCCGAGCTGGCGCGCTACGTCGACGAGCTGAACGAGACACGCAAGAAGGTCGAGCGGAGCGTCCTGCTCGCGGCGCGCAAGCAGGCGAAGGAGCGTTTCGACCCGGAGGGCGATCCTGCCTTGGTGCTCGCGGACCGGGACTGGCACCCGGGCGTGATCGGAATCGTCGCCGGCAAGCTCGCCGAGCAGTACGCCAAGCCGGTGGTCGTCGTGTCGCTCGACAAGCTCGGCGCGAAACCGGGCATCGGATCGGGCCGCAGCGTGCCGGGCCTGGCTCTGAACGAGGCGTTCGCCGCCGCGGGCGAGCACCTCGAGAGCCACGGCGGACACGCCGCGGCGGCCGGGCTGCGTGTCGACGAGCGACGCCTCGACGCGTTCCGTATCGACTTCTGCGCCTACGCCGCCGAAGCGCTCGGGCCGGACGGCAAGAGCCTCGAGCTGACGATCGACGCCGAGGCGGCACTCTCTTCGCTTACGCAACAAACGGTAACCCAGATCGAACGACTGGCGCCGTTCGGGCACGGGAACCAGCGCCCGACCCTCTGCGCTTCCGGCGTCCGACTAGCCGGCCCGCCACGCAAGATGGGCGCGGCGGGCCGTCATTTGTCGGTCGATCTCGAGCAGGCGGGGGTGAAGCTTCGCGCGGTGGCGTTCGGCGCGGGCGACCGCGAGGAGGAACTGCTCCGTGTCGACGGCCCGCTGCAAGTCGCCTTCCGCCCGGTGATCAATACCTTCCGGGGCTACCGGTCGGTGGAGATGCACCTGGCGGACTGGAAGCCGGCGAAGTGACTCGCTACGCCCGGCGGCGGACCCGCACGGCTGCGACAGCCGCGGCGGCCAGCAGCATCGGCGTGGTGGGTTCAGGCACGCCAGCCGCTGTTCCCACGCCGAAGTTGGCGCCGAGGATGTCGAGGTCCAGCAGGTCCACGACGTTGTCGCCGTTGAAGTCGCCCTGGGAGATGTTGGCCGGCGTCGCCCCGAAGTTGGCGCCGAGGATGTCGAGGTCCAGCAGGTCCACGGCGCCGTCGCCGTTGGCGTCACCCTGCACGCCGGGCGACAGGTCAAACGGCACGAACTGCAGTCCGGTGAAGTAGGCGTTCTGCGTGTCCGGGAACTCGAGGTCGTCCTGGGTCAGCAGGACCGCCGGATCGTTGGTCAGCACGCCGGTCGAGCGGTCGAGCGGGTAGGACAGCAGCTGCCCGTCGGTGTCGAACCCCCCGTCGACGGCGAAGTTCGCGAGGAGCAGACGGTCGTTGACCGTGTCGACCAGGATGTCCTGGAACGACGGGTCGGCGCCTTCTGGCCCGGTGCCCGAGCCGTCGAGGATCACGGTCGTCGAGCCACCGGCCGACGGGAATCGGACGACGTCGTCGGCGCCGTCGGAGCTGAAGTAGATGAACCCGTTGTCGACGTCTTCCACAAGTCCGCGGACCTCGGTGTTGGTGGCGGCGAGGAAGGTCACGTTCGACGAGTTGTTCGGGTCGACCGCCGAGACTCCGAGCGAGTCGCCTACCAAGAGCCTCGACCCCGACGTCACATGGAGGCTGGTCACCGTGCTCGCGAAGAAGGTGTCTAAGAAGACCGTCGCGGGACCGGACACCTCCTTCGTCGCCGGATCGAGCGGCGCACGGAACACTTGGTTGCTGGTCCGGCTTGTGAAGAACAGATAGTTGTTGAACTCATCGACCGCGACGTCGACGACGTCGCCTGGCGCGACGCCACCAACAGCGTTGTTGTCTTCGTCTCGGACCTCACCAGCGGCGTTGTTCGCGACGAACGTGCCGCCGGTAGACGTGTGGTCGAAGAAAAAGACCGTGTCGCCGGCGCCGCCTTCGTAGAGAGTGGTGATCGGCCCACTGACGGTCGTCCCTCCGTCGTCGAGCGTGATCGCTTGCACCAGGCCGTTGTCGTCGAAGTTGAAGTTCCCTGGCCCGTCACCGGAGAACAGCGAGTACGAAAGAGTTTGCGGCTGCCCGCTAGCGAAGGGGGCCACAAAGCAGATCACAGAGAGGCCGCAGAGAGTGATGAGGTGCTTCACGGGTGCCTCGCGAGAAATGGACTGACGCCGCATGAGACTGCCTTGAAGAGCGGGGCCAAACCGCTCAGCGCCTGAGACGACGATAAGGCTGCGCGCGCGACCCCACAACACTCACGGCGTCTTACGCCCCGAGGTCTGTGGGATGCGTAACACAGAGGTCAGACGGCGACCGAAGCGGCGCGGGTCGGCGGTGTCGCTCTCATCTCACCGCGTCGCCTTCTCGTACCACTTCACGAGGTCCGCTCGCAACTTCTCGTGCGAAGGCTCGTGGATGTACATCATGTGGCCGGCTTCGTAGAAGTCGATCGTGAATCGCTCGCGGAGGTCTTGCCGCACCAGGGCGTGGTCGCGGGTGTGCTTCATCGCGAAGGGGGGCGTCGCCAGGTCGTAGTGGCCGCAGGCGGCGAAGACCTCAAGCCGCGGGTTGGCCGTCATCGCCTTGCGCAAGGCGCCCGCGGTCGTCACGTAACGGTTGACGTACGGCTTGTAGTTCCATGGGCGGACGTCGCCGGAGATCTCGTAGACGCGTTCGTCCTCGTAGTCGAGCTCGTCACGCAGGTAGGCGTTCATCGCGCCGCTGAAGATGCCCATGATCGCCGTGCCGCTCGGGTCGTACGCCATCGATTCGCCGCTGCGGTTCGTGTCGCGTCCGGTGTATCGGCTGTCGAAGCGGCCAACCAGCAAGTTGCGATCCCGGAGCAGCTCCTTCGAGAAGTTCCACATCTTCACCCGAAGATCGTTCGCTTCGAGGTAGTCGACCGACAATCCCGTCAGCCGCGCGGTCTCTTCGGTCACCTCCCGCCGTTTCTCTTCGGGCATCGCCGCTCCCTGCAGCAGGGCGTCGGCGTAGTCGCCGTAGGCGAAGGCCTCCGCCTCGGCGACGACCTCTTCGAGCGACTTGCCGAGCAGATCGTCGTCGAGCGCCTTGTGCCGCCACGCCGTCGCCGCGTAGCCCGGCAGGAAGAGGATGTAGGGCAGGTCGTTGTTCGGCGCGAAGTGGAGCGTCGAGAAGTCGAACACGGCCGAGATGAAGACGACGCCGTTCAAGTACATCCGGTAGCGCGACTGCAGCAGGTCGGCGAGCATGGCGCCGCGGATGCCTCCGTAGCTCTCGCCGAGCACGAACTTGGGGGACCGCCAGCGGCCGTACTCGGTGACGTAGTTGTGGATGAAGAGGCCGACGCTCTCGACGTCTTCCTCCAGGCCGTGAAACTGCTCCTTCTCCTCGCCTTCGGCGGGTCGGCTGTAGCCGGTGCTGACCGGGTCGATGAACACCAGGTCGGTCACGTCGAGCAGCGAGTAGGGGTTCTCGACCACGCTGTAGGGCGGGGCGGGGAACGACGCGTCGTCCGGCAGCTTCACCCGCTTCGGGCCGAGCATCCCCAGGTGCAGCCAGACGCTTGCCGACCCGGGGCCGCCGTTGAAGCAGAACGTGATCGGCCGCGAGGGGTCGGCGACCGCCGGGCCCCCGTCCACCGCCTCCTCGTCGAGTTCGCCGCGGGTGTAAGCGACGAAGAAGACCTCGGCTTTCTCGTCGAGCGCGTCGTCCTTGAGCAGGAGCTTGCCGGTCGTGGCGACGTACGGCGTCTCGACGCCGGCGATCGTCACCACGCCGGCCGTCACCGAGGGCGTGGGTTCCTCAGCGTCCTCGTCCTCGCCTTGATCCTCGGACTCGGTCTCGGCTGACTTGTCACCCTCGTCGTCGTCAGTAGCGTGGTGGTCCGCCACCACCGGCGAGGCGGCGAGGAGCACGAAGGTGAGCAACGACAGGAGCTGCAAGCGGCAGAGCATGGCGGTCGATCGGGGGGGGCAGGTACGTCAGGGCGGGAACCGAACCTGCCAACCTAACCACAACCGATTCGGAATTCGACTAGCCTGAACCGGGCTTTGTCCGTCCGTCGAGCAAGCAGGCGACGTTCACGTCGCCCAGGACGTTGATCGTCGTGCGGCAGCGGTCGAGAAACCAATCGACCGTTAGCAGCAAGCCGATGTAGCCGATCGGCAAGCCGACCGCGGAAAAGACGAGGGTCATCGTCACAAGGCCCGCCTCGGGGATGCCCGCGGCGCCGACGCTGGCGATGATCGACGTGAACACGACGATCAGTTGTTGCGTGAGCGTCAGGTCTTGGCCGATGAGCTGCGCGACAAAGAGCGCGGCCATCGCCTCGTACAGGGCGGTGCCGTCGTTGTTGAAGTTGGCGCCGACGAGCGAACCCATGCTGGCCGACTCCTCACGCAGACCGACCTTCTCCTTCAAGCAGGCGTACGTGACCGGCATCGTGGCGGTCGAGCTGTCGGTGCTGAACGCCATCACCAGCGCGTCACGCACGCCGCGCAGCACGTCGAGTGGCCGAGCCCAACTGAAGAACTGAAGCCGCAGCAGGTACCACGCGGCCTGCAAGAGCAAGGCGATCACCACCGCCAGCACGAAAGCGCCCATCGCCTGGAAAGGGGCGAACCCTTCTGTGCCGACCACCTTCGCGACGATCGCGAAGACACCGATCGGCACGAGCTGGATGATCCAGTGCAGCACGGTGAGCAGCACCTCGTACGCGATCTCGACCAGGTCCTGGACCGTCCCGATCGGCTTCGTCTTGACGCCGCGCAACGCGACGCCGAAGGCCACGGCGATGATGATCACGCCGATGATGTTCTGCTTGTCGCCCAACGGGCCGAGGATGCTCTTCGGGACGTTCTCGACCAGAAGCTCGACCGGGTCGGGGCCCTCCGCCTCGGCCGAAGCGGCGATCTCGTCGGGCACGTCGAGCTTCGACCACTCGCCGGGGCGCATCAGGTTGGCGATCGAAAGGCCAATCGCGATCGCGACCGTCGTGTTGAGCAGCAGCAGGCTGAAGAGCCGCGCCGCCATCTTGCCGCGTACTTCGGTCGTCATGAGCACGTGCGTGACGGCGACCAGGATCAGCGGCGGCGCGAGCGCCCCCAAGAGCTGGAGGATCACCTTGCTGGGGATCTCCATGATGAGGGCCCGCTCGCCGAGAGCGAGGCCCGTCACGACGCCCAGCACCAGGGCGATGACGATCCGCAAGTAGAGCGGGATCGCGTTCCAGCGGCCGAGCAGGCCGGCTTGCGGGGCGGCGTCGGTCATGGGCGTGGTTCGCCAGAGGAGCGGATTGCTTGCCGAGGTTATTGCAGAAACCCGGCTCGCGGATCAGCCCCGCAACAGCGCCGCTAGTTCTTCCGGCGTGTTGGCTTGCGGCGGGCCGTCGCCCTCGTGCAGCCAAGCGACGGGGCAGCTCCGCGACGATTCCAGCGCCGCTTGGAACGAGCGTGTCCCTGAGGCGACCGTCGCGCGGAGCGGCTCAAGCCACGCGGTTGAGACGACCGACGGGAAGGGCTGCCATCGCTCGCCGGTGCGGTAGGCGGCCACGTCGAGTTCGGCGGCAGCTTGATGCGCGGCGAGCAGCGGGTCGAGCCACGCCCGTTCGGGCCGAACAAGGTCACACGACGCCAGGACGAGCAAGCCCGGTCCGTATCGGTTCAGCCGATCGGCAATCGCCGCGACCGCCCCCGAGAGCGGGCCAACGCGCGGCTCGACGTCGGCCATGCAGCGGAAGCCCTTGATGGCGTCCGGGGGCTCAGCGGGCCCGACGAACGCCAAGGGGCCGTCAGCCGCCAGGCGCTGACCGACGTCGAGCGCCAGCGGCGTGCCATCGACAAGGTGCGTCGCCTTGTCCGAACCGAATCGCCGGCTCTCGCCGCCGATGAGAACGTAGACAGGGAGCGACGCGCTCTCGATCACCGGCCGACGAACTCGGGCACAACGAGCTCGGGCAGCACGCCGGCTTGATGGCCGCGCTCGAGGAACAGGCGGACCGCCTCGCGCCCCTTCTCACCGAAGTCGCGCGTCCAGTCGTTGACATACATGCCAACGAACTTGTCCGCCTTGGCGTTGTCGAGGTCGCGACCGTACTGCAGGGCGTAGTCGAGCGCCGGCTGACGATGGTCCAGACCGTACTCGATGCTCTCCTTCAAGAGCCGCTCGACTTCGAGGATCGTCTCGGTGCCGAGGTTCTTGCGGATGGCGTTCGCGCCTAGCGGCAGCGGCAACCCCCCAGTCTCCTCGCCCCACCAGACGCCGAGATCGACGATCAGCTTGAGGTCCTGGTCGCCGTAGGTGAGTTGGCCCTCGTGGATCAGCAGGCCGGCGTCGATCGGTTCGCCGTGGTACTCGCCGGCGACGACGGCCGGGATGATCTCGTCGAACGGGACCAGGACGTGGTCGAAGTCGCCGCCGAGGAATAGCCGCAGCGACAGCGTCGCGCTGGTCAGCTTGCCGGGGATCGCGATCCGCTTCCGCCGCAGCTCGTCGACGGTGCAGGTCTCCTTGGCGACGACCATCGGGCCGTAGCCGTCGCCCATGCTCGCCCCGCAGTTGCAAAGCAGGTACTGATCCTGCAAGAAGGCGTAGGCGTGGATGCTGACGGCGGTCAGCTCCAACTCGCCGGAGAACGCCCGCTGGTTGAGCGTCTCGATGTCAACCAGCTCGTGGGTGAACTCGTAGTCGCCGGTCGGAATGGTGTCCTTCGCCAAGGCGTAGAACATGAAGGCGTCGTCCGGGTCGGGCGAGTGGCCGACGCGGATGAGCTGCTTGGTCGCGGGCATGAGGGAGGCAGTAGGCTGAGGTCTTGAGGCCGGGAGGGGCGGACAGTCCCGCCCTCGTTGGCACGCTAACCGCACGACGGGAGTCGGGGTTCACGCTTGCCTACAAAGACCCTACCGCCTGCGGCCCCAGGCCTCCAGCCTCCCGCTCAGGCCTCGAAGGAGATGCCCGCGGCGGGCGTCGAGGCGGGGGCGTCGCCCAGGTGCGGCTTGGGCGCCGGCTTCCGTGAGGGGGTCGCCGGCGTTTTTTCCTCGCCGAGCGCCTCGCAAGCCTTCCGCCAAGTCTCTTGCTGGAACTCGAGGATCTGCAGCGCCTCGGCCATGAGCTGCTTGTCGGCGTTGACGTAGACGCTCGTCAGCCGGGCGTAGACGAACGAGTAGAGCTGCGCCAGCTTTGCGTTGAGGTCGGTCTCGCTGTGGCGGACGCCGGCGAGCAACTCCTCCACGATGTCCATCGTCTTGAGCAGCGGCGGTTGAAACGCCTGCTCGTCCTGCCGCAACACGCCCTTCTCCGCCTCGCGTCCGAAGCGGAGCGCGCCGTCCAGCAGCATCAGGTGCAACTGGGCCGAGTTGGCCGTCTGGACCTTCGCTTCGAGGTACTCACGGGTCTGGTTCGTGCTCATAGCGGGCTTCGGTGGAATGCGGCGGGTTAGTTGCTGTTAGAAGGAAGCGTGATCGGCTGGATGCTTTCGATTGCGGTGTTGTTCGATTGCAGCAGGGCGATGGTTTCTTCCAGGCGGATGAACTCGAGCAGCAGTCGCTCGCGTTCGCGTTCGAGCGATTCGTTGAGAGAGGTGATCCGCTCTTCGTTCGAGTCGATCGTCCGCTGCAGGGCGTTGGAGCGGCTCGAAAGCAGCGAGTTCTCTTCGCCGGCGAGTTGGTCGATTGCGGTGGAGAGCCGCGTCACCACGCCGTCGGTGTCGTCCGTGAAGAGCCGTTCGACGCCCGCGGGGTCGTCGGCGAAGGCCGCGGAGAGCTCCGAACGGTTGAGCGCCAGCGTGCCGTCGTCGTTGAGCGTGATGCCGACCGCTTCGAGCGAGCCGTAGTCCGTTCCCGTGACGATCCGCCCGGAGAGGATCCGCGACAGGTCAGTGTCGACTCGCAGCGCCTCGTTGCGGCCGAACAGGACGCCGGTGGTCAGCGACTCCACGTCGAACGACGTGAAGCCGTCGAGCGTCGCGCGGAGCGAGTTGTACGAGTCGACGAAGTCCTGCGCCGCGTCGAGCAGCGGGGCGTCGTCGGTCGAAACGTCGACCGTCGCCGAAGCGCCGGTCGCTTGGTTGATCGAGATGTCGAGCCCGTCGACGATGTCGTTGAACTGGTTCGACTGGGAGCGGACCACGACGCCGGCGCCGCCGCCCGGGCCGAACAGCGCGGCGGCGTCGGTCGGCCGGCTCGTCTCGGTGAAAGAGAGACTCGTCGAGCCGGTGTCGATCAGCAGCTCGTTTGCCGAACCGGTGTTGTCCGCAGTGATCACCAGGCGCGAGCCGTTCAGGTCGGTGAGCACCGACGCCGTGACGCCGGCGTCGAGGTCGTTGATCCGTTCGACCAACTCGTCCAGCGCACTGGTCTCCGCCGCGTCCGACGCGAAGAGGAAACCGCTGTCGATGGTCTGCTGACCGTTGTCGTTCGTTGTGCTGGAGCTGCCAACTAGGCCGAGGTCCAAGGCCGCACGCCCGTCACCTTGATCGCGAACCGAGAGCGTGCCGTCACCGCCAGTGGTGTCCGTCAGGACGATCCCCGTCCCGGCGTCGTTGAGAGAGGCCTCGACGCCGATGTTGGTCTCGTTGATCTTCGCGAGGACATCGTCGATCGTGAATGCCTCGTCACCGGCGGCACCCAGTTGAACGGATGCCGATTGATCCAGTGAGTTCGTGATCTCAAAGACGCCGAGCTGAACGCCGTCGCCATTGTTCAGCGAAGACAAGGCGACGCTGTCGTTGGTCGCCGAGAGTGTCGAGAGGTCGATCTCGTAACCGAACGTGCCGTCGATCGTCTGCCGCCCCGAGCCGTCGCTCGTCGACGAGGCGCCGACGAGGTTCAGGTCGGCGGCGGTCGTGCCGTTGCCGACCTCGGCGACCGTGAGCGTTCCGCTTCCGCCGGCCGTGTCGGTGAGCAGGATCCCGTCGCCTGTGTCGTTGATCGACGCGGCGACGCCGATCGAGAGATCGTTGATTCGGTCGATCACGTCGCCGACGGACGTGGCCTCGGAGCCGGGGGTGTTCAGGTCGACGGCGCTGGTGTTGCCCGCCGAGTCGGTGATGCGGACGTCGCCGAGGTCGATGCCGGCGCCGCCGTTGAGGCTCGTCAGCTGCGTCGCCTCGCTGATCGTCTTGCGGCTGAGCGAGCCGCTGTCGACGGACGTGGCGGCCGCGTCGACCACGATGCCGAGGTCGGTTGCCGTCGTCGTCCCTCCCGTGTCGGCGACGATCAGGTTGCTCGCCGTACCGCCGGTGTTGTCCGTGATGACGATCCCGCTGCGGGCCTCGTTGACCGCGGCCGTGACGTCAACCGTGCCGTTGTTGTTGATCGCGTCGATGATCTCTTCGAGCGTCTCCGCGCCGGATAGATCGATGTCGTCAGAAGCCCCGCTGCGGTCGGTGATCGAGATCGACCCCAGAGTCAGCTCCTGCCCGCCATCGAGATTTCGAACGAGGGTGTCTTGCAGGCCTGAGATCAGGCGGCTGCTGACCGTGTTCTCGGCGACGCCGGCGTCGCCCGTGGCGATGCCGAGACTCTCCGCGAACCCCGACTCGCTCGTGACGATCAGGTTGCCGGCGGTCGAGCCGGTGTTGTCCGTGAGGACGATGCCGTTGTCAGTGATCGACGCCGTCAGCAGGCCGCCGTTGGCCTCGGCGTTGTTGATGGCATCGACGACGTCGCCGATCGTCGTGGCGTCGGAGAGATTGACGTTGAAGGCGGTGGTCCCGTCTCGCAACTGGAAACTGAGGTCGTTCGATTCGGTGGAACTGGAGGTTCGCACCCCCAGGCCGTCGTTTAGCGAGTCGAGCCTCGAGTCGACCGTGAGGCCGTAGACATCATTGCCGGTGATCGTGTCACCCGAAGCGGCGTTGGTCAGGCCGAGCGCGGTCGCCGTCGAGCCGAGCCCGACGTCGGTGACGCTTAGCGTGCCGCTGCCGCCGCTGTTGTCGGTCAAGACGAACGCGTCGCCCTGGGTCGTCGCCGTGACGCTGATGTCGGTGGTTGCGTTGATCGTCCGCAACACGTCGTCGACCGTCTGCGCCGCGCGGAGGTCGATGACCGCCGTGTCGCCGTTGCGGTCGGTGATCTTGATCTCGCCCGCGGGGACGCCCGCTCCGCCGTTCAGTTCGGTGAGGTCGACGCCCTTGTCGACCCGTCCGCCGAAGCCGAAGCGCAAAGTGCCGTCGCCGAGGCCCTCGGTCAGGTCGGTGAACGTGCCGGAGACGAGCTGGTGTGCCGACGCCGTCTGCAGCGGCGTGAACTGATAGCTGCCCAGCGCCGGCGTGGCGCCGCTCGCGACCGAGACGCTGATCGCGTCGCTCGATGACGAGACCGACCGTCCGGTGAACGTGGAGTTCGCACTGAACCGGTCCGCCGAGAACTGGAATGACAACACCAGCGCCGACAGTTGGTCGACGGCCGACTGCTCGCTCCGCAGCCCGTCGGTGCGACTGGACAGCGTGTCACGCGGTCGCGCGGAGAGCGCGATGAGCTGGTTGACCGTCTCCTCGATCGGGATGCCCGAAATCAAGCCGGCGTTCGTCGTGATGCCGGTTGAGGTGATGCGGGACATGGGACCGGGTCGTCAGGGTGCGCGCGAAGCGGTGGCGGGGCGTGAGGCCTACAACGGTAGCTCACCCGGCGCGCACGGCCCCCGGTTGGTATCGGTTAGGCAGACTGTTCCGCATGAGTTTCATGCTCCCGTCGCCAGCACTTCCATCCCGCCGGGGGCGTTAGCGACGCCGCGAACGAAAACAGCCGGCCCGACCCGCGAGGGGTCGGACCGGCTGGTCGTTACGCTGCTAGCGTCTCGGTTAGGCCGCTCGGCCTAGTCCGGCTCGGCTTAGTTGAGCAGGGCCAAGACGTTCTGCGGGTTCTGGTTGGCGATCGCCAAGACCCGAGTACCCGACTGGACGAGGATCTGCGAACGGGTGAGGTTCGCGGTTTCCTCGGCGAAGTCGGCGTCGCGGATGCTGCTCTCGGCCTCGGTGAGGTTCGAGAGCGTGTCGTTGAGGGCGTTCCGGTTCGTCTCGAGCGACGTCCGCTGGAAGGCGCCCAGTCGACCGCGGAGCGACGTCACCTGGTCGATGGCCGACTCGACGATCGCCGCAGCGGTCGTCGGGTCGCTCGCCAGGTCGGCGTCGCCGCCAGTGCCCAACTGGTACAGGAGGCCTTCGGTTCCGCCCAAGGCGGCCGTGTTGACGCTGTTGATGCCGAGGCGGGCCTGCTGGTTCGACACGACGTCCGGGCCGAGTTGGAACAGGGCGCCGCCGCCGGTGATGGTGAACGTCGACGAACCGACGAACCCAGCGGTTAGCGTCGCCGACAGGTCGAGCGTCGCGGTGTTGATCGACAGGTCGTTGCCGTCGCCCGTGGCGGAGATGCCGTTCACGGTGGCGGTCACGTCGGTTCCCGTCGACCGGGTCCCTTCGCTGATCGCCGTCGTGAAGGTGCCCGCGGGCGTCGCGCCTGTGCCCTCGTCGATGATCTGGAGATCGACGAACGCGTTGGAGCCGTATCCGCTCGACGTGAAGACGACACCCGTACCGGCGTCGTCCGCCGCGGCGGTGACCCCCGTGGCGTCGCTGATGGCGTTGACGCCGTCGATCAGCTGCGTGATGGTCGTGCCGGCCTCGAAGCTCAGGACCTCCGAGCCGTTTTCACCAGCCAGCTCGAACACCAAGTCGGCGTCGAGGCCGGTCGACTCGGTGCCGACCCCTGCGCCGACGACGCTCAGCTGCGCGGGGACCGTGTCGCCGTTCGCCGCGTTGAAGGTGAGGGTGCCGGTCGTGTTCTGGCCGAGCGTGGCGGTGCCGACTTCGGCGATGCTCTCGATCGCGGCACGGATCTGCTCGACGGTCGTGCCGGTGTCGTCATCGATGTCGATGGTGTAGCCCGTGGCGGCGCTGCCGCTCAGGATCACGGCGCCCGACGTGTCGGTGCTCGCATCGAGGTCGATGGTGAAGTCGCCAGCGAATCCGACCGCGGTGGTGATGTCGATCGTCTGAGTCGCCGTCACGGCGTCGGCGCCGTTGATCAACGCCTCAGTCGCCGGGGGCGCGTCGAGGAACGTCGAGGCGCCACCGACTTCGATGCCTCGGTAGGTCGAGGTGCCCGCCGTCGTGATGGTCGCGCTGTCGACCTCGGCAATGCCCTCGATCGCGGTCCGGATGTCACCAATGCCGACACCCGCGGCAGTATCCGAGTTGATCTGGAGGGTGTAGCCCGAGGTGGCGTTGCCGATGACGTTCGTTGTCGGACCGGCCGCGCCGAGCGCGGACTCGGCGAACGCGATGTTGATGTTGCTAGCAACACCTGCGACACCCACGATGTCGATCGTTTCGGTGGTGCTCACCGCGTCGGCGCCCGCGCTCGTGTTGCCGCCGGTGATCGCCTCGATCGCGGCTTCGTCACCCGCCAGCAGGTTGTCGGTGCCATCCGACACAGCCGTGAAGATCGCACTCGCGCCACCCGCGGCCTGGATCGCCGCAGCGACGTCGTCCGAGCCGACGCCGTTCGTGATGTCAGCGTCGATCGTTAGCGTGGTGCCATCGAACGTGGCTACGGCTCCGTTGGCGACCGTAGTTGCGTCATTGACGACGATCGCGAAACCATTGCCCGCAAGGCCGTCGGCAATGCCGTCCTCAACGGCGGTGATGGCGATCTCGTCGGCGCCGGCGCCGCCGAGGGTCAGCGTCGTGACCGACTGTACGGTGTCCGTCGTCACGATGTCGAAGTCGACCGATCCGGTGGAACCAACGGCGGCGCTGGTCTGGACGTCGAACTCGAGGCTGGTCGTGGTGGTCGGGGTGACGTCCGGCAGGTTGTCGATCGCGACCGACGCTTGCGTGGCGGCAGTCGAAACGGTGACGTCGACGGCAACCGAGCCGGTCGCGCCGAGGTTGGCTTGGTCGATCTGGACGTTCGAGATGGCCGTCGGGTTGGCGCCCGAGTTGGTCAGGAAGTCGAGCGAGCCGTCGAGCAGGCGGCGGCCCTGGAAGGTCGTCGTCTGAGCGATCCGGTTGAGGGCCTCGAGCGACGAGTCAACCTGCAGCTGGTTGGCCGCGATCTGCTCGTCCGACAGGGCGCCCGAGTTGGCCGACTCCGTGACTAGGCCCCGGATGTCGTTCAGCAGCGAGCTGACCTGGCCGAGGGCCGAGTCGGCGGTCGCGATGACCTGGTTGGCCCGGTCGGTGTTGCCGATCGCCCGACGGATCGACGTGATGTCGCTCCGCAGGTTCTCGCTGGCGATCAAACCGGCCGGGTCGTCGGCGCCGGTGTTGATCCGGAGACCGGTCGAGAGCCGCGTCAGGCTCTGCGACAGGTTGGCGTTCGCCTGGGCCAGGTTGTTCCGGCCGACGAGCGAACTCACGTTGGTGTTGATGCGTGTCATCGAACTACCCCTTTTTGGTCAGCGGTTCGTTGGGCGTCGTCCCGCGGTGTGCGGGTCGGCCGCCGTGGCGTCGTGGGAAACCGATTCCCGGTCGCCGTCGCGGTGTGACTTCCGTGAGGTGTGTCTCTCTGACGGCTTTGCGCGGGCTTCGGTGCGTGTCTCCACGCGCCTCACACACGGCTCGGCCTGGCGAGCGATCCTTTGGACGTTTCCGTGGCCCGTGAACCACGTTGGTCCGTGGGCCTAGGCGAACGTATCGTCCGCTAGCGTGGCAAGCGTGAGGTCATCCCCGTTTTCCTAGGCGGCCAACTCGCCGGCCAGCCGGGCGACCGGTCCGACCGTCAAACGCCGAACCACCGAGCGGGAGACGTCGGGCAACCGAAGGCAGAGTGCCTTCCTGGGAGGGGCGGCTTCGGCGAAGCCGGGCCGCGCGAGCCGCAAGAGACTCGCAATCGATGCAGCCCGCGTTAGCGGGCGCTAGGGGCGAGAGCGTGTGAGCTTCGCCGTCGTGAGAGCTACTCGTCGCCGCCCGCTTGGCGGGCTTGCTCGGTGCTGATCTCGCTGGCGCGACGGTTTTCGCGCTGGATCGCCTCGTAGACCTCGCGGCGGTGGACGGGGATCTCGACCGGGGCGTCGATGCCGAGGCGGACCTTGTCGCCGCGGACGTCGACAACGGTCACGACGACGTTGTCGCCGATGATGATGCTCTCGTCGCGTTGCCGTGACAGGACCAGCATGGGTGCGTCCTTCGGTTGCCACCACCGGCGGGAGCCGGGAGCGGGAGGGGCGTCGGGCCGTACGTCCGACGGGTCGTTGGGGGACAACTCGAGCGGCGCGGCGCCGGTCCGTTGTCGCGTTGTTACGCTATCGGCCGGGGGCTAGCACGGCCTCGACCGGGCCGTGTGTTGCTTCCGGTTATTTCGCTGCGCCCGCTGGCGACACCCCTCCGCCGACGCGTCGCGTCGGCGCAACCCTCGCAGGCGTTCTAGCTGTTCCTTCGGTCAGGCGGTTCGCCGCATCGACCCGGCCGAGCCGAGCCAGTGCCGCACCGGGTGGTCGTCCTTGGCGACGACCTGCTTGCCGCGGCGGCTCTCCAAGCACACCAGCAGCGGCGCCTTGAGATTCAGCGACAAGGCTCCCTCGCCGTGGCAGCTCACCGTCACGACGACCTGTGGCGTCGCGTCGGCGGGCGCTTCGAGCGGCCCGAGGTCGCGGGCGGAGACTCGCACCTTGTAGCCGGGCACAAAGCGGCGAGGGCTGACGACCGCGAACGCCAGGTCGGCGCGCTCGGTCGATTGCAGCCAGCCGAGGCCGCTGTGACGCCCGTCCGCGAGCGCGACCCACTCGGACCACGGCTCCAGGCCGATCAAGCCCTGTGGGAAGGTCAGGATGTCCGCCGGGCGGACCTCGACGCTTCCGAAACGTGTTGTCTGAATCTGCATGATGGTCTCCCCTCGCGCCGCTAGCACGGGCAGCGTCTCGGCTCGCGCCGACGACGGTCCGCGGGCCCCGTCGCGCAGGCCCTACGACGATGGCATCGGTCGTGCGGGTCGCCGGCGATGAAACTTTCCGGCCGGTCCGGCCGGATGCGTCGGTTGGCGGCCGGCCGCAGCCCGGACGGGTCCGGATGGGGCGCCAGCTCAAATGAAGTCGAGCAGCGACAGGTTCAGCAGGCTGCCGGCCGTCTGCAGCGAGGCTTGATAGGAGAACTGCTTGGCCGTGTAGTCGGAGATGACTTCGACCAAGTCGGCGTCGATCTCGTCGGACAAAGCGCTCCGCAGCTCGACCTGTTCGTCCGCGAGGCGGTTCTGAATCGACTCGAGGTTCCGCAGCCGGACGCCGACTTCGGCGCGGCCGAAGCTGACCCGTTCGAGATCGTCGTCGAACCGGTTGATCTCGCGCCCCAGCGCTTCGGAGTCCTCGGCGACGAGCGCTTCGCGCATCCGGATGAGTGTCGTGAAGACGCTGTCGACCTCGAGGACGTGACGGTCTTCCGAGGTCAGCGCCCCCGAAGTGCTGCTCACCGAGTCTTCACCGGGAGGGACGAACCCGAGCCGTTCGGCGTAAGCGCCCGACACGGTGATCGAGTCGGCGACCACGCCGCCGGCAACGTTGACGGCCGCCAGCGTGGCCGTGACGCCAGCGCCTGGTGTCGCGACGGCCGGATCGGTGACGGCGGAGGTCACGCTGTATCCGGGTAGGGCTGTGTCGATGCTGGCCGCGATTGCGTCTGATCCCAGCGTCGTCGCCCCCCGAAATTGACGGTAATCACATCACCATCGACCGTAGTTTCTAAGCCTGCCGCGCCGTGTCGGTTAGCTCGACCGTGAACGTACGATCGAATGCGGGCCCTACCGTGTCGGCTGTGATCGTGAGTGTGTCTGTCCCCACAGAAAAGTCGCCGTTGGCGGCGACGCCCGGGTCGTTGACATCCGTTCTCGACAAGACGAGACCGTTGCCCACCGCCGCGAGGTCTGCGGTAATCGCAGGTCCGCCGAGAACGATGTCAAACGTGTCCGCCGCGATCTGATCGATCAGGTCGTCGACCGACGTCAGGCCAACCGGGTCGATCGTGTAGGACTGGGTGACCCCGTCTTCGACGACGGTGACGACGAACTCGTTCTGGGCAAGCCTCTGCGCCTGCGCTGCGGCCTCCGGGAGTCCCTGGGTGTCGACCTCTTCGAAGACCCCCACGCCGCGATTGAAGTCGGCAAGCCGTGTCGACCGGGTGTAGGTGCGGATGCCGAGGTCCGTGGCGGTCGTGCCTCCGTTCTCGCCGATCGTGAAGTCGGCCCCGCTGCGGCGCGTGCGGACGTCGATGCCGTCGCCAGCGGCGTTGATCTGAGCGTCGAGCCCGTAGTCGGGCGTGTTCAGCAGGCTGAGCAGGTCCTCGACCGTCTCGGCGGACGACGTGTCGACGGTGTAGGTCTCCGAGCCGTTGGTGATCAGCAAGCCGGACGCGACGTCGACCTCGCCGTCGGCGCCCCCGGAGAGGGGCGTGCCGGAGTATCCGGCCGAAACGGCCCCGGTCCCCTGCGCGTCCAGCGTTGTCTGGTCACGGTAGTCGGTCGACGCGGTGACCGGGACGCCGGCCGCGCCGTTGATCGCGTCGGCGATTTCTGCGGCGGTGGAGACGCCGTCTTCGATCGTCAACGTGAGCGTGTTGGTTCCTCCGTCGTAGGCGGCCGTGGCGGCGCCGGGCGGCCCGGCAACGATCTCGACGGTGAGGCCGTTGAGCGTCGATCCGTTCGACTCGGCGGTCAGCACCAAGTCGTTGTTGCCGCCTCCCAGGTCGAGCCGCCCCCGCGCTTTGGCGCCGAGGAGGTCGTCGAGTGGGTCCGTCCGTAGGATCACGGGGTCGAGGTCGGAGCCGGAGATGTTTGACAGCGGGACGCCCGTTGAGAGCAGGCCGAGTTCCCTTGCCGTCGCGCCTTGGCCTACCTCGTTGATCGTCACTCCGCCGTTGGCGACGTCCACCCGCAGGCCCGAGCCGGAGACGGTGACCGTCAGATCGGCGTCTCCGGGTGCGCCGGCCTCGATTAGCCGGGCGACGTCCTCAATGGTCGAGGCCCGCGACAGGTCGATCGTGGTCGAGATCGCTGGCTCGGTGGGTGTGGTCGGTTGGAAGAGCACCTCGATGGCGCCGTCGGGGCTCAGGCCGAGCCCGCCGTTCACCTGCGACAGCCGCGTGGTGGGCGTCAGCTGCGGGTTCAGGTCGGCGCCGTCGCCGGCGGGCTCCGAGAAGCCGCCGAAGACGTCGGCTCCCGAGACGCCGGCGTCGAAGAGCTGCCCGATGTCGACGTACGTTTGAGGACTCCCCTCGGTGCCGGAGAACTCGACGTAGAGCGAAGCCTCCTCGTACGGGGGCGAGGTCGTTTCGGTGCCCCCGAAGACGTACGTGCTAGTGAACGTCGTGTTGCCGACGCGTGTCAGCTCGTCGAGGAGTCGGTCGACGGTCTCGATCGTGGCGTTGCGTTCGTCTTCGCTCGCGATGGTGTCGACAACCGCGAGCGCCTCGGCGCGCAGCGAGTTGAGCTGATCCGAGACGTTGCTGAGAGCCAAGTCGGCCGTGGCGAGCGCGATCTGGGCGCCGCTGGCGTTCGTCGCCGATTGCTCCTTGCGTTCGATCGTCCGCTGCAAGGCGATGGCCCTTTGCGCGGAGGCCGGGTCGTCGCTCGGCAGGAAGATGCGGAAACCAGTGCTCAGCTGGTTCTGCAGCGTGAGCAGGTCTCGCTGGTCCGCTTGGATCTGGTTGGTCAGCCGATCGCGCGTCATCGACGTCGTGACGCGGGTCGTCGAGATGGGGGCGATTCGTGTCACGGCAGCGGCGCGGGGCCTCGGTTCGTGTCGGTTGCGACGGGTCAGAGCGCCATGAGCGTGTCGAGCATCTCTTGGATCGTCGAGATGTAGCGGGCGGTCGCTTGGAAGATGTCCTGCAGCAGGAGCATCTCCACCGCTTCCTCGTCCAGGTTCACCCCGGTGACGGCTTGGTACTCGGCCGCGAGGGTTCCTTGGAAGACGGCCAAGCCCTCGGCGACCGAGCCGGCGACCGTTGAGTTCTGCGCGAGCTCGTTGACGAGTTGATCGTACTTCTCGCTGATCGAGGCCCCGTTGAGCGACTCCAGCGGCTCGTCGGTCAGCCCGGCCATCAAGACCGCGTTGCGTGTCGTCCCGCCCACGCCGTCGAGGCTCGCCGCGAACTTGGCGGCGTTCTCGATGCCGTCGAGCTCCGAGTTGACCCCGATGTCCAACGCGCCCGTGCCGGTGAAGAACGTGTTGATGCCGATCGACGCGAGCAGCCCGCTGGAGTCTTCGGAGAATGAGAAGCTGACCGCGTCGGAATCCGATTCGATCGTCAACCGGCCTTGGACGTCGATCGAGGCCGAGATGCCCGCAATCGCTTCGAGCTGCGCCGCGACGTCGGCGAGCGTCGCGTCTTCCCCGTTGTCTAGGGCGCCGACGAAGACGCGTGTCGGCACCGTGCTGTCCGTCGCGTTGTTCGTCACGCTGATGACAAACTCGCCGTTGCTGACGGGGAAGGGCAGGCCCGCCTCGGCAAACGGCGCGTTCGCGTTGTCAACACCGTTCTGGCTCGTGATTCGATCGAAGCCCTCGAGCCCCTGCCCCTGCGAGTGGACGAGGTTGAACTCGTGAATCAGGGTCGAGGCGAAACGGTCGAGCGTGCTGCGGAAGTCGTCGATGATCTCGTCGCGTGCGACTTGCCACCCCTGGAGGCTGCCGCCGACGATCTCGAGTTCCTTGCCGGTGTCGACAAACTGCAGCCGAGCGGTCTGCTCACCCGACTCGTCGCCCGACTCGAAGGTGACGTCGCGTCGCTGGCCTTCGAAGACCAGAAACTCGCCGCCGACCGAGACGCTCAGGCCCCCGCTCGGCTGCTCCGAGACGTTCACGGCGATCAGCTCGGCGAGTTGATCGACCGCGTTGTTGCGTTCCGTCCGCAGGGCGCCGGCCTGGCTCGTGTTGGCCGAACCGCCTTCGATCTGGGTGATCTGCACGTTGAGGGTGCGGATCTTCTGTGTCAGCTGGTTGATGACGTCGGCCGAGGAGCCGATCTGCTCGTCGAACCGGTTGCGGATGTCCCGCGCGCCCCGGTCGATGCGACGGATCTCCGCGGCGAGCTGTTCGCCCTCGAGGATCGCGAGATTGCGGACCGAGAGCGGGTCGCCGCTCGTGGCGTTCAGCGTGTTCTCAATGCTGCCGAAGAACTCGGTGAGCGCCGTGCTCAGGTCGCCGCTGGAGAGCTCGCCGAGCAGTCGCTCGAGCTCCTTGTAGGCGTCGTTCTGAATGTTGGCGCTGGCGAGGTCGGCGCCGGAGTCGCGAAGCTGCTGGCCGAGCTTCTCGTCGATCACCTGGGTGATGCTGTCGACCTGCACGCCCAGGCCGATCGTCAGGTTGCCCCGCTGCTGAACCGGGGCCGGCGCGTAGTTGACCTTCTCGCGAACGAACCCCTCAGTGTTCGCGTTGGCGATGTTGTTGCTCGTCACCTGCAGGCCAATCTGCATGGCCTGCAGCGTGTTGCTTGCTGTTTGTAGCGAGCCGAACAACGACATGATGAGGGACGCCGTGCGAGGCGATCGACGGGTCGCCCGGGCGTGCTGGCGCCAGCAGACGCGCCCCGCGGCGTGGACGGGCTCTGCTAGCAGCGGGTGGGTCGGTCAGACAGCGCGATCGACCAACACCCCGCCGGCCGCAGAAGGGCCCTTCTCTGGATAAGTCGGCGCTTGTCGCCCGCCGGTGGCGACAATCTCGATCATTTGCGAAAGCTGAAGCAGGCGGCGCTGAACCAGCACCCAGTTCGTCAGGCTCTGGTGCTGCAACACACGCGATCTCGATCGGGCTTCTCGCAGCGGCCCGGCGAGGGCGTCGCGTGTCGGCGTCGGCAAGGCTTTCGCGAGGGTCCGCAAGTTCGCGTGCGGCAGTCCTTGCTCGCCGGCCGTGTCGAGCAGTTCTTGGCGCCGTTGCAAGCAAGCTTGCAGTCGCTCGCCAAGCCGTTGCTCCTCCGGCTGGATCTCAGCCAGCCCGGCGCGGTCGTCGCCGACGAGCATCTGGCGTTTGCGGTCGAGCACGTCCAGCAGGCTCGCCTGGGTGTCCGACAGCTCTGCCAGCAACTCGGTGAGCGGTTGCTCCCAGTCGTGCGGGCCAACGGGTGCGTCCGCGTTGGTCGGACGAGACGCCTCGGACGCGGTCGGGTGCTTGGCGTTTGGCATCGGCATGGCGGCGGTCAGCAAGGCGTCGGAGAAGAGAACGAGTGTCTCGAAGCGGCGTCAGCGCGGGCGGAGGGCGTCGAGGGCCGTCAGGCCGTTGGCCGACGAAGCCGCGGCCGTCTCTTTGTCGGCGGCGGCCAGCAGGGCCGCCGCTTCGGGGTGGTCGGTCTCGAACAACGAGTCAGCGAACGTTGCGCCTTGCCCTGCCGCGAGATCGGCCGCCATCTGCTGGTCGAGCCGAGCCTGGAACTGCTCTTCGGCCATGCCGCCGTGGAAGTAAGCGGGCTCGCCGACCGACTGCCGCATCGACTTGAGCATCGAGCCGAACAACGTCTCGCCAACAAACTGCGAGTAGGCCTGCTTCAACGCCTTCGCCTCAGCAAGCGACTGCGCGTCGGCGCCTTCGGGCGGCGCGGGCGCCGTGTGCCGCTGCAGGGTGGCGTTGATCGACGAAACCGAAACCGGATTCATGAGCGTGTTCGTTGGAGGGTGTCAGAGGACGATCAGCTTCGCGTGCAGCCGGCCGTTGCGTTCGATCTGGCGGATGATCTCGATGACGTCGTTGGCCGGCACGCGCAGGTTGGCGAGCGCCTCAACCAGTCGTTCGAGCTTCGGTTGGTTGGTTTCGCCGGGGGCGATCGGCAGGAAGTTGGCCGACTGCCCGGTCTCGATCACCAGGTTCTTGTGAGTGAAGACGACGTCGCCGATCTCGACGTCGCCGCTGATCACCACGCTGCCGGTCGCCGTGTTGCAGACGACTCGGGCTTCGGGTTCGGCGTCGTAGATCGACGTCTCCAGCAGCTCCGAGACGAACGCGACGTTGTCGTCGTCGTTCGTGAACCGCATCGGCACTTTGACTCGAATCGTCGCCGCGTCGACCGGCTTGACGTACTTCTTGCGAACCTCGTCGTAGTCGACCAACGATCCCATCGGGGCGTAGTCCTCGGCGTACTTGGTCGCCAGGTCGGACGCCACCTTCTCGGCGACGTTGAAGTCGGCGTGGTGCGTGTCGAGGACAATCGTCACCCACCCGTCTTCGGAGACGAACGGCGTGCGGACGTCTTGCACCAGTTGGCAGCCCCGGTGGACGTGGGCGACCATCGGGTGATTCGGGTCGCTGATCTGCAGGGCGCCTTCGCAGAGGGCGTAGACCGTGGGGTCTTGCGTGTTCGGCCCCGTCAAGGCGGCCGATATCAGGCGTCCGCCTTCGAGGCCCTTGCCGTTCACGGCGCTGACGGAGCAGTCGATCTTGTCGCCCTTGATGCCGCCGGTTGCCGGGACGGTGGCGGTCACCATGACCAAGGCGACGTTCTTGACGTTGCGGAGCGCCTGCTGCGCATCGGCGTCGAACCGCCCTGTCATCGAGACCGGGTTGCCCATCACCTCGAGCGCGCGGTTGAGGGCTCGCATGGTCGAAAAGTCGTTCGTCTCGCCGGTGCCGTTGAGCCCAACGACCAGGCCGATGCCACGCAAGACGTTCTCTTGCTGCCCCTTCACATGGCAGATGTTCGCGAGCTTGGTCCGGCCGGTCTGTGCCGTGGCGTCTGTCGCGAACGACAACGTCGCCAAAGCTGCCAGCAGAGGGGCGAGGGGAGTCTTCATCCGAGTCATCCAGTCGATCACGTGTCGCGTGGTTCGCTGTGTCAGAAGGGCTTGTACTTGCCGTAGAAGCGACCCAGCCAGCCGCGTGAGTAGCCGTCGCGGACGGCGCCCTCTTCGTACTTGTCGATCCGCAGGTCGGCGATCGCCGTGTCGCGGACCGTCCAGTCGGGCCCGATCATCTGGCGAGGAACGGTCCCGGTGAGGTAAGTCATCCAGACCTCTTCGTTGACCCGGATCTCGCGGCGGCCCTCGATGACGAGGTTGCCGTTCGGGCGGATGTCGACCACCTTCGCCGCGATCGGGAACGTCAGCGACTCGCGCTGCTCGATGTCGGAGTTGGCGACCGACTGGCTGTTGAGCTGCCCCGAGATCGTCGGGTCCCCCTGCGACTGCGGCGCTGGGAAGATGTCGCGACCGTCGAACTTGATCCAGTCGGTGAGCGACGAGTTGAAGCTGCCGACCTTGATCGTCTCGCTGTCGCCCTCGCTGAGCATGACCGAGCGGTAGTCGACCAGCACGGTGATGATGCTCTGCACCTCGAGCGGTCGGGCCATCGCCTCGGGCGGGAGCGTCTGATAGATGAACGAGCTGTTCGTGAGGGTCGCGGCGCCCTGCGCCGGCGTGGCGAACTTGTTCATCAGGCTGCCGTCCTGCGCCGTGGCGACACCCGCACAGGTTGCGACGACGGCGAAAGCGAGCAAAGCGAAGCGTGTAACGGTCATTGGAGCCCTCCGGTGCGGGCCGGGCTGCCCGAGGCGGCTCCTGCGGACAGGATCGCCAATCGACGCGGGCCGACGACCCGGGCGTTGAACTTCTCGCGACGGTCGTAGGCCTCGACTTGCACGAGGTCGCCCTCGCGGCCGTCGGAGCGGGCGGTGGCTTGCAAGCTAACGGAGATGCCTCCCCCGCCGCTGGTGACGGTCACCTGATCGCCACGACGCACCATCAGGGGAGGCGCCGTGTTGGCTTCGGACAGGATGTCGCCCGCACGGATCGTGCGGGTGGCTTCTTTGCCGATCGCTTCGTCAAGCTCCGAGTAGCGGTTGGCGATCGTCTGTTCGAGCTGGTCGACCGGAATCATCTCGCGGCGGACCGCCGATGCGGTGACGAGCGACCCACGCTGCATCGGCGCCGCGGCGACGACCCGGTAGGTGGGCTCGATCAACTCGGCGACCGCGCGGAACACGTCGGCGTCGTCACGCGACGACGGCCACACTTCGACCGAGACGCTGCCGGCGTCGATAGGTCTGGCGGACGGCAAACGGACTTCGAGGTCGCGTTCCTGCCTGAACAAGAGTTCGCGAAGGGCCGTTTGCGACAGTTGGACGCCACGCACCAACAGCGGCGTCGCGTCGGGCGCCGTGCGGAGGCGGGCGTCGAGCGCCGACTGGACCCGATCGACGACGACTTGTTCGATCTGCTGCGCTTCGCGCCGGCTCGGAACGCGCTGCCGGGGCGTCAGCGTCGCTCGCTGCGTCGCCTGAGAGCCCGCGGGGGCGCGGAAGCCGAAGCCGCCTGCGGACGCCCGGCGTCGTGCGGGGCCCCAGCCCGCGACGTCTTTCTCCGAGGCTGGTCGTTCCCGCTGGGCGGCGGTCTCGATCAGCACGCGGTACGCGCCGCCGAACCGATGGCGCGAGGCGGACTCGCCTTGGGCGGTGAGCAGTTCTCGGATCGAGCCTGCCGAAACGAACTGCCTGGTGCCGGGCGGCGGTGTGGGCATGATCGGCAAGGCCGACAGGCGAGACCGTTCGCTCGCGTCTGGCGAGTCGATCCGAGCGACGTCGCGCAAGCGGACGATCGCGCCGTCGGGCGTCGCCGAGTCGAGCAGCTGGATCGTTGCGCCGGTCGCGCGGTCGCCCAAGGCGGTCGCGGCGAGCAGCAAGGCGGCGATGACAGGTCTCGTTAGCACGATGCTAGGAATGAAAGACAATTCGGGTGGATCAGTTACGCAGGTTGGCGATCAGCGCCATGATCTCGTCGCCGGCCCGGATCACCTGCGAGTTGAGTTCGAAGCTGCGTTGCGTGTTGATCAGGTCGATCAGCTCGGTCGTCGCGTTGACGTTCGACGCTTCCAGGAACCCCTGCGCAAGGAACCCAACGCCCGGTTGTCCCGGGTTGACGTTGGTGACCGGACCGGACGCCTCGGTCGGCTGGAACAGGTTGTCGCCCAGCTTGAGCATGCCGTCCGGGTTGATGAACGTCGCGAGCTGGATCACGCCCGCTTGCGTGTAGTCGGTCTGTCCGCTCTGAGAGAAGCTGACCTCTCCCGTGTTCGCGATGACGATCCCAGTCGCCTCCTGAGGGATCGTGATCGGCGGGTTGAGTCGGTAGCCGATGTTCGCCGAACCAACGACCAGCTCGCCGTTGGCGTTGCGGTTCAGGTTCCCGGCGCGCGTGTAGAGCAGCTCACCCGCCGGGCCGGTCACTTCGAAGAACCCGTCGCCTTCGATGGCGATGTCGAGCTCGTTGCCGGTGTTCTGGAAGGCGCCGACTTCGAAGTCGGCCTGCGTGCTCGAGACACGGACGCCGAGCCCGACATCGATTCCGGTCGCCGTGATGTTCGCGTCGGCGTCTTCCGAGCCGGGCAAGCGGTACTGCCGGTAGAAGAGGTCTTCGAAGTTGGCCCGATCGCGCTTGAAGGCGGTGGTGCTCGAGTTCGCCAGGTTGTTGGCGATGACGTCGAGCTTCGTCTCCATCGCCTGCATGCCGGTGGCGGCGGTGTAGAGAGATTGGAGTCCCATAGGAGGCGCTAGTAGTGAGGCGCTAGGCGCTGGTTGAGGGGTTGTTGAGCAAGAACTAGCGCCTGGCGACTAGCGCCTAGCGCCCGGCGGCGTTAGCCGCCCAAGACTCGACTGATGAGGTTTCCGGTGGCGCCGTCTTGGTGACGGATCATCTGGGTGTTCGCTTCGAAGGCGCGGTTCGTTTCGATCATCGCCATCATCTGCTGAGTGGCGTTGGCGCCGGACATCTCGAGGTAGCCCTGACGAACCTCCCGCTGGTTGGGAGCAAGCTCGACGACCTCGCCTCGCGAGCGGAAGAGGTTGCCGCCGACCTTCGTTAGCTGGTCGAGCGAGTCGGGGGCCACCAGAGCGAGCGGCGTCGACGCGCCGCCCTGCTCAACCCTGCCGTCGCGTGTGATGTTCCAAGGCAGAAGCGGGTCGAGCACGATTGGCGAGCCGTCCGCCGAGAGCACTGGCTGGTTGGTGTCCGCCATCACGAGCCGATTGAGCGAGTCGACCTGCAGCGCCCCGGCGCGCGTCAGCAGCGGCTCGCCGCCGCCGGCGTCTTCGACCAGCAAGAAGCCGTCGCCGATGATCGCCAGGTCGTTGTTGTTGCCGGTGCGTTGGAGCTTGCCGGCGGAGAAGTTCGTGAGCGTCTCGATGGTCTTCACGCCGCCGCCCACGTCGGGCAGGCCGCCGGCGCCGGGTTGCGCCTGGCCGAGCTGGATCGCTTCGTTGAACCGCGCCTGGAAGATCGCCGTGTCGGGCTTAAATCCGACCGTGTCGACGTTGGCGATGTTGTTTGCGATCACCTCGAGACGCTGCGACTGAGCGCGGGCGCCTTCGGCCGAGATGTACATGCCGTGAGACATGGTGGACGAGTCTGCTAGCAGGTGAGCCCCCCTGCCGGCGACTCCGCTCTAGGCACGTCTGGCGCCAAAACCGGAGCGATGAAGATTCCTCGGGAATCAGGCGATGAGGACGTCAAACGAGCGCGCCGCTCGGCAAGAGCTGCCGGCAAGTCGCCGACCGGTTGCGGCAAGGTCTGCCGAACCGGTGTGGCTAGTCGCGCGAACGGAGCAACTCGGCGGCGCCGCGTGCTAGCAGGTCGTCGGCCATCGCGTAGCCAAGGGCGACGGCGTCGCCGATGCCAGCGATCTCGCGGCTCGCTTCGTGGTCGAGCCGGCGTCGGCCGTCATCGCTGAGGACCACGACTGACAGTCGCAACCGGTCGTCGTCGGGGCGGGCCCAAGCGCCCAGCGCCGCAAGGCAGCCCCCTTCGAGGCGCGAGAGCGCCGAGCGCTCGGCCGTCACAGCGCGGCGAGTCGGCACGTCGTCGAGCACGCCGAGGGCGTCGAGCACACGCAGGTCCGTGCTCCGGCACTCAACCCCCAGCGCCCCCTGACCCGGGGCCGGCAGGAGTTCGTCGGGGGGGATGCGTCCGGCGAGGCGATCGGTCAGGCCGAGCCGGGCGAGGCCGGCTTCAGCGAGCAGGATCGCGTCGTGCTCGCCTTCGTCCAGCTTCCGCAGTCGCGTGTCGAGGTTGCCCCGCAGGTCGCCGATCACCAGATCGGGCCGCCGATTCAAGAGCTGCGCTTTGCGGCGGAAGCTGCCGGTGCCGACCCGAGCGCCCTGTGGCAGCGCGTCGATCATCGTCGCGAGGGGCGACACGAGCACGTCGGCGATCGGCGCGCGCTCGGGAACGGCGCCGAGCGTTAGCCCCGGAACCGGCGTCGTCGGCAGATCCTTGAGGCTGTGGACGGCGAAGTCGATCTCGCCCGCGAGCAAGGCGCGCTGGATCTCTTTCGTGAAGACGCCTTGGCCACCCGACGCCGAGGCGTCTTGATCGACGATCGCGCTGATCGGACCGGTTTGCTGGGCGTCGCCGCGGGTGCGGATCTCGACGATCTCGATCGCGACGCCGTGCGCCCGCAACCGCTCGGCGACCCAGTCGGCTTGCCAGCGGGCGAGTTGGCTCCCGCGGGCGCCAAGGCGGAGCGGCCCGTCAGTCGCCATGCTCACCCGGTCCTTCTTCGGCTCCGTCCGAGGGGTTTGCCGGCTGCGGCGACGCGAGTCCCGCCCCGACGGCCCCGTTGGGATGTCCGGCGCCCTTCATCGGCACAGCGCCCATCCCCAGTCCGTACGCGGACGTGTCGGGCCGCGGCCCGTCCACCGGAGGGCTCTTGTCTTCGGAGACGGCGCGGGTGATCTGTTGCGGCGGCACGACGACGCCACAACTCACGATGAATTGGAACGCCTGGTCGATCGTGAGGTCGAGGTCGACCGTCTCGCTCTTCTTGACCGTGATCGTGAAGCCGGTGAACGGCATCGGCGAGGTCGGGATCAGCACGCTCATCACCGACTCGTTGGCGGCCGACTCGATGTCGAGCAAGCTCTCGCCGGTGACGAAGGCGACGGTCCAGATCCCCTTCCGCGGGTACTCGACCGCGACGACGCGTGTGATGTCGAGGTCGGGGTCGCTGAACAGGAAGTCGGTCACCTGCTTGACCGACGAGTACACGTTGCTGACCAACGGCACGCGGTTGATCAGGGCTTCGAGCTGCCCATAGAAGAACCGCCCGATGCCCGCCGCCAGGAACTTGCCGAGCGTGTAGAGCAGCAACAAGAAGACCGACAGGAAGATCGGGATGACGATCCACGGCTGCAGCCACACCTCGTCGATGTAACGCCCGTAGTACTCGCGCGCTGTCGGCGGTTCGGCTTCCTTCTTGCGAAGCTCTTCCTGGACCTTCCCGTAGACCGTCTCGGGGATGTACAGCCCGTCCGGCGTGCGGTGGAACAACCGGTCGTCCGCCTTGACCGTCTCGCCCGGCTCGCCTTCGAAGTGGCTCGGCTGGCGGATGTCCGACAGGTACTCGACCAGCACGTATCGCGTCGCCCCTTCGAGGGGTTCGAGCACGTAACGCGCGACCGTGTTCCCGACCCACAGGAAGATGACGATCGTCAGCAGCGGCGGCAGCAACACGCCGAGGCCGCGCAGCACGGCCCGACGGAACGGGTCGAGCGTGCCGGGCGGGGGTTCGACGGTGATGTGTGGCTGGGGCGCCATGCGTGCCTTGCGTTGGGACGGGGTGATCGAGGCCGTGCGATCCGCGCAATCGGACCCACTTGCCTCACCGCCCTCGGTTAGCATTCTTCGGAATCGGCTCCAGGCAGCAAGCGTCCCCAGGTTGGTACGCCAGTGCGTCGGGTGGCGCCGCTTCCTACAACGATCCTAGCCGCCTAGCCGCGACAACCGCTGCCACCCGTGTCGCCCCGGCCCGTTTCAGGGCTCGCGCAGCAGCGCTGCAGGTGCCGCCGGTGGTCAGGACGTCGTCGACGAGCAGGACGGTTCGTCCGGCGAGGCCATCGGCTCGACGGACCGAGAACGCCCGCCGGACGTTGGCGACGCGGTCGCTGGGCGCGACGCTCGTCTGCCGCGGCGTGGCCCGTGTCCGACGGAGGCGCCGCGTGTACGGAACGCCGAGCTCCGCGGCGAGCGCGCGCCCGATCGCAGCCGGGCCGTCGCAACGCGTCGCCATGCGCCGCGACCAGTGCGAAGGAACCGCCGTCACGCAGACCGGTTCGAGCGCGAGCAGCGTTCCGCGACGCCGGCGACCGAGCATCCGTCCGAGGGCGCCGGCGCCAGGCTCGCCCTCCGGGCGCTTTGCGTCGAGGACAAGCCGACGAAGCAATCCGTCGTACGGCCCAAGGGCGATCGTGGCGTCGAAGCCCCACCGCTCCTCGCGACAGGCGGGGCAGTCCTTGGCGCCTGGGTCGTTGACCGGCGTCGGTGTCGAGCAGCGTGGGCAGACCGTCTCGGTGAAGAGTTCGAGGTCCGCCTCGCACGCCGGGCAAAAGTCGCCGGCGGCCGTCAGGCCGTCAGCCGCCTGCCCACAAGCGGCGCACGTCGGCGGGAACGCGACGTCGAGCAGGTGGGTGACAGCGAGGCGGAGCGACAAGGCCATGCCGGCACTGTAATCACCACACGCCGGCGTTTGGCGACTCGTGTTGACGCGTTTCGCCCTCCGCCTCAGACTCCCTCGCCTTCCCCGCCACGTTGTCCGCTAGCACCGTCCTCGCCGTGCGAAAGATCGACCGGTACTTGCTGCGGCAGTTCGTGCAGGTCTTCGTGATCTGCTTCGTGAGTCTCGCGGGGCTCTACACGGTGATCGACGCCTTCGGGCGGCTGGACGACTTCACCGGCGAGGGACGATCCTTCGCCGAATCGGCCATGGCCGCCGGCCGTTACTACGCCCTGCAATCGCTCGGCTTCTTCAATCGCACCAGCGGGGTTCTGACGCTCATCGCCGCGATGTTCACGGTCACGTGGATCCAGCGGCACAACGAGATGACCGCCCTGCTCGCCGCGGGCATCCCGCGGATCACCGTGCTGCGGCCCGTGCTGATCGCGTCGGTCGGCGTCGCCGTGATCGCGGCGGGCGTGCGGGAATTCGCCCTGCCGCGGCTGCGGCACGAGATGACGCTCGACTCGAAAGACCTCAGCGGCCAGCGGACGGTCGAGCTCAAGCCGCGTTACGACAACGTCAGCGACATCCTGCTGGGGGGCGACAGCGCGAACCTCAAGACACGCGAGATCGTCGAGCCGGCCTTCTCCCTGCCGCCGAGGCTCTCGGCCACCTACGGCAAGCAACTCGTCGGCGACACGGCCGCCTACCTGCCGGCCGCGGGGCAGCGACCCGCGGGCTACCTCTTGCGAGGCGTCCGCGTGCCGCGCGACGTCGATCGCCGCCCGAGCCGCGCCGACGACGAGGGGCTGCCCGAGATCGTGACGCGCCGCGACGCCAGTTGGCTCAACGAACGCGAGGTCTTCGTCGCCAGCGGTGTGTCGTTCGACTTGCTGGCCGCCGGCCCGCAATGGCGCGACCTCGCCTCGACAAGCGAACTCGTCCGAGAACTCGGCAGCCCCAGCACCGACCTGGGGCCCGACGTCCGGGTCGCCGTCCACGGCCGGCTCGTGCAGCCGGTGCTCGACGTGACGCTGCTCTTGGTCGGCCTGCCGCTGGTCGTCTCACGGGGCGCGCGGAGCCCGTTCGTTTCGATCGGGCTGAGCGTCGTCGTCGTGACGGGGTTCTTTCTGCTGACCGTCGGCGGGCAGGCCCTCGGCGCGGGCGGCTGGCTGAAGCCTTCGCTCGCCGCGTGGCTGCCGCTGCTGGTGTTCGTGCCGATCGCGGCTGCGCAAGCCGAGACGCTGCGTCAGTAGCTTCGCGGCAGACGGCCGCACGTCGCGCCCGCGCACAGCAGGGCTGCCAGAACGAGAGCGGTTGGCTCGGGGACCGCGGCCGAAGTCGCCAAGGCCGGCGAGAAGTTCGCCAGCCAAACGTCGTAGTCCGCCAGCTCGACGGCGCCGTTGCCGTCTGCGTCGGCGGCGAGGCCCGCGCCTGACTGCCCGAACTGGTCACGCCAGACCGTGTAGTCGGCCGCGTCGATCGCGCCGTCTCCGTTGAAATCGCCGGCGAACTGCGCGTCGCTGACGAACGACGAAAGCCACTCGCCAAGCGGCAGGTTGTTCGGCTGGTCGATCGGCGCTTCGGCGCCGATGTTCCAGAGGCTGCCGTTCGACCCGTCCATGCCCCACTGCCAGATGTGGATTGCCGAGAGCTCGTCGCGCCGGCCGTCGAGCGCTCGGTTGAGGCCCCGGAAGGCCATCACCTGCTCGTCCGTGTCGACCGCGCCGCTGGAGTTCTGTGGGTTGACCGTCGTGCGGTTGTACGGAAGGTAGCCCACCTCGGTGAGCACGACCGGCAGGCCGTCGCCCGACTGCCGGTCGGCGGCGAAGTCGAGGATCTCGTTGTCGAGGCGGTCGTTCCAGCCCGCCTCGACTTGGGAGATGAACGTCTCGTTCGGGTCGCTGCCCGACGCGTCCGATTGACCGTTGGTCGTCGTGTTGCGGAAGTAGGCGTCGATCCCCAGGTAGTCGATCGCCGGGTTCTCCCAGATCGTCGACGTCAGGTTCCCGTTGCGGTAGTTGTCCCAGTTGGCGGCGTAGCCGAGCGGGCCGCTGTACGCCGCGTCGACCGCGGCGATCACCGAGTCCCACTTCGCGTTGTTGCCCGAGTTTCGGGTGATCGCCCGCAGTTCCGTGCCGACGTTCAGCGCGTCGGCGCCGGTGTCTTGTGCCAACTCGGCCACGTCGACCAGGTACGCCTCGTAGTCGTCCCAGAACGTGTTCCACTCGGCCGACCCGGGCGTCGGGTCGTACTGGCCGCGCCAGAAGGCGAAGTTCTCGGGCTCGACGAACGGGTTCACCGTCACTTCCATGCCGAGCGACTTGGCGCGTTGGATCCCCGCCTCGAGGTGGCTCAACTCGGGCCCGCGCTGCGAACTGGTCGCGATCGAACCGGTCGTGGTGTTGATGTACCGCACCGGGCTGATCGACACCTCGCGGAAGCCGGCGTCGTAGATGTCCTGCACGGCGTTCTCCCAACGCGTGGCGCCGGAGAAGCCGAAGTTCCACCAAGAGATCAGGTTGAAGCCGACGCCGGGGTCGACGTTCGGCTCGTAGACCGTCGGGTCTGCGGCCAGCGCCGGCGCGGCGAGAGCCAGCAGCGCGACGAGCGCCCGACGGCTAAGCCTCAAGAGGGCGGTCATTGTGAGCCGCCGGCTTGAGGCCGCGGCACCACGATCTCAAGCCGCCGTCCGTCGGCCGTGTCGATCTCCAGCGGCGTCTGGTTCGGGTCGGTGTACTCGGGCGGCACGGGGAGCTTGCCGTCGGGGCCGGGCTGGAACGGGAAGTAGACGCGGTGCCGGCCGGCGGTCAGACCGTCGTTAAACTTGAGTGTCGTGACGGCGCGGATCGTCCCGTCGGGCCGGATCTTCGCCGTCCCGACCCGCGGGAAGTTCTTGCCGTCGGGCGATTCGAGCTGCGGCACGAACTTGAGGACGTACTCGGAGCCCATCACCGGCGACCCGTCGTCGTAGAGGACGGAGCCGCTCACGCTGACCAAGCTGAACGGGCCGCGATTGCAGCCGATCATCGCCTGTGCGGTCAAGCAGACCACACCGAGCCTTAAGCCTACGCGTCCTTGCATGGGAGCCTAATCCTCGTTGCCGATCGGCAACCCGTCCCGCGAGATCAGGAGCCGTTGCCACGCCAAGAAGATGTTTGGCGTCACATCGCGGTTTTCGAGATAGCCGCCGATAGAGAACTCGCCGGACTGTATGAAGTCGCCCACGAATCGCACGCTCCCGTCCGCCAGGGCGACGTTCGCGCCGCCCGGGTGACGACTGCGGACCACTGACTGGCCGCTTGCATCTGCCCCGTTGAAGGGCTCCATGCACTCGAGTTCAAGTGCGGACAGATGATTGCTGATGAGGTCTGGACCACCGAGGATGTCATCGAAACCTGCCCCGCACTGATTGGGGACGAACTCAGCGTGACGACAGTGGATGCTGCTCGCGCACATCCCCATCGCCCAGACGCCGCGACGATCGTCTTCGTTGATGCCGACTCGCATCTCCGCGAGCATGACCGTCTTGCTTGTTCCATCAGTCAGCTGAGCTATCGATAGCGTTTGGTCGATATCGGGACTCTTGAAGCCGCCAACGCCGAACTGGAAGCCCTTGGCGGCATCTCCGTCAGCGGTGCCGTACCTATCGTCAAGCTCGTCCCAAACCGTTGGGTAGAACTGAACCGCGTTCATTCCGTAGTTTCCGCGGGCCCAGTTACCGCCAGAGCCAGCCGGAGCGCCGTTGCCGACCGTGCCCTGAAACTTGTTCCCGATGCCATTGTCGCTAGGGCAAAGGTATACACCTATCTCTGAACCACGGGCGTCGCGGTTGCGGTTGTCCGGTTGACTGCCGGATGCAAACGACTGGTCGTCCTTAACACGCCGATTCTCGTTGATCTCGAATAAGTCGAAGACCGACTGTTCTTCGAGGTATGGCAAGATACGAATAGCCCAGTTGTGAAACAGGGCATTGTCGAGTTGCATTGCGAAGTTCCCTGCCCGCGGAGTCTCCGCCGCCGCGGGGAACGCCCCGTAAGTGTCGTGGTAGTTCAGCATCCCCAGCGCGCAGTTCTTCAGGTTGTTGACGCACTGCATGCGGCGGGCCGACTCGCGGGCCGCTTGGACGGCGGGCAGCAACATCGCCACCAAGATGCCGATGATCGCGATCACGACCAGCAGCTCCACGAGCGTGAAGGCGACGCGAGGAACGATCCGCCGGGGCATGCTCAGCTCCTTCTTGACGAGTGACGGGCAGAGAATCGGTAAGCGCCTGCTCGTGAACTCCTCCTGCGGCGGGGCGTGGCCGTGGGTGGACGGCCACGCCTCCGCCGAGGGGAGGTTCACAACTCAGCCGCGACGACGCGACACGCCGGCCGCGACGAGCATCGACAAGGCCAAGACCGCGGCGGTCGGCTCGGGGACGGCCGAAGAGGCCGACGTGCCGAACTCGCCGCCGAGGATGTCGAGGTCCAGCAGGTCGACCGTGCCGTCGCCGTTGGCGTCGCCGGTCGACATGTCGCCGGGGCCGCCGAAGTTGGCGCCGAGGATGTCGAGGTCCAACAGGTCGACGGTGCCGTCGCCGTTGAAGTCGGCCATCAGGTCGTTGGTGCTTTCTTCCACGAGCAGCCGCATGTTGTCGAGGATGAAGCTGAAGTTGTCATCCGAGTTCGACGCCAGGGCGATGCGGAAGAAGGTCGACTCCGGGTTGAGGCCGTCGGCGACGGTCTGGCCCGAGCCGTTCACGTCGAGGATCGAGCTGAGGTCGACCTCGAGCGTCTGCACGCCCTCCTCGCTGAGCGACAGGTCGGGGGCTTGCACCTGGTAGAAGGCGCCGGTGTCGTCCCCGATGTGCAGGAAGTTCTGCGCGAATCCCGGGGAGTTCGGGAACTGGTCGGTGGGAACGGTCACGTCCCAGAGGATCTTCGACGCGGCGTTGAAGCGGTCGATGAAATCGGTGACCTCGCCCTGGAGCGACGGGTCGCCTTCCTCTTCGCCGGCGTCGAGCACGAACTGGCTGCCCCAGGTGAAGCCACCACCGTTGTCGGTGTCGACGCTGAGGGCAGAACTGCCGTCGGAAACGCCGTCGGTCGTGATCGAGCGGAGGTGCGTCGCCGGGTTCGGCGGGATGTCGAAGCCGTCGACCCAGCCTTCGAACTGCTCGTTGACGCCGGGGGTGCCGGGGTCGTCCGGAGTCTCCCAGGAGAAGAGCTGGTCTTCGACGAAGACCGGTGGGTCGCCGTTGAACGTCAGGCGGACGTTGTCGAGGAAGTAGGTGACCCCTTCACCGCCGGGACCGTTGGTGTGGTTGCCGTTGGTTTGTACGTAGAACTGGTAGAAGCCGGAGTTCTCGACGTAGTTGAGGTCGGTCACGGGGACGCTGATGCTCAGCGCGGAGGCCTGACCGGTGGGAACCGCGCCGACGTTGTTGTTCTGAATGAAGCCCCCGTCGCTGTTGGCGACGGCGCCGATGAGCAAGAACGTCCCGGGGTCGGCCACGTTGGCCCAACTGTCTTCAGTGAATGTGACGTCGAAATCGACCGACCAACGTGTCGGGTCGGCGCCGGCGGAGCTGAACGCGTCGAAGATCGTCGTGTCGAAGATGTCCGCGTTGTAGATCACGTCTCGGCCGAAGCCGGGGCCGGTTTCAATCGCCAGGCTTTGGCTGCCTTGGGTGACGCCGTCACTCGACAGAGCGATCGAGATCGCTCCGCCTTGTTCGCCGGTGGCGTCGATCGCCCAGGTGCCGAGTCCCGACTCGAAGTCACCAAAAAAGAAGCTGTCACCAGGGTTTTGGGCGGAAGCCGAAAGCGGCGTCAAAAAAGCCGCGGCCGCGGCGGCGGCAATCAAGCCACCGCGTTGTGCAAAGAGTTGCCAGCGCATTGGGAGGTCCTTCGGGGTCGAGAAGCAAAGAGGAGGATTCGTGTCGCCGAGCGGTCGGGTAGCGGTTCGATTGGTGTGCCGATCGAGGTTGCTTGAGGGGGGAGTCGGTGAGCCGCGGCTCGGCGCGCCGCCTTACGACTCGTGTCGGCAACGTCGCCAACGCGGCGACGCTAGTCAGCTAGGTGAGCTTGCGTGTGAGTCTCGTGGGCTCCCCTTCAGTGTGATTCGAATCGCGGTTTGCGAGTCTTTGAGGGCCGTTGAGGCCGTGGTGTCGTGAGGAGTCGTTACAGAAAAGGCGAGCAAGCGACGGTGATCGCCGCCTGCTCAAGTAGTTGAACACGATCTTACCTAGCTCGACAAGCGTCGTCTAGCTTTTTTGCCAGAATCTGGCGACATGGCCCCTGCTAAAGGGGGGAGCCTCGCGCCAAGTCACGGAGCCTGTAGCGATCGCCGACGTCGCAACGCTCACGGCGCCGGCGCCGTCGAGGCCCTTTCGACGAACTCAGCGGGGATCTGGGAGATCGCGAATCCGGATTCTGCCGTGTCGCCGTCCAGGCGGTTGAGAACAAGCGCCGCGGCTTCTCGGCCGATCTCGAAGGCTCTCTGACGCACGGTTGTCAGGGGCGGGCTCATCTCGGCGGCGAAGTCGAGGTCGGCGAAACCGACGACCGACAGCTGGTCGGGGACACGAAGCCCCAGACGTTCGGCGGCAACGTAGACGCAGTGGGCCTCGTGGTCCGTGACGGCAAAGACGGCAGTCGGATTTAGTTCGTCCTGCAACGCCCGGCGGGCGACTTCGACTCCGTCGTCGCCGCGTTCGTTGAGACGCCAGCCCTTCACTTCCTCCGCGCCGAGCTGCAGGGCGGAGGTGGTGAAGGAGTCGCGGCGTTCGCGGGCCCAGGTTTGGGCCTGCGATTCGCGTTGCGAGATGACCGCGATCCGACGGTGCCCGAGGCCAACAAGGTGCTCGGCGACGAGTTTCGTCGAGGCCTGCTCGTCCGTCACGACGACGTCTCCGACGCGGTCGTCGGGGACTTGGTCGATGACCACAACCGGCGCCTTGCGCTGGACCAGCTCGGTGAGGTGATGCTGGTAAGCCACGCCGAACTCGGGCCACATGATGATCCCATCGACACGGCGGTCGAGCAGCCGGTTGATCTGCGCGAGCCCTTCTTCCTCGTCCGCTTCGAAGTGCGGCATGCGGTCGAGATCACCGACCCAGACCGTGATCGGCAGGTAGTCCGCCTCGGAGAGCCGGGCGTGGATGCCGGAGATGACCTTCACCCAGAACGAGTCGTGCGGCGGGATCAGGACGCCGACGGTCTTGGTCCGCCCGGTTTGAATCCCGCTGACCAGCAGGTTTCTCCGCCAGCCGAGTTCCTGGGCGGCTTGTTCAACGCGTTGGCAGGTCTCGGCTCCGAAGCGGTCGCGCTCGCCACGGAGAATCCGTGAGGCGGCGCTGATCGACACGCCCGCAGCGGTCGCCACGTCCTTCAGTCGCGGGGCGGTCGATTTGCTCATGGCGGACCAATGTAAGCCTTAGCCGGCACATCAACGAACCCGTCTAGGGCGTGTGGCTACTACGCAACGCAGCTCAAGTGCTTGAACAAACGCGAGGCGCCGACTAGTCTGAGATTAATCGGCACGCCCGTGGGGGCAAGCCGATGCTCATCCTCAGCCGATGCGGCCCGTGCGGCAGGCCGGATCGCGCGTCAACGTCGTCCGCCCGCCTGCCCGTTTTCTTGCTTGGAGTCCGTCAACGATGACGCCCCCTGGTTCCGGTACCGTGTCGCAGGAAGCGGCCGTCTCAACCGTTTTCCCGTGGCAAGAACGGCCCGCCGGCGAGCGCGGCGTCGTGTGGCGATACCGCGGCAACCCGATGCTCGGGCGCAACCCGACGACCTTCGCCCACGGCATCTACAACAGCGCCGTTGTTCCTTACGGCGACGCCTACGCCGGCGTCTTCCGCACGGAGTCGGCCAACCGGTTTCCGCTGCTCTACGTTGGATTCAGCGAGGACGGGCTCGACTGGCAGATCGAGCCCGAGCCGATTCGTTTCGCCAACCAGGAGCACGACCCGAGCGACTACGCGTACGACCCACGCGTCGTGCGGATCGAAGACGCTTACTACATCACCTGGTGCGGCGGCCACAACGGCCCGACGATCAGCGTCGCCCGGACGAATGACTTTCAATCGTTCGAGCGGATGGAGAACGCCTTCCTGCCGTTCAACCGCAACGGCGTGCTCTTCCCGCGGAAGGTGAACGGCGACTACTTGATGCTGAGCCGCCCCAGCGACGACGGTCACACGCCGTTCGGCGACATCTACCTCAGCCACAGCCCCGACATGGTGCACTGGGGCAGGCACCGTCTCGTGATGCGCAAGGGCGGCGGCGAGACCGGTCAGTGGTGGCAACGCACCAAGGTCGGCGCCGGGCCGATCCCAATCGAAACGCCCGACGGCTGGGTGATGATCTACCACGGCGTGATCGACACCTGCAACGGCTTCGTCTACAGCATGGGCGTCGCCATCCTCGATCTCGACGAGCCGTGGCGAGTCCTCTACCGGACGAACCAGCACGTGCTAACGCCCGAGGCGGACTACGAGACGATCGGCCACGTGCCGAACGTCGTCTTCCCGTGCGCCGCGTTGTACGACGAGCCGACCGACCGGCTAGCCGTTTACTACGGCGCCGCCGACTCCTGCACGGGAGTCGCCTTCGCTCACATGAGCGAGCTGATCGAGTTCACCAAGGCCAACTCGACGGTGTTCTGACCGGTCGCCCGGCCGACGCCGTCCGTGGTCCCTTCGCGATGAGGTCGCCGTGCGTTCCTCCGCACTTCTCGGTGTTGCGGCAATGACCCTGGCGTTCGGCGCCGGCGCCTCCAACGCGTTCGACGGCTTCGTCGAAAGACGCGGCGACAGGCTTTATGAGGGCGACCGAGAGTTCCGCTTCATCGGCTGGAACGCGCCCAACCTCCACCTGCTGGAGGACGTCTACGGCTACGGCGAGAAGTCTTCTTGGCGGTGGCCGGTCGAGTACGAGATCGCCGACGCCCTTGAATCGGCTCGCCAGATGGGCGGCACGGTCGTTCGGCCTTACGTTATCTCGGTGAAACGCGAGGGCTCGGACGCGGGCGACCACGTCCACGTGGTCGGTCCCGGCGAGTTCAATGAGGAGGCTTTCCGAGCGCTCGACCTGGCGCTGCGCGTCGCCCGCGAGAAGGGCGTCCGCCTCATCATTCCGCTGGTGGACAACTGGAAGTGGTGGGGCGGCATCGCCGAGTACGCCGGCTTCCGCGGTAAGCCGGCCGAGGCCTTTTGGACCGACGAAGAAGTCATCGCCGACTTCGAGCGTACGATCGACTACGTCGTCAACCGCGTGAATACCGAGACCGGCGTCGCCTACCGTGACGACCCGACCATCTTCGCTTGGGAGACCGGCAACGAGCTCGACGCTCCGCCCGAGTGGACCGCGCGGATCGCCGCCCGGCTGAAGCGGCTTGACCCGAACCACCTGGTGATCGACGGCCGCGCGCTGCACGGCATCCCGATGGCGTCGCTCGACGACCCGAACGTCGACGTTGTCACGACGCACCACTACCCGAACCAGGGCAACAACAACGCCGAGTCGGTTCGCGAGGAGGCGGCTAAGGCGCGCGGCAAGCGGCCCTACTTCGTCGGCGAGTTTGGCTTCATGGAGCCCGACGAGGCTGAGCGTGTCCTCGACGCAGTGATCGAAGAAGGGTGCCTCGGCGCGCTCTACTGGAGCCTGCGTTACCATCGCCGCGAGGGCGGCTTTTACTGGCACTCCGAGTACGCGAGCGACGGGCTCTTCAAGGCGTTCCACTGGCCCGGCTTCGATTCGGGCGAGCCGTACGAGGAGCGCCGCGTCGTGAACCTCGTTCGCGACGGGGCGTTCCGCATCCGCGGGATGGAGACGCCGCCGGTCGAGACGCCCGCCGCTCCCGCGCTGTTGCCGATCGGCCGGCCTGGTTTGCTGGCGTGGCGGGGCAGCGCGGGCGCTTCGCACTACGTGGTCGAGCGCGCCGACGGGGCGGAAGGGCCGTGGTCGGTGATCGCCGACGCCGTAAGCGACGCGGCCGTGCAGAACCAACCGGTGTTTGCGGACACGGCCGCCAAAGCGGACGCTACCCACTGGTACCGCGTCCGAGCGGCCAACTCTGCCGGGGCGTCGAGCCCGTCGAACGTGATCGGTCCGGTTCGTTACCGTCACCGCCTGCTCGTTGACGAGTTGTCGGACGACCGCGTGGCGGCGACGGTGCTCGGCGGTGAGTTCGTCGAACAAGGCGCCCGGCGCTGCGAGGAGGACGCCCACCGGCTCGCGATGCCCGCCGAGTCGTCCGTTGTCTACGAGACCGACGCCCCGGTGCGCCATGTCCGCGTCTGGTTCTACGCCGAGTCCGAGGACGCGACGCTCGAGCTAACGGACGGCGACGGGCGACCCGTCGAGGCGACGGTCGAAGTCGCCGGCGGCGGAGCCAACGACTACGGCTACCTGCGCCCGGCGCAACTCGAAGCGACGCTGTCCCGCGACTCAATGACAGTACGCCTTACCCGGCCCGTTGGAGCCAAGGGCGAGCTGCAGCTCTCGCGTGTCGAGATCGACTACGGCGGGGCGCCATGAAGGCGCGCGTCCGAGCGTTCATCGCGCTGGGCGCGTTCGTCGTCGTTGCCGCGAGCGCGGCGCCGCCCAATGTGCTGCTCGTCCTGACGGACGACCAGGGCTGGGGCGACCTTTCGCGTAACGGCGCGACGCCACTCGAAACGCCTCGGCTCGACGCATTCTTCGCCGAATCGGCGTCGTTCGAGACATTCTACGTGTCGCCCGTCTGCGCGCCGACGCGCGCCGCGCTGCTGACGGGCCGCTACCCGCTGCGGACCGGCGTGCACGGCGTCACCCGCGCGCACGAGACGATGCGTGCCGAAGAGGTCACGCTCGCCGAGACACTTCGCGACGCCGGCTACGCCACCGGATGCTTCGGCAAGTGGCACAATGGCGCCAACTGGCCGCACGACGCCCGCGGCCAGGGCTTTGACGAGTTCGTCGGCTTCCGCGGCGGCCACTTCAACAACTACCACGACGCCGTGCTCGAGCGTAATGGCGAGCCCTACCCGACGCGGGGCTTCATCACCGGCGCCATCACCGACGCGGCGATCGAGTTCATCGACCGCAACCCGGTGCGGCCGTTCTTCTGCTACGTCGCCTACAACGCGCCGCACTCGCCGTTCCAGGCGCCCGACGGGCTGTATGACAAGTACGTCGGCGCCGGTTGCGACGCGAAGCTCGCCAGCGTCTACGCGATGGTCGATGACCTCGACGCAAACTTCGGCCGGCTGCTGGATCACTTGGAGCAGCACGGTCGCGAGCAAGACACGATCGTTTGGTTCCTCACCGACAACGGGCCCAACACCGAGCGCTTCAATGGCCCGATGCGCGGTCGCAAGGCGTCGGTCGACGAGGGAGGCGTCCGCGTGCCGTCGGCCGTGCGATGTCCCGGCCGCATTCGAGGAGGCGTCGCGCACCGCGGCGTGACGGCGCACGTCGACGTTGTTCCGACGCTGCTCGGGCTGACCGGCGTTACGCGTCGCGACGACCCGCCACTGGAAGGGGTCGACCTATCGGCGAGGCTCCGCGCTGGCCAGACGGCGGGCGACCCGGACCGTCTTCACTTCAGCCATCACATCGCCGGCATCGGCAAGCAGTCACCTGTCCCCGGATCGGTCCGCAGCGCAACGCACCGCGCGGTGAACCGACGCGGGGAGTGGGAGTTGTACGACCTGATAGCCGACCCGGGCCAGCAAGACAACGTCGCCGATGACGAGCCCAAGCTGACCAGCCGGCTGGCGTCGGCGTACGACGCGTGGTTCGAAGACGTCAGCCGCGACGCGTGGCGGACGCAACGGACCCACGTCGGGCACGCCGAGCAGCCGGTCGTGACGCTGCCCGCGCACGAAGCGCACCTCCGAGGCGAAACGCCGCGCTACCGCTACGGCCAGGGCTGGGCGAATGACTGGCTGACCGGTTGGGACGACCGCGCCGCCGCCGAGTGGTTCCTTCAAGTCGTCCGCGAAGGGGACTACGAAGTCGAAGTCGAGTACGCCGCCGACCGAGCGGGCGCCACGCTAGAGATCGCCTGCGGCGACGCCGTCGCGAAGCTCACGAATCTCCCGGCCTTCGAAGGCCCGGTCCTCCCGACACGCGATCGAGACCCCCGCACCGAGGCGCCCGAACGCCGTTGGGGAACCGCCCGGCTCGGTCCGCTCCGCTTGCCCCCCGGCGAGCAAACGCTCGAACTGCGAGTGCGGCCTCACGGCGCCGACGTTGACATAAAGTCGGTCCGCCTCACCGACGCGCCGTAGGGTGCGAGGCAGCGAAACGGAATCGCACCTTACACGGCTGGATGTACATGCGGCGTGAGTGACAGCGCGCCATTGCATGCAGGCGGTCAAGTAGAAAATGTCACGAGCACGCTTCCAGTGAATCTGTCTTCAAATTGCAAGCTAGTTGCAAGGAACACAGAATCGCCTGCGTCACCGGTCGTGAGTCTCCCTGTTGCAATGACGTCTTCGGAGAACAGGTACTTTCCTCCGCCCGTAGGAGGGGCAAACTTCGAAAGAGATTGCCAAAAACGGGACGCGACGAGCTCGATCCGTCTGTCTGCGTTGTCATCAACCAGCCAGCCAACGCAGTCAATGTGCCCGTCCGCAGTTAGGCCGCCACGCGCAGTAACTCGCAGCTTGGCGGACACCCTGACTTCCTGATCTGATGCACAACCCCTGTCCAATACTTCTTGCAAGCTTGCATTCGTATTTCTCTCCCTGTCGTCAGCATTATCCATCAACATTCAGGCGCCACGCCCACCCGAAGCATGGGCATGCCTGTTCCTTGGAAGTGTCGGACGTCTTCATGGTCACGATAACCGAAGCCAAGCCGCTCACGCTTCTGCTAATCCGCAGCTAGAAGCCAACAGCTAAAGGCTTACGGCTTTAGTCGTGCCGCAGCGCTTCGATCGGGTCGAGCCGCGCCGCGCGGATCGCCGGGTAGACGCCGAAGCCGACGCCGACCACCGCCGAGATGCCCAGCGCCAGCGGGATCGACCACGGCACGATCTCAGGCTCAACGTTTCGCACCAGGTCGGGGACCGCGGCCATCTGCTCAGGGATCCAGCTCTCGAGCTGCTGCCGCAGCCCGATCGCCAGCGGCCGGCAGAATAGCCCGCCGACGACGCCCAAGCCGCCGCCGACGACCGACAAGACGACGCTCTCGGTCAGGAACTGGCCGACGATATCGCGGCGCTTCGCCCCGAGAGCGCGGCGGATGCCGATCTCACGGGTCCGTTCGGTGACGGTCGCGAGCATGATGTTCATGATGCCGATGCCGCCCACCACGAGCGAGATCGCCGCGATCAGGCCCAAGAGCAGGATGAACATCAGTCGCGTCGTGTTCGCTTGCTCCAGCAACTCCATCGGCACCGTGACGGCGTAGTCCGACAGCGGGTGGTCGTCGGCGATCGTGTCGCGCACCAAGTCGGCCGTCGGCAGCACGTCGTCCGAGTCGCCGACGCGGAGCGTGACCTGCGAGATCTCGATCAGGTCGCGGCGAAACTGACCCGGCTGGATCTGGATGATCTGGTCGCCGCGCCGGCGCCACATCGTTTGCAGCGGGATGTAGACGTCGGCCGAGTAGTCCTCCGCGGCGAGCGAGCCGCCGATGCCCGCCGAAGCCGAGCGCGGCTCGACGACGCCGATCACCTGGTAGAACTCGTGGTCGAGCTGCACGAGGCCCCCGAGTTCCCCGCCAAGCGGGAACAGCTCTTGGGCGACTTCGGCGGCGAGCACGCAGTGGTTGCGCTCGGTGAGGCCGTCGCCGTCGGAGAGGAAGCGGCCCCGGTCGATCGTGAGTCGGGCCGTCTCGCGGTAGTCGGGCGTGCAGCCCACCAGCCGCCCCTCGACCGAACGCCGGCCGACGCGGAACTCGCTCTTCATCTCGCGGATGGGGACGGCCGACTCGAGCGTCGAGAGCGTCGAACGGAGCTTGACGTAATCGGCCCGCGTGACGCCGTAGCCGCCGCCGTCGAACTTGTCGCTGTTCGGTTTGATCGTGCGGACGATGATGTTGTTCGCCCCGAGCGCGGCGATCTGCTCCTGCGACGCGCGGCTGATCCCCTCGCCGATCGCCAGCAGCCAGACGACGCTCGTCACGCCGATGAGGATGCCCAGCACCGTGAGCCCGCTGCGCATCGGGTGCAGCAGCAGGCTCTTGATGCTCAGCACGACGGTGCGTCGCGCGCGAGCGATCCGGCTGAAGAGGCTGGGGGTCATGGGGCGTTGGAGCGATTAACCGCAGAGAGCACAGAGGACACGGAGGAACGCTGTCTTGTGTTCCCCCTCCTCCTGAAGGAGGAGGGGGAATCGCGCGAGTAACCCGTCCTTCGATATCGGGAGCTTGTGTGCTTTCTCTGTTGGCTCGGTGCTCTCCGTGGTGAATCTAAGCGGTAGCGGCCTGCGCGCTGCTGGCGAGGGCGGCGCGCGCGCCGTCGGGGTGGCCGTCGTAGACGATGAGCCCGTCGCGGAGGACGATCGTTCGCTTGGTCAGGTCGGCGACCTCCGGCTCGTGGGTCACCAGGAGGATCGTCCGGCCCTCGTCGTTGAGGCTGGTCAGCAGGTCGAGGATCTCGCGCGTCGTCGTCGTGTCGAGGTTGCCCGTCGGCTCGTCGGCGAGCAGGAACCACGGGTCGTTCACCAGGCTGCGGGCGATCGCGACGCGTTGCTGCTGGCCGCCGGAGAGTTGCATGGGCCGGTGATCGAGCCGGTCGCCGAGACCGACGCGCTGGGCGAGTTCCGCGCAGCGCTCGTTGCTGGCGGGCCCCAGCAGCCCGCTGTAGTGCAGCGGCAGCTCGATGTTCTCCAGGACCGTCAGCGCCGGCAGCAGGTTGAACGACTGGAAGACGAAGCCGAGGCGCGTCGCGCGCACGTCGGCGAGCTGGTCGTCGTCCATGCGGGCGACGTTGTCGGGCCCGAGGTCGAACTCACCGGAAGTCGGTCGGTCGAGGCAGCCGAGCAGGTTCAACAGCGTGCTCTTGCCCGAGCCGCTGGGGCCCATGATCGAGACGAAGTCGCCGGTCGGCACGTCGAACGACACGCCGCGGAGCGCTCGGACCGTGCCGCCGGCGAGCGGGTACTCCTTGTGGAGGTCGCGGATGCTCGCGGCGAGAGCGGATTTCGGGGGCGGCGGCGCGGTCGCGGGCATCGCGGACGCGGCGTCAGCCGCCCTCCGCGGTCGTCGCTTGCGGGTTGGACTTGGCGGCGGTCGCGCCGTCGGCGGATTTCGGCGGCTGGGCGGCGGGCTGCTTCGCTTCGGCGGCGCCGTCGCGGCCTTGGAGCTGGCGCCAGTCGCGCCCCGTGTCGACCGCTTGTTGCGTTTGCGCGGCGGCGATCGCCGGCAGCTCCACCCGGTCGGCGTGCTGGCGGGGGTTGAGCGCCACGCGGTCGTCCGGCTCGAGGCCCGACTCGACGACGAAGAAGCGGTCGTTGGTCGAGCCGACCTCGACCGGCTGGGCTGCGAGCCCGCCGTCGCGCTCGACGAAGCAGAACAGCTCGTCGCCGTGGGCGTAGACGGACTGCACCGGCGCCACGATCGCGTCCGGAACCGACATGGCGCTGATCGTCACCGAGGCGGTCATCCCGACCCGCACGACTTCGGACGCCTCGTCGATGGCGATGAACGCCTTGTAGTCCTTGACGTTGGCGCGGCGCCAGTTGCTCGGCTCGGCGTACTGGTTCACGCGGGCGACGTGGCCCGACAGCACGTCGCCGCCGGCGCCGACGAGCCGAACGGCGGCGGGCATGCCTTCGCGGACGTGCTGCACGAGCGACTCGTTCACCTCGACGACGACCTCCATCTTCGTGGCGTCGGGCAGGTTGATGATCGCCTGCCGCTCGCGGATGACGGCGCCCTCTTCGACAACGAACTCGTCGCCGCCGCGCCCGTTGTCGTTGCCGTGGGCGTACTTAACCGTCCCCGACGACGGCGCCGTAATGACGCACTTGGCGATCTGGTCGTCGATGTCGGCGAGCTTGTCGACCTCGAGCTGGTAGCTGTTCTTGACGGAGTCCCACTTCGCCTTGGCGATCGCGATGTCGGACTCGAGCTGCTTGAGCGTCTTCGCCTTGGTGAACTCTTCGAGGACACGGAGCTTCGTCTCGGCCGCTTCGAGCTCTTTCTGCGACTTCTCCACCGCGAAGCGGTCGGCCTGCAACTGCAGCTCACTGACGTAGCCCTTCGCCGCCAGCTTCTGGCTGTACTCGAGGTACTCCTCGGCGCGGCTCAGGTTCTCCTCGGCGACGAACACCTCGCTCTGGATGGTCTGCCGCTCCTGGATGAACACGCCGTTGAGGTACTCCTCACGGGCGATTACGGCGGTCTCGTAGACGTTGCGTCCCTCGACGACGACCGCTTCGGCCGTGTTGACGTTGATCTGCTGGACCAAGCGATCCGATTCGAGCGACGAAGAGTCGAGCTCCACGAGGAAGTCGCCCTCGGCGACGGTGGCTCCCTCGGGCACGATGCGAAGGATGGCGACGCCGGCCGAGTTCATGCTCTTGACCTGCGACTTCACCTCGATGCCGCCGGCCGACTGGATCTCGCCGCGCTCGGTGATCGTTAGCGCGAAGTCCTCGCGGACGACGGTGTGCAGGACGACGTCGTCGTTCGCCGAGCTGGCGCCCGAGCCCTCGGCCATCTGCGTCCACCACCAGGCGCCGCCGGCGGCGAGGCCGAGCAGCGCGAGCACCCAGATCACGGCGCCGCCGCGGCGTGTCACGGGGAGAGGGCGGGGGGTCATCGCCATGGAGGGGTTTAGTCGAGTGCCTCAGCGGGCCGGATTGCCCGCGGCTTTATTATGGTTGGACGACCACCGAACGCCCAGCCGAAGCCCGCTGCGCATTTGCTCAGAGCACCGGCCAACGCAGCACGCTGGCGAACGCCGCCCGGCGAGCCGGGCCGGACTCCTCGTCTGCCCGTCGTTCGGTATCGAGGCCTTCGTCTACCGAGGACGAGTCTTCCTCAACGCTGCGGGTTGTGCCGAGCAGGAGGAGCAGGGCCTCGTCGTTGGCGGCCGGCGCGACGAAGGACCCGCGGGCTGGCGGAGTGAACCGGTCTGTCGCCGCTGAACGCGAACTGGGGACGAACAAGTCGCTGCGATCCGCATCGGTGATCGGTTCCGGCATTGAGCTTTCGATCTCTGTCGGAGGCGCCGTCGCAAGCGCTAGCGTGGACGACGTGGCGGCGGGCGGCGCTGTGAGGCCGAAGTTGGCGACCCAGGCACTGTGGTCGGCGCCGTCGATCGCGCCGTCGCCGTTGCCGTCGGCCGACGAGAACGGCGTCACCGCGGCGCCCTCGGCGTCACGCCAAATCGTGTAGTCGGCCACGTCGACCGATCGGTCGCCGTTGTAGTCGCCGATGAGGACGTCGACGTTGGCCGATTGTTCCTTCACGGCGACAAATTGATCGGCGGCGACGCCGTGCAGCGTCGTCGTCCGGCCGCTGCCCCAGACGATCATCACGTCGGCGCGCTCGGCGAGGCCAAGGCCGAACTCGAGCGCCAGGCTGCTGGTCGTGCCGCCGTTGGAGTGGCCCGAGAGGACCTCCTCCATCCGCGTCTCGTCCGATTCGATCTGGCCGTCGCCGTCGAAGTCGGCCGTGACGTACGCGCGGGCGCCGATCGCGTCGCGTGTCGAACGGAAGACGCCCGGCAGGGTCGGGTCGCCTTCGAGCTCGAGCGTCAGGAAGTGGTGGTTCGGGTTCAGCGCGTCCGAGTCGTTTCGGTAGAACTGGATGCCGGGACTCGCGCCGTTGATCGCCCACAAGGCCGCGTCGCTCATGCCGTCGCGGTCGTAGTCGGCGACGGCGACGCCGCGGGTTGAGTAGGTCGACGTCAGCCCGGCGGCGGCGGCCTGTTCGGTTAGCACGCCGTCGAGTCCCTGCAGGTGCAGGAAGCTCGGCCGGTTGACCTCGGTTCCCACCAGCAGGTCGACGCGGCCGTTGTTGTCGAAGTCGTGGAAGTTGGCGCCCCAGGCGAAGGTGTTGGTGACGCTGGTCTTCGTGAAGCTCAGCTCGCCCGTCTCGGAAAGGTTGTTGATCCAGAGCGGGTGGTTGTCCGGCAGGATGGTCGAGAAGTAATCGAGGTCGCCGTCGTTGTCGATGTCGGCGACGGTGACCCCCATGTCGCTGCTCTCGTTTCCGCCGAAGCCGATGTCGTACGACACGAGGCGGTAGCCGAGCCACTCGCCCGACGCATCGACGCCTCGGTTCAGGTAGAGCATGTCGCGGTTCGGCCCGACGCCGCCGCCGCCCATTGTCGCGACGATCAAGTCCTGCCAGCCGTCGTTGTTGAAGTCGGCGAACTGCAAGCCGTTCTGGCCGCTGAACTCGGCCGGGAGCGACGGGTCGTTGAAGTCGCCGCCGGAGTCCTGCCAGCCGCCCACCTGCTGCCAGGCGGAGAGCTCGCTGGGACCCTGGAGGAAGAAGGCGTCGACCATGGCCGACAGCGCCGGCCCGGTCGCGCCGGTGGCGTCGATCATCTCCACGACGATTGAGAGCTGGTCGCCTGCCGTGACGCCGTCGAGCGAAAGGGTGTGGGTGTTGAAGCTCGTGTCCGGAGCGGCGGCGAGGAGGTCGATCGTCTCCGAGCCTCCGGAGCCGCTCGAGGAGATCGTCGCTCGGAACTCGCTAACAACCGACGGGAAGTTTGCCTCGACGCGCGCGTCGAAACGCAGCACGTACTCGCCCGACTCGGTCGCCGTGACGACCTGCGTCAGGGTCGCGTCCGCGGGGCTCGCTGGGCTGCCTTGGAACCCTTGGAACCAGACGCCTGTCGCGCCGTCGCTCGAAGACCAAGCCGCCGACTGGAACCGCGCAGCCCCGGTTAGCGTCCAGTCGCTGTTGCTGTTGGTCGTCGTGTGCTCGGCCGCCTCGAAGCTGCCGTCGTCCAGCAGCGGGTCGGCGGGCGTGACGTCGCCCGGGCCCATCGTGACGTCCGTGAAGGTGCCGTCGCCGTTGTTCAGGTAGAGCGTGTCGCGCTCGCCGAGCTGGCCGTCTTCGCCCGTCGTGGGGTCGCCGTTCGTGCCGTCCCAGTTGCCGACGTAGAGGTCGACCCAGCCGTCGCGGTTCACGTCGGCCCACGCGGCGGACATCGTGTTGTCGAGTCGGTCGTCGCCGAACGTCGGGTCGGGATTCTGGTACGTGGCCCACACCAACCCGTGCTGCGTGTCGCCGGGCGGATCGGCCGGCGTCGGATCGGTCTGTGCCGTGATGTTTTGGAAGCGGAGGGAAGCCGGGTCGCCGACGCCGTCGGGATGGTCCTCGAACCAGAGGTTGCGGTAGAGGAGGTTGGGGCCGCGATAGTTGAGCAGGTAGACGTCGAGGTCGCCGTCGTTGTCGTAGTCGGCCGAGATGACGCCGACCGAGTTGCCCGCTCCGTAGGCCGCGCCGCCGTCGTTCGCCAGCCGCTGAAACGTCCGGCCGCCCGAGCCGTCGTCGACGTTGGCGTACACGCGGTTGCCGCGTGACGAGGGGCCGATCAGGAAGAGGTCGGCGTACCCGTCAGCGTTCAGGTCGGTGAACGTCAGGCCGCCGCCGTGGAACTCGCCCGAGCCGCCTTGCAAGCCGCCGAGACCAACGCTGGCCGAGATCTCCGCGAACGACGCCGCCGTCAAGACGCGGCGCTCTTCGAGCGACTCAACACGCAGTTGACGAGACGACCTTGGACGCGACGACATGGAGGGCCTCCGGCTGTTCCGAGAAGACCCTCACTATACCTGATCTCTGCGCTACAGACGACGCGGACCAGACGCTTCGTCGCTTGCTTTCGTGGCCGATTCGCTCGTTGGCGGCGTGAGCGCCGGTCCCGAAACCTCTTCGGGCTGCCGCATCGTAACGCGTACCTCTTCGGCGATCTCGTCCGGCTCCGGCTCCGGGTTGGAGCTGGCGTTCGAACCTGCTCCGACGATCGGTGGCGCAAACGTGGGGCCGATTGGCGTCACGTCCCCGCCGCCCGGGCAGCAGGGCCCTTGCGGCACGAACGTCGTCAGCGGCTCGTCGAAGGGCACGCGCAAGCCTTCGGAGTCGACGAGCATCAGTCCGAGGTCGAGCTCGAGATTAAGGCGTTGCACGCGGTTGTTGACCCAGACCGAGAGCAAGTCGTTCTGGGCCGACAGCAGGTCACCGAGCGCCTGCACGAGGTCGCGCGCCGTGTTGCTGTTGAACTGCTCCGTCTCGCCCGGCTTGGGCGGTTCGGAGAGCCGCAACTGCGTCAGGTCGACCTGCGCGATTGCGACGAACACCGCCTCGCGGCGCAGCTCGAGGTTGATCTCGTTGAGCCGCACCTGCCGCAGCGTCTGACGGAGCCCCTGGCTGATGCGGTCGACAAATCGGTAGTAGCTGCGCCGCGCCTGCTGGTACTCGATGAGCGACTGCCGGTAGACGTTGCGTTCGGCGAGCCGGGACGTCGGCGAGTCGAACTCGACACCGACGCGCAGTCGGCCGTTGGAGCCGCGGAGCTCGAACGGGTTGTCGCCGACGTTGCCGAGGTCGCCGGCGAAGACGAGATCGACCGCCGACTGCAGGTCGTTCGCGTTGAAGTGGATCAGTCGCCACGCGTCGACCAGCGCGGCGCGGGCGTTCGCCCAGTCGCGGCGATTCACGCGCGCGATCTCGAGTGCTTCGGCCGGCGTCAGCTCGGTCGGCTCGAGGTCGATCGCGTCGAGGCGAATCCGCGCTTGCAGGATCGAGAGCTCGAGCAGCAACGACGACAAACGACCGACCGATGGCTGGGCGCCCTCGCCCGCCGTCGCCGCCTCCCCGACGAGTTCGTCGAACAAACGTCGCCACGTATCGAGGTCCTCCTCGACGGAGACGAGGCGTTCGTCGAACTTCGCCGGGTCGAAGATCGCCGGGTCGATGCTCGCCGCGGCGACCTCGGGCCGGCTGCCGATTTCGACCAAGTGAGCGCGTCGCGCGTCGGCGACCGACAGCAAGAAACGCAGGTCGTCCTCGACGACGGCGAGTTGCTCGTTCGCCGCCCCGATCAGCTCGACCAACTCCTCGTCGGGCGTCGGCTCCGCGGGCACAATCTCCTCTGCCGGGGGCGGAAGCCCCCGGGCGGCTTCTTCGGCCGCTTCCTCGAGCCCGTTGGCTTCCGCCAACGGCCGCGGCCCTTGCTCGGGCGCAACCACGTCGAGTGGTTCGCCCTCGACCGTCAGCGCCGCAGCGGCCGCGACCTTTTGAAGCTCGGTTAACTCGGGCGACCGGAGGTCGAACTGCTCGAGCAGCGGATCGCTGACGACCAACTCCAGATCGGGCGGCAGGCCGAGGTCGACTTTGAAGTTGTCGAGCGTTGTCTGGTAGTCCGCTTCGGCGCGGAGCAACTGGCTCTGGGCGTTGAACAACGCCTGGCGCGCGAGGTCGACTTGGAATCGGTCGATGCGGCCCGCGTCGTACGACGCTTCGAGCTGCCGCGTGCTGTCGCGCAGCGCGACGACGTTCGAACGCTGGTTGCGGAGCACCTGCTCGGTTTGCAGCAGGCCGAGGTAACCGGCGGCCGCCGCGGCGCCGGCTTGCCCGGCGAATCCGCCGCCCTGAAAGCCGCCGCCGCCTCCGCCGAGGCCGAGGCCGACGCCGGCGAAGTTCGCCAAACCCGCGCCGCCGAGCAAGCCGCCGCGTCGCACGGGTCCCTGGCTCGGGAAACGTCCGACGACGACGTTCAGGTAGTACTCGCGGCGGAACCGCTCCATCGCGCGGACGTTCGCCAAGAGCGTCCGCTCGGCGACGGTGAGCCGCTCGAGCACCCGCACCCGGCCGCCGCCACGCAAGAGCGGTTGCACGATCGAGAAGTCGAGCAGCGACGCGCCCGAGTAGTCGGTCGGTCCGGCGAACTGCCAGACGATCGTGTTCGCGAAGCCCGCGACGATCTCGCCGCCGGTCGCGGTGAGCCGCTGCAGGCGCCATCGGTTCGGCGTCGCCGGGCCGATCGTGCGGCTGCTGGGCGAGACCAAGAGCCGGCTGGACGCCTCGCCGGTCGCGCTCCGCTCGCGGCCGTCGGCGACGTAGTCGAGCGACGCGCCGCCGAACAGCTGTGTGTCGAAGCGGAACCGCTCAAACGAAACATCGAGCGCCGAGAGGTACAGTTCTTCCAGCTCACGCTGGAAGTCGGGGTCGTTCACCAAGCCGAGACGCACGGCGGCGTTCGTGTCGAGCACGAGCCGCCCTTCCGGGTCGAGCGGCAGCACGGCGCGCCAGTTGGGGTTCTCGACGTACGGCGTGCGGGGCGCCTCGCGCCAGCATTTCGCCCCCTTCTTGCCGTCGACGCACACGAGATACCGGTGCGACACCGGGTCGTCGGGCGGCATCGGCGGGCAGTCGGGATTGTTCTCGTCGTACATCCGCGACTCGGGCGAGAGGCCGAGTCGGTACTGCCCGACGTCGCCACCCGAGACGGTCGACTTCTGGTCGATCAGGCGGTACGCGTCGCGGTCGGCGCGCAGGCGCGCCTTGCTGCGGCTGCAGCCCGTCAGCGTCGCCGCCACCGAGATGACGACCAACGACAGTGCGACACGCTGGAAAATCCCCGTTCCCCCCTGCGGGAGTCGGCTGCGCTGCCTCCGAATTGAGAGCGCGCAGGCCGACCCTTGGTCAGAGCATCGACGCGGCGGCGCAATCGGCTTAACCCGCAGAAACGGAACGTGTCCGTTCGGGCGCCGGCGTCGCTAGCAAGTCGCTTCAGACAAGACCGCTCCACGAGGCGAGCCCGAGCGGCTCGCGCGAGGCGATCGGCTCGCCGTACGCCACGCCGATCGACTTGCCCCAGTAGGCGGCTTCGTCGCGGAGGCGGTCGACGAAGGTCGGCGGCTCGGTTGGGCGGCCGGTGACGAACTGGCTCTGGTAGCAGTTGATCGCCGCGAGCTTCTGTTCCCAGACGTCCGAGATGTCGAGCACGAACGCCGGTTGCGGCGCCAGCTTCAAGTGAACGCAGAAGTAGTAGTAGACACGCTCCGGGTGGTGCGGCTCGCCGGGCAGGTCAGACTTGGTGAGCTTCGACCAGAAGCGGGCGTCCTCGACCAGCTTCGTCGCCGCGGCGTGGTCGGGATGCGCGTCGACCCAGTAGGGGGCGAAGAGCCACCGCGGCTTCTGGCGACGGATCACGCCGGCGAGCTTCGCGCGGTTCTCGAGCGTCGCTTCGAGTGACCGGTTGGGCAGGCCCAGGTTCTCGCGCCAGGCGAGGCCGAGCGCTGCGGTCGCCGCGGCGGTCTCGGCGGCGCGCGCCTCGGGCGAACCGTGAGGCGTCGGCTCGCCGTCGGTCAGGTCCAAGACGCCGACCCGCTTCCCCTCTTGTTGCAGCTTGAGGATCGCGCCGCCTGCGCCGAGTTCGGCGTCGTCGGGGTGGGGCGCGATCACGAGGACGTCGAGCATCGATCGGCGTGGGGCTAGGGGCGCGTGGCGTTCGGCCCTAATGTAACGGACAACCGACCCGCCAACGGAGTGAGCCGATGTCCGAAGCCACGTTCGAGCGCCTCGTCGCCCACGCACGCGAGACCGCGCTGCTGACCTCGATCTCGGGGCTCGTCGAGTGGGACGAGCAGACCTACCTGCCGCGGGCCGGGGCCGACTACCGCGCGGAGCAGTCGGCGTATCTGGCCGGACTGGTGCACCGCCGCAACACGGCGCCGGAGGTTGGCGACTGGCTCGCCGAGCTGCGCGACAGCCCGCTGGCGGCCGATCCTGCGAGCGAAGCGGGTTGCGTCATTCGGCAGCTCTCGCACCGCTACGAACGGCAGACCCGCCTGCCGGCCGAGTTGGTCGAGGCGATCGCCCGGACGTCGAGCCAAGCGCAGCACGCGTGGGTCGCGGCCCGCAAGGCGGACGATTTTGAGTCGTTCCGGCCGTGGCTCGAGAAGACGCTGAAGCTGCAACGCGAGCAAGCGGCGGCGTTCGGCTTCGAGCGGTCGCCGTACGACGCGCTGCTCGAAGAGTACGAGCCGGGCGAGACGGCCGAGTCGGTCGGCGCCGTCTTGAGCGGGCTGCGCGAGGAGCTCGCCCCGCTCGTGCGGCAGATCGTCGAGAGCGGCGTCAACGCCCCGAGCGACTTAGTGTGCCGTGAGTTCGCGGTCCAGCAGCAAGAGGCTTTCGGCAAAGCCGCTGCCGCGGCGATCGGCTTCGACTTCGAGGCGGGCCGACTCGACGTGACGGCTCACCCGTTCTGCGGCGCGGCGGGGCCGCGCGACGTGCGTCTGACGACGCGCTACCAGGCGAACGACTTCGGCGACGGCTTCTTCAGCATCCTGCACGAAGCGGGCCACGGCATGTACGAGCAAGGGCTGCAGGCCGACTGGTTCGGCTTGCCGCCCGGCGAAGCGATCTCGCTCGGGATCCACGAGTCGCAGTCGCGGATGTGGGAGAACCTCGTCGGTCGCAGCCGGGGATTTTGGACGCGCTTCTTCCCTCAGTTGAGCGAGGCGTTCCCCGCGGCGATGGCGGGAGTCGATCCCGACGCGTGGTGGTTCGCCGTCAACGAGGCGAAGCCGTCACTCATCCGCACCGAAAGCGACGAGGCGACTTACAACCTCCATATCATCGTGCGTTTCGAGCTCGAACGGGCGATGATCGAGGGCGACCTCGAGCCGGCCGACCTTCCCGCCGCGTGGAACGAGGCGTACGCCAACACCGTCGGCGTCACGCCGCCGAGCGACGCCAACGGCGTGCTGCAGGACGTCCACTGGAGCGCGGGGCTGTTCGGCTACTTCCCGACGTACGCGCTGGGGAACCTCTACGCGGCCCAGTTCTTCGACCAAGCCGAAGCCGACCTGGGCGATCTCGAACCGGCGTTTGCTGAGGGCGAGTTTGCAACGCTGCTCGGCTGGCTGCGGGAGCGGATCCACTCGGTCGGCCAGCGGCTCTCGGCGGCGGATCTCGTCCAGAAGGTGACGGGCAAGCCGCTCTCACACGAGCCATTGATGCGGCGTTTGCGAGCGAAGTTCGGCCCGCTGTACGGCTTCGGCTGACGCGTCTACGCACGCTGGGAGTGTCAATCCCTAGCGGTTACGCGGGTTGCGCTGCTGGCGCCGGTCCGATCGGCAGGGACGGTGGCGCCGTTTCGGGCTGTCCTAACGGCCCTGAAGCGGCACAATAGCGATCGGCGCAGGAGGTGCGCCGCCGCGGCCCCCCGGGGCCGTTGGCCCGCTGCATTCGGCCAGAAGGATCGAGACCATGCCGTCGACGGCAGAGCATCAGGAAGCCGTATCTCCGCGGATCGCCGAGTGCGTTTCGTGCGGTGGGTGGTTCACGCTAGGCGAGCACACCGATGGCGCGCGCGTCGCGTGCCCTCATTGCGACGCGATCGCGTTGGCGGAGCGGCTCGAGGTCCGCGAAGCGCCACTCGCGGAGGTGCTGCCCGCCCAGCCGTCGGTGGCGCCGGCCGAAGAAGCCGTGCGCGAAGAGGCGACGCCTTTCGTATCGGAGCACGACGCCCCGGCGGAGGTCGCGTCCGAGTCGTCGGACGACCGCCCGCCCACCGTGGGCGAGTGGCTGATGCGGAACGGCGTGGTCCCGTCGTTCGACCCGACGACCGGCGCCCACCCAAGCGAAGCGTCCAAGGCGGACCCTTCCGCGGCGATCGAACCCACACCGTCTGCCGAGGCCGAGACCAAACCATCGCTTGCCGAGTCGCTCGGCTGGCGGCCCGAGTCGTTCGACTCCGACGGTTTGACGACCAGCCCAAACGAGACCGAGCGGCCTGCCGAGCCGGCGCCCGTTCGAGAACCGGCCGACGAGTTCCGTTTCGACTTCTCAAGCACGCCGCTCACCGAGCCGGCCGAGACGAACGAAGCGCCCGCGCCGCGAGCCAAAGACCCGCAGCCCACAGGCGTCAAGAACGACGATCAGGCGAACGTCGCCACGCCGGCGGGCGAACTCGGCTACGTCGAAGACGCCCCCAAGTCGCGCCGCTCGTGGTTCGCGCCGATGGCGGCGGCCGCGGGGTTCCTCGTCGTGGCGGGGCCGATCGCCTACTTCGTGACGACGTTGCCCGACGGCACGGTCGCGGCTGTCGAAGGAGTCGAGCAGCCGATCGCCGAGGCGATGGAGACAGCCGAGCCGTTCGTGCCTGCCGAGGAGACTCAACCGCAGGCCGAGCCGATCGTCGACCCAGCGACGCAGCCGGCGAGCTTCAACGCTCCGGCGGACGCGCCGCCACTGCCGGCACAACAGGAACCTGAGGCGCCGCGATACCCCGCGACGTTGGGTGATCGTTACGGCGCGCCCGAGCCGGCTGCGGAGCCGAAGCCGTTCGCGTTGCCCGAGGACATGGCGCCCGCGTCGTCGCCGGTTGAGCCGAACGCCGACGACTTCGCCCCGGTTCAGCCTGTCGAGCCGGCGTCGGCGACGGCTGAGCCGGACCTCGCCCCGGTCGAGAGGAGCGTGCCGATCGACGCACCGGCGACCCCCGTCGCCGATCCGGTCGTGGCGCCTCCGAGCGGGTTGATCAATCCGCCTCGCTATCAGTTCGCCGACCTCGACGCGGCGCTCCGCGAGTCGGAAGAGGCCGCGCGGGGCTTTGCCGAGGGAACCCTCTCGGACCCGGCGCAGGTGCCGACGATGGGCACGCACTACGCCCGCTTGTGTCGTTTGGCCGAGGTCGTGACTTTGCTCGATCCGGCGGCGGAGCACCCGGAGCTGCTGACGACCGAACTCGGTTCGACCGACCTCTTCAAGCGGCTGTTCCGCACGCAGGAGACGCGCGAGGAGTCACGCCTGATCGCGGGTCCGTGGGTCTCGTGGACCGGCAAGCCGCACGGCGGCGTCTTCTTTGCGGGCGTTCCGACCCGGTTGGATCGTGTTGGCGAGTACTCCCAGTACGAGTACCAGATCGGAGACCAGGTCGTGCCGGTCGTCATGGCCGAGCGGATCAACGTGCAGCGTTACCTCAACGCCGGCGCCAAGGAAGTCGGCATCATCGGCGTCGTGGTTGAACGACCGAGCGAACGGATCGCTGGCTACACCGGCGACGCCGACCGCGTCGTCTGGGCGCGCAAGACCCTGCCGCTCCCCGCGCCCGGTTCGTGGTGACCGACGCGCGGAGCGAATCGCCGTCGTCGCTCGAGGCGGCATGGAAGCGATCGCTGCGTCGCAAGCTGCTCGCTTGGTACAAGCGCCACGCACGCGACCTGCCGTGGCGACGTTCGCGCGACCCGTACCGCGTTTGGGTCAGCGAGGTGATGCTGCAGCAGACGCAGGTCGACACGGTGCGGCCGTACTTCGAGCGGTTCCTCGAAGCGTTCCCCACCGTGGCCGACCTGGCGGCGGCCGACGAGCAGGACGTCCTCCGGCTGTGGGAAGGGCTCGGCTACTACCGACGCGCCCGCTCGCTGCACGCCGCGGCGAAGCAGGTGGTCGCCGAGCACGGCGGCCAGATGCCGGGCGACGTCGAGTCACTGCTGACACTGCCTGGGGTCGGTCGCTACACGGCAGGGGCGATCGTCTCGATCGCGTACGACAAGCCGGCCCCGATCCTCGAGGCGAACACGATCCGGCTGTTCACGCGGCTCGTGGCGTACGACGGCAAGCCGACGTCGGCCGCCGGGCAGCGTCACCTGTGGGGCGTCGCCGAGGAGTTGCTGCCGGCCAAGAACGTAGCGACGTTCAACCAGGCGCTGATGGAGCTTGGCTCACTCGTCTGCACGCCCAGCCAGCCCGACTGCGAGGCTTGCCCCGTCGAGTCTCTGTGTCAGGCGCGAGCCGACGGCAGCGTGGAGCTGCTCGCCCCGACGACGACCAAGCTGAAGTTCACCGACGTGCGCGAGGCGGCCGTTGTCGTCTGGCGCGGCGGGGACGTGCTTGTGCGTCAGTGCGCCGAGGGCGAGCGCTGGGCCGGGCTGTGGGACTTCCCGCGCTTCGAACTGGAGGCGGAAGGGCCACTCTTCGCACGCGACGAGTTGGCCGAGAAGGTGCTCGCGCAGACCGGCGTCGCGTGCGACCCGGGCGCGTTGATCACGACGATCAAGCATGGTGTGACCCGGTTCCGCATCACGCTCGAGTGCTACGAAGCGCAACGAATCGGCGGCCGGCTGCGGAAGCCGGCGAAGTGGGTCTCGCCCGCCGAACTGAGCGGCTTGCCGCTAAGCGTCACCGGCCGGAAGCTCGCGCGATTGGTCGCGGCGACATGAGGCACTCGGCTCCACGTCGAATCCGCAGGCGGCACTGCTAGCAGGGTGCTTCGTCCCATCCGTGGAAGACTTTGCCGGTAATGCGACACCGGCTTGGCCTGTCGTGTCGGTTGTGCCGATAGCGCCCGCGTCGGGACGCCTTCTCGCGTCTCGTCTTGTGCCGTCGACGCGGCGGTGTGCAAGCGATCCGGAGGGAGGAACGATGAAGAACCGTCTAGCAGCCCGTCCGCGTTTCGTTTCCTTGGTCGTGGTGCTCGTCTCGATGGCCGGCGCCACCCCCTCCGCGCGTGCCAACGCGACCGCCGCGGCGGTCACCCAGCGTGTCGGGGAGTACGTCCACTACAAGATGTTCGGCGACTACAACTCGCTGTACTTGATCACCGGCAAGACGACGCCCCGCTACGTCGACGGGAAGTTGGTCGCCCCGCACGAGGGGATGTTCTCCTCGGGCATGCGGGGCATGGCACGCAAGATTCACGGCCCCGAGAAGCTGCGCAACCGAGACCCGGGGCCTCCCGTCAACTACACACGATTCGAAGCCTTGAATCTGGCGGTCGCCGTGCCTCAGCAAGGCTGGGTCCGGCTCGACCCAGAGGAGCAAGGCACGCGGAACTGCCTGATGCTCACGCGGAGTGAGCCGGAGATCATCGTCTCGCTAGCCGCACAGGCGGTCGGGGTCGGAGCCAAGGAGACGAACGGCACGCTGCTGAACGCCTCGCAGAAGAAGATGAAGAACATCCCGGGGGGCGAGGTGCTGCCCGGAGTCTGGAAACTGTCCGCACCCGGCATCGCGGGACGCGCCTACCGGGCGAAGGCCGAGTTCGAGGGCGGCAAGCAGCTGCGCTACTCGATCTGGGTCGCCACGAAGAACGGATTCAACTACTCGCTCGTGGTTTACGGCGACCAGCGCGACGAGCGGGCCGTCGACCAAACCATGCATCACTTCGTTGGTCGTCTGCGGCAGGTCCAACCCGACCGCGTCGCCCACGTGATCACCCGGCCCGCCGCCAAACGTCGATGACTTCCGAGCGTCTCGGGCGCCCCGTGAGCCGAGTCGACCGGCCGAGGAGCCAACGTCCGCACGTGGTTCTGCGACAGAGAAGTCGTTCAGCAGCACGCCTTGCGGCTCGACGTGAACCAACCCATCAAGAGCACCGGAGCGACCATGAAGACCTACCAAGCTGGCTTTCATCGCTTCTGCATTCTGACCGTCGCCTTCGTGATCTTGGGCGGGGTCGCTTCCGCTGAGCTGGCGTGGTGGGAGCCCAAGCTACGCGTCACCACGTTCGGCAAGCAGTACGTCATGTCCCGCGAGACCGGCGGGAAGCTGGTCTACGAAGGGCCTCAGGGCGTCCACTACGCCGAGCAACAAGCGACCCAGAAGGCGATGGACAAACGCCGCGCCGAGTTCAACGCGCGACTGACGCGGTTCGACGAGGCGAACCTCGCGATCGATCTGCCGCGCAAGGGCTGGAGCAAGCCCGAGTCGAGCGAGGAAGGGGGACGCACCAGCGTGCGGCTCTCGCGGAGTCGGCCCGAGATCCTGGTCTCACTCCTCGCCGAGCCGGTTGGGATCGACGCGAACGAGACGAACGACACGCTGCTCGCCGCCTCGCAAGAGAAGATGAAGGGCATCCCCGGCGCCGAAGTGCAGCCGGGCGTCTGGAAGCTGTCGGCGCCAGGCATCGAGGGGCGTGTCTACCGAGCCCAGGCCAAGTTCGAGGGCGGCAGGCAGTTGCACTACTCGATCTGGGTCGCCACGAAGAACGGCTACAACTACTCCCTGGTGGTCTACGGCGACGTGAGCGACGAGCGCGCCGTCAACCAAACCATGCAGCAGTTTGTAAGCCGCGTGAGGCAGAACCAGCCGAACCGCGTCGCGTACGTCGTGACGGAAGCGACCGAGACCCGCTGAGCCGGGCCCGAGCCGCTTCGTCGGCCGTGGCTCACGCGGCGCGTTGCTGGTGGTCTTCGGTCAGCGGCCCATTGAGGTGGACGTCCATCTGCGGGAACGGGATGCCGATGCCCGCGTCGTCGAGGTGCTTCTTGACCGATCGCAGGAGGGCCTGTTTGACCGCGAGGAAGTCGTCGGTCGGCGCCCAGAGTTGCGCCTTCCAGTCGACGCTCGACGCACCGAGGCCGACCAGCACGACGGACGGTTCGGGGTGTGAGAGGCCGCCCTCGGTGGCGGCGATCGCTTCTTCGAGCACGCGGCGCGTCTCGTCGATGTCCGCGTCGTACGCGGCGCCGACTTCGACGTCGACGCGGCGGACCGGGTGGTAAGTGATGTTCTCGATCATCGAGCCGAACACCTCGTTGTTTGGCAGGATGATCCGGCGGTTGTCGAAGGTGTCGAGCGTCGTGGTGAACAGCTCGATCTCGTCGACCTTGCCGAGCTGGTCGGCGATGTTGACGACGTCGCCCACCTTGAACGGCCGGAAGAGAAGCAGCATCGCCCCGGCGGCAAAGTTTGAAAGCGTCCCCTGAAGCGCCAGGCCGACCGCGAAGCCGAGGGCGCCGAGCACCGCGGCGAAGCTGGTCGTCTCGACGCCGAAGTAGCTGAGGCAGCTCAAGCCGGCGAGCAGCAGCACGCCCCAGCGGGCCAGCTTGGCGAAGAACTTCGACAGCGTCGGGTCGAACTTCATCCGCGTGAGGCTCGACCGCACCGCGGCGCCGGCCCAGCCGGCGAGGGTCATCGCCAGGAACAGGATCACCAGCACCAGGGCGACGCGCATGCCGCCCTGAATGGCCAGGTAACGCCACTCTTCCGGCGCGAGGGCGAAGTCGCCCGCCATCAGTCGCTGGAGCAACTGCTGGAACAGGTCGGTCGTCGTGGTCACCGTCTCGGCGGCTGCTTCCGTGGCGTTCTCGACGCCTTTGGCGGCGGCGGTGGTCGTCTCGTCCATCGTGTCTTCGCTTCGGGTGGCGGAGGGGCCGTCGTGTGGGGGCGGCTCCTACCAAACCCGTCGCGTAAGCGACAAGAGCGCCAGCACGTGTGGCCGTGAGCCGCCTACGTCAGTCGGGGGAGTCTGGGATTCCCTCCCCCGGCTCACGCCGGGGGCTCGCCAGTCGTGAGTGCTAGCGTGCTCAGCGCCGGCATTGCCGCGGGCGACGCCGGCACGTACCGTCCGCGGGCCATGATCTCTCGTGCAGCCACCGCCGCGTTGGCGATCGGCGCCCTGTTGGGCTGCCAGTCGGTCGAGGAGCGACTCGTCGCGTCGAACAACCGCGACTGGGTGCCCGACCAATCGGTCTTGCCGACCGCGGAGTTCAGCCGCAGCGGCGACGTCGTCGCGATCAAGAACGTCCGCTACTGCAAGCACCTCGACGCGGGCGAGTACGTCCTCGACTACGACGACCGCACCTACGACTTGCGACAACTGCGCGGCGTCGACTTCGTGACGATGCCGTTCGGCCCCGTGCCGGCGCTGGCGCACACGATGGTGAGCTTCGAGTTCGCGCCGCAGCCGCCGAAGAAGGACCCCGAGCACCTCGCCGTGAGCGTCGAGGTCCGCAAGGAGAAGGGCGAGGAGCAGTTCAACCCGGCGCTCGGCCTGGCGCAGCAGTACGAGATCATGTACGTCGTCGCCGACGAGCGCGACCTCTTGTACCGGCAAGCGGTCACTTACGACGGGCCGACCTACCTGTACCGCACCACCGCGTCGCCCGAGGCGGCGCGCGAGCTGCTGGTCGACATGCTCAGCCGCGCGAACGAGCTGGCCGACAACCCCGAGTTCTACCACCTGCTCACCAACAACTGCACGACAAACATCGCCGCGCACATCAACCGCATCCGGCCCAACCGGATCGTCTACGACGCGAGCGTCCTCCTGCCCGGCTACAGCGACCAGAAGGCGTACGCCGAGGGCCTGCTGGTGACCGGCGGCGAGTCGTTCGAGCAGCTCAAGGCACGGTCATTGATCAACACGCGGGCTCGCGTCGCCGCGAACGACGAGTCGCTCGACTTCTCGGCGACCATCCGGCGGTGAGGGAGTAGGCGGTAGGCAGAGGGCAGCCGGCAGCCTGCCTGTGGCGGATCGGCGCTGGTTCGGCGACAATCGCCGGGCTATGGACCCGCAGTCGCCACGCGTGAACGTCGCCGATCGCCTCGCCGCCGCGGCGGCGGAACGGCCAAACGCCACGGCTTTGGTCGATATGGCCGGACCAACGCGCCAAAACGGGCAACCCATCAAGCGACTCATGGCTGAGGGTTGCAGCCCGATGTTCTCACTCACATCGTTCGAGCACTTAAACAAAGATGCCGACCTACTGGCCCGCGGCATGGCGGCGATGGGCATCGGCCCCGGCAAGCGGATCGCGCTGTTGGTGAAGCCGGGCATCGAGTTCGTGACGCTCGTGTTCGCGCTCTTGCGGACCGGGGCGACGATGGTGCTTGTGGACGCGGGCCTCGGGCGCAAGAACCTGGTCCGCTGCCTCGCGTCCACGGAGCCGGACGGCTTCGTCGCGATCCCGCTCGGCCACGCGGTGCGCGTGTTGAAACGGAAGCACTTTCCGACAGCGAAGCTGAACGTCACGGTCGGCCGCCGCTGGTTCTGGAGTGGGGAGACGCTGGCGTCGCTAAGAAAGCTTGGTGAGCAAGTATCCCCCTCCCCCACGGGGGGAGGGGCTAGGGGAGGGGGTCAGCGCACAGTTCAGGAAAACTCTTCCTGCAATGACGGCGTTTCACCCTCCCCCAACCCCTCCCTGCAAGGGAGGGGGATAAGCGCGCCGCTTCCGCAAACGACCGCCATCGACCCCGCCGCGATCGTTTTCACCTCCGGCAGCACCGGCCCGCCGAAGGGGGTCCTCTACACGCACCAGACGTTCGTCACCCAATGCGACGAGATCCAGCGGCAGTACGATCTGCGGCCCGGCGCGGTCGACCTGGCGTGCTTCCCGCTGTTCGGCTTGTTCAACGTCGCGTGCGGCATCACGACCGTGCTGCCAGAGATGGACTTCTCGCGACCCGCTTCGTGCGACCCGAAGAAGCTGATCGCCGCGGCGAACCAGTGGCGGGTCACGCAGGCGTTCGGCTCGCCGGCGGTGTGGGACCGCCTCAGCCGCCACTGCGAAGAGACGGGCGACTCGATCCCGACCTTGCAGAAGGTCTTCTCCTGCGGCGCCCCCGTGCCGGCGAAGGTGCTCCGACGCACGCTCGCGTGCGTCCACCCCGACGCCGAGATGCACACGCCCTACGGCGCGACCGAGGCGCTCCCCGTCGCGACGATCGAAGCGAAAGAGATCCTCGGCGAGACGGCGGCGAGAACCGACGAAGGCGCGGGGGTGTGTGTTGGCCGCCGATTCGGGTCGAAAGCGGAAAGCGGAAAGAGGAAAGCGGAAGCATCCGCTGGCGAGCCCTCGACGTCAGTCGGGGGAGGAACCACCAACGACTTCGACTGGCGCGTCATCCGCATCTCCGATGACCCAATCGCTTCAATCGACGACGCCGAAGAACTCCCGCAAGGCGAGATCGGCGAACTGATCGTCCGCGGCCCGCAGGTCTCAACCAGGTACCTCACCGGCCAGCCGGAAGCGTCAGCGCCCGGATCGACCGACCACAACGCCGCCGCGAAGATCATCGATGACGACACGGTCTGGCACCGCATGGGCGACGTCGGTTACTTCGACGCAGAGCAGCGATTCTGGTACTGCGGACGCAAGTCACAACGCGTCGTGACGAGCGAAGGGCCTCTCTTCACAGAATGCGTTGAGGGCGCGTTCAACCATCGATTGAACGCGAATGCCTCGGCGTTAGTTGGCGTCAAGGTTTACGATCAAGTGCGCTCGGTTGTTGTCTACGATCGACGAGAGAGTTGGGGAACCCACGTCTTTTCGTGGGAGCAGGACGGCGATATCGCACACCAGCCACACGCCATCCTAGACCGCATTGATCAGATGATTTGCTACCGGCAGCCGCTCCCCACCGACATTCGCCACAACTCGAAGATCCGCCGCGAGGAACTCGCCGCTTGGGCGGAGAAGCAGTTGCACAAGCGTGCCGAGAAAGCGGTGCGTGACGAGCTCGACAAGCTGAGCGTCGCGGAGCTATCGCAACTAGGCGCGGCAATGAAGCAAGACGTTAAGCTGGTTGAGCAGCGCGATCAACCTCCGTCCTCCCCCGACTGACGTCGGGGGCTCACCAGCCTCTTCTCCGCCTTCCCGCTGCCGCCTTCGCCCTCCGACCGACGAACCACCCGCGAACCGCGTCCCTCCATGCGTTGCTTAGTTACCGGCGCCGGCGGCTTCCTCGGCCGCTATGTCTGCGAACAACTCGTCGCCCGGGGCGACGCGGTCCGCGGGCTCGCGCGTGGCGCTTACCCGGAGCTCGAAGCGAGCGGCGTCGAGATGGTTCGCGGCGACCTGGCGGACCGCGACACGGTCGTCGCCGCTTGCGAGGGGGTCGACTGCGTCTCTCACGTCGGCGGCAAGGTTGGCGTCTGGGGGAAGTGGTTCGACTACTTCCGGGCGAACGTGCAAGGCACGCTCAACGTGCTCAGCGCCTGCCAGGAACAAGGCGTCACGCGGCTGGTCTTCACGTCGAGCCCGAGCGTCACGTTCGACGCCGCGCGCTGGGACTGCGACCAACGCGGCGTCGACGCGTCGGCGCCCTACCCGAAGGAGTGGCTCGCCCACTACCCGCACTCCAAGGCGCTCGCCGAGGACTTCGTCCTCACACAGGACGGCGCCGAGGTTGCCGGCGGGGGCGTGCTGCGGACCACGTCGCTGAGGCCGCACCTCGTGTGGGGGCCGCGCGACCATCACCTCACGCGCCGGCTGGTCGAGCGCGCCCGGGCGGGGAAGCTCAAGCGCGTCGGCGCGGGCGAGAATCGCGTCGACATGGTCTACGTCGAGAACGCCGCCGAGGCACACCTGCTCGCCGCTGACGAGCTGGCGAGCCACTCGCCCCGCAACGCCGGCAAGGCGTACTTCATCACGCAGGACGAGCCGGTCGACTGCTGGCAATGGATCGACGACATCCTCGCCCTGGTGGACCTGCCGCCGGTCAACTCGTCGGTCTCCGCCCGCGCGGCCTACTACGCCGGGGCCCTGCTCGAGTTCAAGCACTGGCTCACCCGCAACTGGGCGAACGAGCCCCGCATGACCCGCTTCGTCGCCCGCTCCCTCGCCACGGACCACTGGTTCGACAAGGAGGCTCCCGCCCACGACTTCGGCTATCACCCGCGGGTCTCCACCGAGGAAGGCATGCGGCGGTTGGGGGAATGGCTCAGGAAGCGGGAAGTCGGAAGTGGGAAGTCGGAATGACTTGTTGGCTGGCTTCTCCCCGAGGCAGGCCGCAAATACAATCATCGCTTCACTTTGCGGCGACAGCCCCAGCGGGTGTGCAGCAACCTCCCTTCCGCCTTCCCACTTCCGACTTCCCCCTTCGAAATGCTCCGCACCCACACCTGTGGCGACCTCCGCAAGTCCGACGCCGGCTCTACCGCGACGCTCTGCGGCTGGGTCGACAGCTACCGTGACCACGGCGGCGGCCTGTTCGTCGACCTCCGCGACCGCTACGGGATCACGCAGGTTGTCTTCAACCCGCCCGACTCGTCGCAGGCGATCATCGACGCGTCGAAGGAACTCCGCGCGGAGTACGTCATCCAGGTGACCGGCAACGTCTCGCCGCGGCCCGAAGGGCAGAGCAACCCGAAGCTCGACACGGGCGAGATCGAGCTCTGTGTCACCGAGCTTAAGCTGCTCAACAAGGCGAAGACGCCGCCCGTGTCGCCCAGCGAGTCGGTCACCGAGCTGCCTGGCGAGGACCTGCGTCTCAAGCACCGCTACCTCGACCTGCGTCGCCCGGCGATGCAGCGGGCGATGCTGCTCCGCGACAAGCTCACCAAGCGGATGCGCGACTACTTCGAGGAACACCAGTTCGTCGACGTCGAGACGCCGATCCTCGGCCGCAGCACGCCGGAGGGCGCGCGGGACTACCTGGTGCCGTCACGCGTGCACCACGGCAACTTTTACGCGCTGCCGCAGTCGCCGCAGCTCTACAAGCAGATCCTGATGATCGCCGGCTACGACCGGTATGTGCAGGTCGCCCGCTGCTTCCGCGACGAAGACCTCCGCGCCGATCGGCAGCCGGAGTTCACGCAGCTCGACCTCGAGATGGCGTTCATCGACGACGACGACATCATGACGATGATCGACGGCCTCGTGGCGAAGCTCGCCAAGGAGATCCTCGACATCGACGTCGAGCTGCCGCTGCCGCGGATGACGTACGACGAGGCGATGACCCGCTTCGGTCACGACGCGCCCGACCTGCGTTTCGCTCTGGAGATCGTCGACCTTACCGACCTCGCCCCGAAGAGCGACTTTGGTGTCTTCAAGTCGGTCGTCGAGGCGGGCGGCCACGTCCGCGCGCTCTGCGTCCCCGGCGGCAGCGAGCACTACAGCCGCCGCGGCATCGACGCGCTAACGGAGTTCGTCAAAGGCCTCGGCGCAAAGGGCCTCGCCTGGTTCCGCGTCGAAGACGTCGATGGAAAACCGACGCTCAACAGCAACATCGCCAAGTTCTTCCCCGAAGAGCTCCGCGCGGAGATGGCGGAGCGCCTCGGCGCGAAGACGGGCGATCTCGTCCTCTTCTCCGCCGCCGACTGGCTCAGCACCTGCAAGGTGCTGCACGGCCTGCGGACGAAGATCGGCGCCGAGATGAAGCTGTACGACGAGAAGGCGATGAACTTCTCGTGGGTCGTCGAGTTCCCGATGTTCGAGCGGACCGAGGACGCGGACAACCCGCAGGCCGAGGGCGCCTGGTCGGCGATGCACCACCCGTTCACCGCGCCGCTGGACGACCACGTGCAGTACCTCGACAGCGACCCGGCCAAGTGTCGCGCGAAGGCGTACGATCTGGTGATCAACGGCAGCGAAGCGGGCGGCGGCACCATCCGGATCCACGACGCGGAGGTGCAGGCCAAGGTCTTCTCGCTCCTCGGGATCGACGAGGAGACCGCCGCCGACCGGTTCGGCTTCTTGCTCGAGGCGCTCGCCTACGGCGCCCCGCCGCACGGCGGCATCGCGCTGGGCCTCGACCGTTTCGTGATGCTGTTCGGCGGCTTCGACAACATCCGCGACGTGATCGCGTTCCCGAAGACGCAGAAGGCGACCGACCTGATGACCGAAGCCCCTGGCGCGGTCGACACGAAGCAGCTCAAAGAGCTGGCGGTGAAGGTGGATATGTAGCCGCGTCGGTGGCAGCACACGCTACGCGGTGATGCAGCGGCTGAGCGTCACCGAAGCGCTGTCGCTCGACGACCACTTCCGCCAGTTCGGCTTCGTCGAGGTCCGGCCATGACGGTCCGCCCCGTTTCAAGTATCGATCGATGACCTCAGACGAGTCACGAGCCGAGATCAAGCGTCTCCTTGAGATGTACGCCGGTGTTACGTCGGCCGGTGTGTTTCGGAGCGAGAACGTCGTCAATGTCTACTTTCGGTGTTGCGACTTCGCGTCGCTGATGGCGATCGCCGAGTGCGCCGCGTGGTCGAACTTGACCATTCGCGTGTGCGGCATCAGTCATCCGCTCTGCTATGAAGATGAAGGCGTAACAGATTGTCAGTTCATGATGGCAGCGCCGGACTCGCAAACCACTGATGATCAGCATTCGGACGCGGCGATATTCTTTGGGATCTACTTGACTCGTGACCTTGAAGCGCGGGCGATTCTCTCGAAGGCTGACGCGGTTCGGCTGCATCGCATGTGGAACGCAGCAGTTCCTTGGGAGGCAGACGAGTAGTTCGTAGGGTGGGTGTTCGCACCCATCGTCGCGTTCCCGACGAATCGGCTCTGTTGACGCCTTGCCCTGAACACGAAAGGGTGGGTCGAGACCCACCCTACGCGGCTCCTCACGAGACTTGTAATGCGCGACCTTGCCCTGCTCACTTTCGTCTCGCTCGACGGCGTCATGCAGGGGCCGAGCACGCCCGACGAAGACACCTCGGGCGGCTTCACCCGCGGCGGCTGGGCCCGGCCGTGGTGGGACGAGGTGATGGGGCTCGTCGGCCGGCACGCGATGGCCCAGCCGTACGACCTGCTGCTGGGGCGCACGACCTACGACCTGTTCGCCGGCCACTTCGCGACCGCGACCGGCCCCGAGGCGGACCTCCTGAACGGGGCGACGAAGCACGTCGTCACCTCGTCGCCCGACTCGCTGGGGTGGAGCAACTCGCATGCGGTCGCCACGACCGGAAGCGACGAGGCGATCAACGCCGCGATCGCCGACCTGAAGCAACAAGACGGCCCGCTGCTGCAAGTGCACGGCAGCTGGCGACTCGTCCAGACGCTGCTCGCTGGCGGCCTGGTCGACGAGCTGCGGCAGTTCACCTTCCCGGTCGTCGTCGGCGAGGGCAAACGCCTGTTCCCCGAATCACCCAAGCCGGGCGAATGGGATCTCGCCGCCACCGAAGCGACCACCGGCGGCGCGACGATGACCATCCATCGACGCCGTGCCGATTGAGAGCGCCAAGGGTGCGCCGCCCTTGGATGTCACGGTCGCTAGGCGGCGTCGAGCCGACCACAATTAACGCTTGGGCACCGGCCCTGCTACGCCGACAATCGTTACGGCTCCCCGCCGCCTCTCGACTCGGCCCGTGTGAAAACCACCCCCGACAAAACGCCAAACCGTGTGGAGCCAACGGCTTGCGCCGCGAAAGCAGGGGGTTTTGTCGGGGGCGCCCGTTTCTTGGGCCCCGACAAAAGTCGGCCGACAAAAGTCGACCGAAGAAGCAGCGCGGTCGGCGGCGGCTCAGCGGGCGGGCGGGGCCTCGTCCGTGGCGCTCGCCATCTGCACGCCGGCGGTTGGGTCCTCGCCGACCGGCACGTACGAAGGCGGCGGGCCGGCCGCGGCGAGTGACTGCTCGACCGTGGACGACTTCGGACGCCACAGGGCGCCGCTCGCCGCGTCGACGCCCAGGCCGATCGGACCGCCGAGCACGATGTTGCCCAGCGTCCACGGGTTGAACTTCAGGTCGAGCGGCGTCTCGGCCGGGACGTAGCCAGGCTTCTCGAACGTGGCGGTGTACTTCGCCGGCTTGAGCCACTTCCGGCCGCGCTTGAGCGACACGGCGCCGGGCGTGCGGGTCTCGGCGACGACGACCCCCTCGTGGTCGCGGACGGTGACGTTCGCCTCGGACGGGACCGACTGCAGCGTGACGTTGGCCGTCTTGCCGTCGATGATCGTCGCGCAGCCCGCCGACATGAGCGACCCGAGAGCAACCAGCGCAGCGAGAGAGCGAGGCATCATCCCTGACGTCCCGTGGGGTGGTGGTTGGGGCAGAAGAGGGCGGGACCGTAGCGAACGCCTGCCGGCGGCGCCAGCCAGATCGCGGCAAGGCCGCGGCGCCAGCACTTCGCGCCTCGGGGCGGGGGTGTGAGACTCACGGCCACCGCAGCCCGAGTCCCCGCGAGGCCCCCCTGAAGATGAACGTCGCCGACTTGCGAGAAGCGATCGCCGCCAACCCCGACTGCGCGCTCCGCGTCGAGCTGGCCGGCGGCGAGGCGATCGCCCCGCACTTTCACGTCACGGAGGTCGGCCGCGTGACCAAGGAGTTCGTCGACTGCGGCGGCACGCCCCGCACCGAGGTCCGCTGCGTGCTGCAGACGCTCGTCGCCAGCGACACCGACCACCGCCTGACGTCGACCAAGCTGACGGGCATCCTGTCTCTCGTCGACAGGCTCGGCCTGCCGGCCGACGCGCTGGTGGAGGGCGAGCACCAAGAACGGAGCGTCTCGACCGACGCGGTCACGGCGATCGAGCGCGACGCGGAGACGCTCGTCATCCGCCTATCGCCGAAGCAGACCGCCTGCCTCGCCGAAGACGCCTGCGGCATCCCGGCGGCGGACGGCCTGCCTTCGCTAACGGTCGTGGGCGAAGACTGCTGCTCACGGCCGGGGAGTTGCTGAGAAGCGATCCGACGTTTTTTGACTTTGCCGCGGCGAGCCGTTAGCGTGCTGGCGCTGGATCGCCCCTCCGCGAGTGAGTCGCCGCCATGAGAGTCTTCCGAACGCTGCAGATTCTGATCGCCTCGGCGGTCCTCACGTCGCCTGCCGCGGCGATGCCGATCTACACGCAGACGCAGTCGGGCGGCGTCGGGTTCCCGAGCGTCGAGCCGGTCGTGCTGACCTTTACCGACGCCCCCCCGGCGGCGTCGGACGCGACGCTGACGCTGATCGCCACCGGCGGTGAGCTCAACCTTGGGGGCAAGCGCCTCGAACAGTTGACGGTTGACGGCGCGTCGTTCGAGACGCCGAACCTGCCCGGCGGGCACCCGGCCGGGTCGGTCCTGCCGACCAACCAGCCGAACATCCTGCAAGAGGTCGTCGAACCGGTGACGATCCCTGAGGGGGTGCTAGATGGCTTTGTCGCCGACGGGATGGTCGTGGTGTCGGTCGTTCGCCCCGGCTTCATCGCAGCCGGGACGTTCGATTTCGTGCTCAGCTACACGTCGGCGATCCCCGAGCCGGCAGCCGCGTTGCTGGTGGCGATCGGATTCGCGATCGGCCACGTGCCTCGCCGCTAGGCGCTAGCGAACAGCGCGGCGATCTCGGCGGAGTCGGACTGCTGCGCCAGCTCACTTAGCCGGACGCCATGGGCGTCGCGAGCCTCGCGTAACGTTGGCAGCACGGCCAGCAGCCGTTTGAGCCGCGCGGTGTCTCCCGTCGCGATCGCGTCGGACGCAGCGTCGATCTCGATCGCGAGCAGCCCGCCGCGCTGGCGGAGGTGCTCGATCGCCCACCCGGCCGGCGTCGCGCCGAACTCCCGATCCCGGGCGTTGACGTCCGCCCCCGCGTCGATGAGCGCGGCGGCGATCTCACGATGCCCGCCGAGCGCCGCCAGGTGCAGCGGTGTGGCGCCGTTCTCGTCGGTCGAAGTCGCCAGTGAAGGGTTCTCGGCGAGCAGACGCCGAACCTCGGCGAGGTCGCCGGTCTGAACCGCTGTGAGCATCGGAACGATCAGTTTGTCCCGCATACGATCAAGCAACGAAGCAGAAGGCGATCAAGACCAGGCTGACGTTTAGGAAGAATACCTGACCGGCAACAGTAACTTGCTTTCTCGTTTACCCATCGAAGGCGTACCAGGCGACGACGCAGCTGCATATCCCGTAGTAGAGAAAGGCTGTGCAAGCAGCCGCCACCGGCTGTGCCGCGACGACTACCCAACTGGAAAACGACCCAGCTACCGCCTGGAGCGCCGCAAATACAAACGCGAGGATCGTGAGGAGCAGACAAGAAACTCGGTACGGCCGTCGATCCGTGTGATGCGGGTACGCTCGCATCAAGATCTTTCGCCCCCCAAGTGACCCCAGCAACACTCCAACGGCGTAGCCCAGAGCCACGATCGGTGAAGCAATGAGGTAGAAGAGGAGCCGCATTCCCGCGAAACCTGCTTCGGGAACGCTGCCAAGAAGCGATGACGTGAGCACCGTCGTCACCCCTTCACCGCCGCGAGCAGGAAATTCGGCTTCAGCGCCTCGAAGGACAGCCGCTCGAGCTGGTCGGCGCCTCGGGCGATGTTGACCATCCAGACGCCGAGGTTCGGCTCGCCGTCGGCCGCCGCGGTGAGCGCGGCGCGGGCGTCGGCGATGTGGTCGATGCTGATGAGGTTCACTACCAACCGGCCGCCGGGGCGCAGCCGGGCGTAAGCCAGCTCCGCGAGACGCGTCACCTCGCGGCCCGCGCCGGCGATGAACACGCAGTCGGGCTCGGGGAGCTTGTCCCACGCCTCGGGCGCCTTGCCGAGGACCGGGATCACGTTCGCGACGGCGAATCGCTCGCAGTTCTCTTGGATCAGGCCGTGGTCCTCGGGGTCCATCTCGATCGCGTAAACGGCGCCGTCGCGGGCGATCTGCGCCGCCTCGACGCTCACCGAGCCAGAGCCCGCTCCAACGTCCCAGACGATGCTGCCCGGCGCGATATCGAGCTGCGCCAGCGCGAGCGAACGCACCTCGGCCGGCGTGAGCAGGCCCTGCTTCGGCTTCGCCTGCAGGAACGCGTCGTCCGGGTTGCCGAACAAGCGGCGGCCGACCGCGTCGCGCGGGCGGTCGGGCGCGTCGGGGTCGCGGATGAGGATCATTACGCTGAGGCCGGGGAACGCCCCGTCGGCGATCGCCGACAGCTCGCCCTGGGTGACGCGTTCGTCGCGGGCGCCGAGGTTCTCGCAGACGTAGGCGTTGAAGTAGTCGATCTTGCGATCGAGCAGCGCGCGGGCTACCTCCGCGGGGCCCGTTTCGTCGTTCGTGAAGAGACCGACCTTCTGCGCGGTGCGGACCTTCTCGATCACCGACCCGAGCGGGTGGGTCGCCAGATCGGTCAGGTACGCCTCGTCCCAGCTCTCCATGACCCGGGCGAACGCGAGCTGCATGCTGCTGACGTGCGGCAGGACCTCGAAGTGGTCCTTGCCGAAGCGGTCGGTCAGGAAGCGGGCGAGGCCGTAGAACATCGGGTCGCCAAAGACGACGAGCGCCGCCTGCTGGCCGCCGATCTGCTCGACCTGCGTGGCGAGCTGCTCAAGGTCGCCGCTGAGCGGGACCCGCTTGGCCGTCGCGCCCTCGCCGAGCAGCGCGAGCGCCCGTTCGTCGCCGAGCAATACCTGGGCGGCGGCGATTCGTTCGCGCACGGCGGCCGACGCCGCGTTGAGGCCGTCGTCGCCGATGCCGATGATGGAGAGCATGCGGAGGAGGGGTCAGGTATCAGGGGACAGGCGCCAGGCCGGCTGAAGAATCTGACTAGAACGTATTCGCTGGCAGAAGGCGCCGCCAGCGCACCCCGACCCCTGACGCCTGATCGCTGACCCCTGCCGCGTCAGCGGGTCGCGATGAAGCACTTCAACGCGTGGTGCTCCAGCCGGACGGGCTGCGACGTGTCGAGCGTCGGGCCGAGCGACTCGGCGAACGCGTCGTGGGGCGACTCGGCGGCCGTGTCGACGACTAGGCGCCATTCGAGTTCCTTGGCAGGCCTGGGGAGCTGGAACTGCTGGGGTTCGCCGCCGGAGTGCATGAAGACCAGCACGTGGCGGGCGGCCGGGTCGTCGAGCCCGGTGGGGCTGAGGACGCAGGTCAGGCTGTGGAACGTCTGGTGCCAGTCGATCTGGGCGCCGTCGGTCCCGTACCAACAAACGTCCGGTTGCTCGCCGTGGCCGTGTGGCGCGCCTGTGAGGAAGTCGGGTCGGCGGAGCACCGGCTGGTGCAGCCGAAGGGCGATCATCTGCTGTGTGAAGCGGAGCATCTCCGCGTTGCGTTCCACCAGGCGCCAGTCGAACCAGCTTAGCGCGTTGTCTTGGCAGTACGCGTTGTTGTTGCCGCGCTGGGTGCGGAGCGCCTCGTCGCCCGACACGAGCATCGGCACGCCCTGGCTGAGCATCAGCGTGGCGACGAAGTTCTTCGCCTGGCGGCGGCGGAGTCGGCGGATCGGCAGCCGGCGCGTCGGCCCCTCGACCCCGTAGTTGGCCGAGTAGTTGTTGTTGTCGCCGTCGCGGTTCTCCTCGCCATTGGCGAGGTTGTGCTTACGCTCGTACGACACGAGGTCGTTCAGCGTGTAGCCGTCGTGCGACGTGACGAAGTTGATGCTGTGGTACGGCTGACGGCCCGAGGGCTGGTAGAGGTCGCTCGAACCGGCGAGGCGCGTGGCCATCGGGCCGGTCATGCCGAGGTCGCCGCGCCAGTAGCGGCGCACATTGTCGCGGTAGGCGCCGTTCCACTCCGCCCAGCGGCTGCTGGCGAACGAGCCGACCTGGTACGCCCCGGCCGCGTCCCACGCCTCGGCGATGATCTTCGTGTCCGAGAGCATCGGGTCCTCGGCGATGTACTCCACCAGCGGCGGGTTGGGCACCAGCTCGCCGGTGCGGCTGCGGCTGAGGATGCTCGCCAGGTCGAAGCGGAACCCGTCGATGTGGTAGTTGTAGACCCAGTGCCGGAGGCAGTGGAAAATCATCTCCCGGACGATCGGGTGGTTGCTGTTCACCGTGTTGCCGCAGCCGGAGTAGTTCTTGTACGAACCGTCTCCGTTGAGCATGTAGTAGACGCTGTTCTCGAGGCCCTTGAAGCTGAACGTGGGCCCCTGGTCGTTCCCCTCGGACGTGTGGTTGAACACGACGTCGAGGATCACCTCGATGCCCGCGGCGTGCAGCTCGCGGACCATCTGCTTGAACTCGCGGACCTGCGCCCCGGGTTCGGCGCCCGAGGCGTAGCCGCGGTGGGGAGCGAAGAACGCCATGGGGTCGTAGCCCCAGTAGTTGGCGCGGGCCGGCTTGCTGCCGTCCGACTCCTCGGTCGGGAACTCGTGGACCGGCATCAGCTCGACCGCGGTGACGCCCAGTTCCTTGAGGTACGGGATCTTCTCGATCACGCCGAGGTACGTCCCCGGCGAGTCGGCGCCGGCGCTGGGGCTGTTGGTGAACCCGCGGACGTGCATCTCGTAGATGACCGACTCGCTCAGCTTGCGGCGGAGGTGGCGGTCACCGCCCCAGTCGAAGTGGTCGTCGACAACGACGCATTTCGGCGGCCGGACGACGCCGTCGTCGCCCGGCAGGTAACCGCCGGCGAGCGCCTTGGCGAACGGGTCGATCAACCGGGCGTGCGGGTCGAACCGGTGCCCCCGCTCCGGTTCGAACGGCCCGTCGGCCTGGAAGTGGTAGAGCTGCCCCGCCTCGAGGTCGGGGACGAAGACGCTCCAGATGTCGCCCCAGCGGTCGGTGTCGGGGTTGAGCTCGACCAGCCGGGCCGGGTCGCGGTCGGTGACCTTGTTGTAGAGCAGCACCCGCATAGCCGTCGCGTTCTTGCTGAACACGACGAACTGCACCCCGTCTTCCCGCAGGATCGCCCCGTAGGGCAGCGGGTAGCTGAATTGCATGGGGGGGAGGGATTTGTGCTTCTTGGCCATCACGAGGCCCGACTGGCGGGCGAGGTAGGAAGTCGTGCCGTTCGCGATCATTTGTGGATCGTAGGGGTCGTTTCGAGGACCGGCGCCGCCTTCCCTGGCCCAGACACGTCCCCCTCGCAGGCCGCAGCTTGCGCGAACCGGGGGCGTAACGCTAGCATCGGCCTCGCCGACCAGCCGCTGGAAGCTTCGATCCGCGGCCCGCGCCCCTTCGCCCGCCGGCACGACCGGATCGCCGAAGAGCCGTTCGCGTTTCGGACGGACTTCGTGGTTTCTGAGCCGCGGGCCGCGTATTTGCTTGTGGGCCGCTGCGGCCTCGTCCTACGATCCGGGGGTGGACTTGTCTTTCGCTGTGCCGCTCTCGGTTCGATTCTCGGAGGTGGGGATCGATCGGGAACGAGCTGATCTTGGGAGGCCGATATGAAGGCCACGCTTCCCGCGGTTTGGTTGTCGATCGCGTTGGCGTTCCCCACGGCGGTCGAAGCCGATCTCGTCACCATTGGGTTTGAGAGCGTTGCGTCCGGGGTGGACCTGGACGATGAGTACGCCTTAACGCGGATGGTCGATTTCGGCGGCACGATGCGCGTGCTGAACTCGTCGTTGGCGCGGACCGGAGCGCGGGAGGCCTTCGGACCGCCGATTGGCGCTGACCCCAGCCGAATCGACGCGTTGGGAGGTGAGTTCCTCACCTTCGGAGCCTGGTTCCGCGGTGACGGCGCCGGAGACGTCTTGTCGATCGACGCCTTCGACGCGGGCGATTCGTTGCTCGGGACCGTCTCTTTCAACCCCCCCGCCTCGGGCCTGACGCACGGCTTCCTGGAGATCGACACGGCGGACACCAGCGGCGAGACCTTCGCCTACGTCGAGATTTCGATCACCGGGGTCGGGTACTCGATGGACGACCTGCAGTTCGAGATCGCGACCGCAGCGATCCCGGAGGGCAGCCCGCTTGTGGCCTTCGTCATGATCGCCGGCGCCCACTCTTTGAGGCGTGGTATTCGGCGCATTGACGCTTAGCTCCCGATCAGTGACCGGGAGCTGAATCAGTGAGTCGGCCCGAACACGGCGCCCCAGTCACGCCGCATGTCGACGACGACCCAGCCGCGCTTCGGCGCGTCGGCGAGGGCCTCGACCAGCTTGCCGCTGCTCTTCGGCTTGGCGTCGTAGGCGTACTCTCGCTCGGCGTCGGTGTGGTGGACGATCAGGCCAAACGCCGGGTGCGGGTTGCCGATCGTCGTGTACTCGAGCATCGCCTTGTCGCCGTCCGAGTTGCCGAAGGCGGCGATCGGTCGGCGGCCGATGAACTGGCGGATCCCGGCCGGCTTGCCGGCTTTGTCGTCGACGAACAGGTGGTCGGCCGTCTTGGTCAGCACCGGCTGGTCGTCCACCAACTCGTACGCGACCCACGTGTGAGAGCCGATGACCTGCTCGGGCGGCACGCCGTAGACCCGCTCGGCGAAGACCCGCATGAAGTCCATGCCGCCGCCGGAGACGATGAACGTCTTGAAGCCGCTGGCGCGAAGGTAGGCGAGCAGCTCGAGCATCGGCTGGTAGACGCACTGGTCGTACGGCCGATCGAAACGCGGGTGGCGCGCCGTGCGGAGCCACCCGGCGACGCTCGCGTCGAACGCGTCGGTGGTCATGCCGGTGTGCGTCAGCGCGAGCAGGCGCACCAGGCCCTTGTGCCCGTCAGCCAAGAGCGCCGCGAAGTCGCCCGACAACGCCGCCTGCACGGCCGCGTCGTCGTCCCACTCGGGGTGGCTCGCCGCGGCCGCCTTGAGCCGGTCGAGCGCGTACGACAGCTGGATCGGCGCCGGGTTCTCGGTCCAAAGGCAACCGTCGTTATCGAAGACGGCGATCCGCTCCGCGGGCGGGACGTAGTCGGCGGCGCCCTCCGTCGTCACCCGCTCGACGAAGCGGACGATCGCGTCTTTCGAAGAACCGTCGTTCCACGACGGCAGCGGGTCGGTGCCGTGGGCTTGGCCGACTAGCGCGAGGGCGAGCGCGGCGATTGCGCCTAGAAGTCGACACTGAGACGTCATTTCACGTGGTCCTTAGGCTTCACGGTCGGTCGCTTGGCGCCAGCTAATCGCGGAATCCAGGTTCGTGTTATCAGTTGATCTCGAAGCGGATCTCTTCGATCTCGCCGGTGAACTCGAAGTCGCCGCGGTCGCGGTACGCCGGGGCGATCGCCGTGATCGAGTCGCGGCCGACTTCGAAGGGTTCGAGCCCGTGGCGGAAGAGCGACCGGTTGATCTTCCCCTCGCCGGCCGGCTCGCCGTTGACGAGCAGCTCCAGCCGGCCTCCGCCGGTCTCCGATCCGTCGGGCGTGAATCGATAGCCGACGGTCGACTCGCCCGCGGGGAGTTCGCGCGTGCTGTCGATGTTGGCGTCGATGCCGGCCATGTCGAAGACCGTGTAGCGGAACCGTGGCTTGCCGTCCTGCACGAAGAGGCTCCAGCCGATCGAGAAGGAGCCGGCGCACGCGATGACGCCCTCGGCGCCGTCGTCGGGCACGACGACCTTCGCCGTGACCATGTGGGGCCGCGGGAAGAGCTGCGGGCCGACCGGCTCGGGGAGCCAGACGTCGTTGCCGTAGTAGGTCCAAGACGTCGGCGGGTCGGCGCCGAGGCGCAGCTTCGGGTCGAAGCGCTCGGTGAACCGCGGGTCGAGCGGGAAGACGTTGTACTTGCGCGCCTCCTCGGAGAACTTCTGCTTCAGCTCGGCGACCTTTGTTGGGTTGGCTTCCGCCAGGTCGTTCGCCTGGCTGAAGTCCTCGTCGATGTGGTACAGCTCCCACGGCGCGTTGACGAAGTCGTCCGAACGGGGCCCGCGGTCCCACGGCACGCCGAAGCGGCTGCAGGCGACCCACCCGTCGTGGTAGATCGCCCGGTTGCACTTCATCTCGAAGTACTGGGTCAGGCGCTGGTCGTCGGCTTCGGCGTCGTCGAACGAGTAGAGCATCGAGACACCCTCGATCGGCTTCTGCTGGATCCCGTTGACCTCGGTTGGCTCCTCGAGGCCGCAGGCCTCGAGGATCGTCGGGACGACGTCGATGACGTGGTGGAACTGCGTACGGAGTTCGTCGCGGGCGCGGATCCCCTTCGGCCAATGCACGACCAACGGGTTGCGGGTTCCGCCGAAGTGGCTGGCGACCTGCTTGGTCCAGGCGAAAGGTGCGTCCATCGCCCAAGCCCAACCGACCGGAACGTGCGGCTCGCTGGTGGGGCCGCCGATCTCGTCGAGCCGGTTGATGGTGCTCTCGAGGCCCAGGTCGATGCCGAGCAGGCTCGCCAGTTCGCTGAACGTGCCTTGGAGTCCGCCCTCGGGGCTCGCGCCGTTGTCGCCGACGATGTAGAAGACCAGCGTGTTGTCGAGCTCGCCCGACGCGTCGAGGCTGTCGATCAAGCGGCCGATGTGGTGGTCGGTGTGCGCCATGAAGCCGGCGTAGTTCTCCATCAGCCGCAGGTAGACCGGTTTCGCCTCTTCGGGGACGTCGTCCCACGCCGGCAAACCTTCTGGTCGCGGCGTTAGCTTGGCGCCCGCGGGGATCACGCCGGTCGCGAGTTGCTGGGCGTGGGTGAGCTCGCGTTGCTTGTCCCAGCCGTGGTCGAAGGCGCCGCGGAACTTCGCCTGCCAATCGGGCGGCGTGTGGTGCGGCGCGTGGACGGCCCCCGTGCTGAAGTAGCAGAACCAAGGCTTGTCGCGATCGGCCGCCCGCGTGTTGCGGACCCAGGCGATCGCCTCGTCGGTCATGTCCTCGGTGAAGTGGTAGCCTTCTTCGGGCGACTTCGGCTGCGGGACCGGGACGGTGTTCCGGTACAGCATCGGGTAGTATTGGTGCGTCTCGCCCTGATTGAACCCGTAGAAGTAGTCGAACCCGAGGCCGGTCGGCCAACGGTCGAACGGCCCGGCGGGGCTGATGTCCTGCTCGGGCGTGTTGTGCCACTTGCCGAACATGCTTGTGGCGTAGCCGTTGTCGCGCAGCATCTGCGAGACGAGCGCCGTGCTCTTCGGGATGACGCCCGTGTAGCCGGGGTAGCCGGTCCCCATTTCGATGATGACGCCGGTGGCGACGCTATGGTGGTTGCGCCCCGCGAGCAGCGCGGCGCGCGTCGGGCTGCAGAGTGCGGTGGTGTGGAACCGCGTGTACGACAGGCCGTTCTCGGCGAGTTTCTCGAGGTGCGGCGTCGGCACCGGCCCGCCGAAGGCGCTGCACATGCCGAAGCCGACGTCGTCCAGCAGGATGATCAGCACGTTTGGACTGCCCGCCTTAGCACGCAGGGGCGGCGGGTAGCTCGGCTGCGAGGCGTCGTACGTTTCGGCGATCTTGCCCGTGAACGGCGGGTCGTTCTGGGGCAGGCTCGTTTGGGCCCGCGACACCTCGGCTTGGAGCACGAAGACACAGGCGAAGGCGACTAGCGGCGCGCGCATGATGCAAGTCCTCGGTGTGAGAGAATCGCCAAAGAAAAGGCCGCCGGCTCCGAGGAGCCGGCGGCCTTGTTGGCTCGCCCGTCTACTTCGAGCCGACGCCCGTTTTGATCTGCTCAATCACCTTGTCGAGGTTGAATGACCCCGGCGTCTGGCTCGGCGGGTACTCGACCATCGACTTGAGGAACTTGGCGGCGATGTCCTGCATCGGCAGCAGCACGAACGCCCGGTCCAGGTACCAATCCCAGTACGTGTTCGAGTTGTGCTGCGACTTCTCGAACGGGTCGCGGCGGAGGTTGAACAGGATCGGGATGCGGAGCTGGACGAACGGCTCCTGCCAGACGCCGAGTTGGATGCCCCGGTTGGAGAGGAAGACCGCCTTCCAGTCGTCGAAGCGGATGGCGACGATCTGCCCCTCGTCGTTCACGTACATGAACTCCTTGCGGGGCGACTCGTCGACGTTGCCCATCAGGTAGTCGAGCTGGTTGTAGCCGTCGACCATGTTGCGGTACTGGCGGCCGATCAGCTCGGTCCCCTTGGCGAGCTTCTCCTTGATGTCCGGCGCGCCGGCTGCGGCGGCGAACGTCGGCAGCCAGTCTTCGTGCGCGACGATGCCGTTGAGCGTCACGCCTTCCTGGAACTTGCCGGGCCAGCGGGCGAAGGCCGGCACGCGGTAGGCGCCCTCCCAGTTGGAGTTCTTCTCGCCGCGGAACGGCGTCGTGCCGGCGTCGGGCCAGGTGTTGTAGTGCGGGCCGTTGTCGGTCGAGTACTGGACGATCGTGTCTTCGGCGATGCCGAGCTCGTCCAGGAGGTCGAGCAGCTCGCCGACGTGCAGGTCGTGCTCGACCATGCCGTCGTGGTACTCGTCGCCCGACTTGCCGGCGAGGCCGCGGTGCTCCTTCTTCACGTGCGTGCGGAAGTGCATGCGGGTGCCGTTCCACCAGCAGAAGAACGGCTTGCCGGCGTCGTGCTGCCGCTTGATGAAGTCCTTCGCCGCGGCGACCGTCTCGTCGTCGACCGTCTCCATCCGCTTCTTGGTGAGCGGGCCCGTGTCCTCGATCTTCTGCGTCCCGTCGGGCAACGCGTAGGAGCGGATCACGCCGCGTGGGCCGTACTGCTGACGGAAGGTCTTGCCGTTGGGCAAGACGTAGTCGTTCGGGTAGTCCTCGTTCTCCGGTTCCTCTTCCGCGTTGAGGTGGTAGAGGTTGCCGAAGAACTCGTCGAAGCCGTGGTTGGTGGGCAGGTGCTCGTCGCGGTCGCCCTGGTGGTTCTTGCCGAACTGCCCGGTCGCGTAGCCCTGGCTCTTGAGGACGGCCGCCATGGTGGCGTCGGTCTCTTGCCAGCCCTCGGCCGCGCCCGGCATGCCGACCTTCGTCATGCCCGTGCGGACCGGCACGTTGCCGGCGATGAACGCGGCCCGGCCCGCGGTGCAGCTCTGCTGACCGTAGTAGTCGGTGAACGAAACGCCCTCTTTGGCGATGCGGTCGATGTTGGGCGTCTCGTAGCCCATCATGCCGCGGTTGTTGTGGCTGATGTTCCACGTGCCGATGTCGTCGCCCCAGATGACGAGGATGTTCGGCTTGTCGGCCGCACAGGCGACGCCCGTCGCGAGGGCGAGCGTCGCCAGGAAGGCGTGTCGAGTCATCGAAAGCTTCTCCTGAGTAGAGGGGGAGTGTCTTTATTGGCCGCGGCCGGGGGACGACAGCTTCTCGAGCGCTTGGCCCGGTCCGAACGTGCCGCTGGCTTGGCTCGGCGGGTAGGCCTCGAACGTCGAAACGAACTTCGCGACGACCGTCTGGGCCGGCACGAACGTCCACATCTTGTCGGCGTACCAGCGGAAGTACATGTTCGACTCACGCATGAACCGCTCGAACGGGTCCTGCCGCAGGTTGATCACGTACGGCATGTTGACCGGACGCAGGATCGAGTCCTGGAGGTTGCCCTCCTGGACCTGGAAGTGGATCTTCCAGTCGTTGACGCGCACCGCGTTGAGGTTGGCGTTGTCGTCGAAGTAGAAGACCTCGTGCCGCGGTCCCTGGTCGGCTTCGCCTTGGAAAAACGGCATGAAGTTGTAGCCGTCGAGGTGGTTGCGGAACCGCTTGCCATTCGCCTTATGGCCCTCCAGCAGCTTCTCTTTGACGTCGGGGTCGCCCGCGGCGGCGAGCAGCGTCGGCGCCCAGTCCTCGTGAGACATCACGTCGTTGTAGATCGTTCCCGGCTCGATGACGCCGGGCCAGCGGACGACGCACGGCACGCGCATCCCGCCCTCCCAGGTGGTGCCCTTCTCGCCGTGGAACGGCGTGCAGCCGCCGTCGGGCCAGGTCATCACCTCGGCGCCGTTGTCGGTCGAGACCACGACGATCGTGTTGTCGGCGATGCCGAGGTCGTCGAGCTTCTGCAGCAGCTGGCCAACGACCCAGTCGAACTCCGCCATGCCGTCCGCGTAGAGCCCGAAGCCCGTCTTGTCCTTCCACTCCTGGGAGAGGTGCGTGAAAACGTGCATCCTCGTGAGGTTGTGCCACAGGAAGAACGGCTTGTCGGCTTCGGTTGAGCGATCGATGAAGTCGAGCGAGTGGGCCAGCAGGTCTTTCTCGACCGTCCGCATCCGCTCGCGCGTCAGCGGGCCGGTGTCTTCGATCGTCTGCTTACCCACCTTCCCGAAGCGGGGGTCGACGGTCGGGTCTTCCCGGTCGGCCGCCTTGCAGTGGAGCACGCCGCGTGGCCCGAACTGCTCGTAGAACGTCTTGCCGTTGGGCAGCACCTTGTCCTTAGGGTACTGCGGGTCCTCCGGCTCTTCTTCTGCGTTGAGGTGGTAGAGGTTGCCGTAGAACTCGTCGAAGCCGTGGACGGTGGGCAGGTACTCGTTGCGGTCGCCCAGGTGGTTCTTGCCGATCTGAGCCGTGGCGTAGCCGTGCGGCTTGAGCAGCTCGGCGATCGTCGGGTCGCTGTCTTGAAGGCCCTGCTTCGCTCCGGGCATCCCGACCTTCAGTAGGCCGACGCGGAACGGGTGCTGACCCGTGATGAATGCCGCCCGACCGGCGGTGCAGCTCTGCTGGGCGTAGTAGTCGGTGAACCGGGCGCCCTCTTCTGCCACGCGGTCGATGTTGGGCGTGCGGCCCCCCATCATGCCTTGGTGGTAACAACTGAAGTTCGACCAGCCGATGTCGTCGCCCCAGATGACGAGGATGTTCGGCTTGTCGGCCGCGGAGCAGGCCAGAGGGAAGACGATGGCGCAGAACGCCATGATCTTCGTCGAGGGTCGGCGCATCGGAAGACCTCGTGGTGCGAGTCGGAGAAGAGAGGCGGCTGAGCACGCAACGCGTCGAAAGCTTAGCCGGGATGACCTGACTTGACCACTTATTCGGACCAATCGCGACAAGCGTGCTGCCGGTTCTGACGGCCGGCGAGAGTCGATTGGGAGTTCCGACTCCAGGGAGTCGAAGGCTCCTCTTGTACGGAAACGTTTTCTCAGTCCCCGCGCACGAGGCGCGATCATGGCGACGTCCAACCACGGGTGGATCGCGGCGCTGCTCTGCGGCGTGGCGTGTTGCGGCCAGGCGCAAACGACCCCGCTGACCGGCGACTGGTGTGGCAACCGCACCTGCTTGGCGGAAAACGGCGTGACGTTCGACCTGGACGTCGCCCACTTCTACCACGGCGTCTCCAGCGGTGGCGTCGAGCAGCGGTTTCGCTACGGCGGGCACGGCGACTACGTCACGAACCTCGACTTCGGCAAGCTCGGCGTCCAGGAGGGGCTGTTCCTGAAGCTGCGCGCGGAGCACCGCTTCGGAGAAAACGTCAACAGCAGCACCGGCGCCTTTCTGCCGGCTGCTGTCCTGGCGGACCTTCCGATCCGCGACGACGAGGAACTGCTCCTCACCAATGTGCTGTTCACCCAGGCCCTGTCGGAACGCTTCGCGGTCTTTTTCGGCAAGCTCGACACCCTCGACGGCGACCCGAACGCCTTCGCCCACGGACGCGGCAAGACGCAGTTCTCGAACATCGGCTTCGTGAGCAACCCGATCGCCCTGCGGACGATCCCATACTCGACGCTCGGCTGCGGCTTCTCGGTGCTCGGCGAAGGGGGCGAACCGCTCTTCACCTACACACTGCTCAACTCGACCGACACCGCCGACCGAGCGGGCTTCAACGAATTGTTCGAGAACGGGGTCTCGATGGCGGCCGAGCTCCGTCTGCCGACGCGGTTCTTCGATCGTCCGGGGCATCAGCTCTTCGCCGGCACCTGGAGCAGCCGCGACTTTGTGGGCCTCGATCAAGACCCGCGGATCATCCTCCCGAGTGTGCCGCTGAACCGAGTCGATGGATCGTGGTCGCTGTACTGGAACTTCGACCAGTACTTGTTCGTCGACCCGTGCAACGCGGCCCGGGGCTGGGGGCTCTTCGGTCGAGCCGCCGTTGCCGACAACGAGGCGAATCCGCTCGAGTGGTTCCTCAGCCTCGGTGTCGGCGGCCACAACCCGAAGCAGGGCCGCGAGGCGGACACGTTCGGCATGGGCTGGTTCCTGTCGGGCACGAGCAGCGAGATCGACCCGTTGATTGAGTTGGCGCTCGGCCCGCTGAACGACGGCCACGGCTTCGAGATGTTCTACAACTGGCAGGCGACGCCTTGGCTGAACATCACGCCCGACCTGCAGGTTCTCGTCCCCGCTCGTGAGAACGTCGACACGGCGCTCGTCCTTGGCGTCCGCGCCGTGATGCGGCTCTGATCCGCTAGGGCAAACGGCCCGAGGGCCCCGGCACGTGGCGAACGAACGCCTCAGCCGCGGCGCAGCCGGACTGGCTGCCTCGGAAGCGTTCCATCTCGATGTGGGCGGGCAGCACCTCCGACTCGATCGGCTGGCTGCGGTGGGCGAGGCACGCCCGGTGCTTCACGTCGAGCACCTCGCCGACGTCGACGAAGTCGGTCGGCGTGAACGACATGCTCTGCTCGCCCGTGAGCACTTCGTAAAAGTAGAGCGGCGCGTCGCGGGCCGTACGCGGCCACGCGTCGCAGGTAAGGGCCGAGCAAACGCGGTGGTCGCGGTGCGAGTCGATCGGCCAGTGGGTGAAGACGACCTCGGGCGTCACCTGTTCGAAGACCTCACACACGGCGGCGTACGCCGACGGGTCGATCCGCGCGAGTCCGTCGATCTGTCCGACGAAAGCCGTCTCGGCGCCGAGCAATTCGGCGGCGTCGCTCGCCTCGGCCCGCCGGATCGTCGCCGCTTCTTCGTGCGTCTTGCCGGGGATGCCCGCTTCGCCGGTTGTTAGGTAGGCCATCGTGACCCGATGACCCGCCGCCACGTAGCGCGCGATCGTTCCCCCGCAGCCGGTCTCCGGGTCGTCGGGGTGAGCGCCGAAGACAAGGACGTTCATGGCGTCGAAGCTCGCGAGGTTGGCTACTCCTCTTCCTGTTCCCGCATGACGTCGTTCAGGACGTCCTCCGAGACGTAGATCGGCAGCGGCGGGTCGCACGTCACCGCGACGGCGATCGCGTCGCTCGGCCGCGCGTCGATCTCAGTCAGTTCGCCCTCGTGCCGGACGCGCAGCTTCGCGTAGTAGACGTGATCACGCAGCTCGGTGATCACGACGTCTTGCAGTTCAGCGCCGAGACCCTCGACGACCGCGACCAGCAGGTCGTGCGTCAGCGGACGCGCGGTTTCCACCTGCTTCACGTGACGGTCGATGCTGGTCGCTTCGAACCAGCCGATAAGGATCGGAAAGGTCCGGTCTCCCTCGACTTCCTTGAGGTAGACCACCTGCTGGTCGTTGATCTCGCTGATGATGATCCGCGACAGCTCCATGGCGACCGGCATGGCGACTCTCCTTCCTTCTGCGGCGACCGGGTCGAACAAGGCGACAGTATAGCCGCTCGGACGATCGACGTAGCCGCTCGGTCGAGGTAGTCTCCGAGGGCTGCGCAACGGTCGAATCTCCCCTCGCAAAAAAACGAACGATGCGACGACTCAAACAGCGCTGGTTGCCCGTTCTGACGGCATGCTGCTTGGCTTGGGCTCCGTGCAACGCCGCCGACTGGCCGCAGTTCCGGGGCGAGCAGGGCAGCGGCGTCGCCGACGCCGCCGGGCACCCGAGCGAGTGGGGCGAGTCGCAGAACGTCGCTTGGGTGATCGACCTGCCGGGCGAAGCCTGGTCGGCCCCGATCGTGGTCGGCGACAGGCTGTTTCTAACGACGTCGACCGCGGTCGGCGACGGCTCGGGCCGACGGACCTACGAGGTCCATTGCCACGCCCTTGGCGACGGCGCATCGATCTGGAAGCAAACGGCGATCGAAGAGGTCCCGAGCCAGCCGACGCACCGCGACAACACCTTCGCCAGCGAGACGCCCGCCAGTGACGGCGAGCGGGTCTACGCCTACTTCGGCATGACGGGCCTGTTCTGCTACGACCTCGATGGCCGGCTCGTCTGGCAGAAGGACCTCGGCTCTTACCCGCTGCGTAACGACTGGGGCACGTCGAGCAGCCCCGTGGTGGTCGACGGGTTGGTCGTCGTTCAGATCGACAACGAGGAAGACTCTCACGTCGTCGCACTCGACGCGGCCAGCGGCGACGAGCGCTGGCGTGTTGAGCGTCCCGACGAGGTCACCAGTTGGAGCACGCCCCTCGTTTGGCGTAACTCCGAGCGGACCGAGTTGGTCTTCGGCGGCAAGACGGTCCGGTCGCACGACCCGGCGACCGGCGAGCAGCTCTGGTCGATGCCGATCGGGGGGCGCAGTTCCGCCACCGCCACGGCCGTCGGCGACGTGCTCTACATCGGCAGCGAGAATCGCACGCGCCGCGGCGGCACCCCCGGCGGGCTCTTCGCGGTTCGAGCGGGCGCGTCCGGAGAGATCGTGATCGGCGAACCGTCGGCCGAAGAACGCGGCCTGGAGTGGGCCAATGTCGAGGGCGCGATCGGCATCGCGTCGCCGCTGGTTTACGAAGGCCACATCTACGTGCCCGAACGCCGGGGCGGGATGCTGCGGGTGCACGACGCCGAGAATGGCGCGGAGGTCTACCGCAAGCGCTTGCCCGGCGGCGGCACGTTCTGGGCCTCTCCGTGGGCGGCCGGCGGCGAAGTCTACTGTTTGGACGAGCGCGGCAAAGCGTTCCGGCTCGCCCCGGGCGCGGAGTACGAGGTGATCGGCGAGAACGAACTGTCTGGCCGATTCTGGTCGACGCCCGCCGTGTCGGGCGGCACGCTGCTCGTCCGCAGCGCCGATCGGCTCTTCGCGATCCGTGCCGTCGCCGACGGCGGCTGACAGCCGCCGCGTAGGCCCGAGAGCCCTGCGGCGTCAGCCTAAGAGCGTCGTCGCGAGCACCGTCACGACGACCACGCCGAGCAGATTCAGCACAAAGCCCTCGCGCGCCATGTCGCGAGTCTCGACCCCCGCTCCGTAGACGGCGGCGTTCGGCACCGTCGCGACCGGCAGCATGAAGGCGAAGCTCGCGCTCACCGCGGCGGGGAACATCAACAGACTCGGCTCGATGCCGGTCGCTTGCGACATCGCCCCCAGCAGCGGCATCAACAGCGCGGTGGTCGCCGTGTTGCTCGTCACTTCCGTGAGGAACGTGACCGCTAGGCACAGCCCGGCGATCAGCACCGGCGTGGGCATCGTCGCCAGGAACCCGAGCGCCTCGCCGATCGCGTCGCTCAAGCCCGAAGCGTTGAAGCCGCGGGCGAGCACCATGCCGCCGCTAAACAGCAAGAGCATCCCCCACGGGATCCGCACCGCCGTCGGCCAGTCGAGCAGGCGAGGCGCCTGCGTCTCGTGGTCACCGGGCGGGTCGCCGCTGGGGATCAGGAACATCGCCACGACGGCCAGGAAGGCGACGCACGCGTCGTTCGCGCCGGGCAGGTCGAGCCACTCGCTCCAGCCGCCGAACGGTTCTTTGCGGGTGACCCAAAGCAGCGCCGTCGCCGCGAACACGGAGATGGTGCGCACTTCGGCTGGGCGCCACTTCCCAACCGCCGGGAGGTCGACTGCCGCCGGTCCGCCCTGGCCCCTTGTGAGCCACGCCGCGATGACCGGCAGCATGCAGGCGGCGACGGGCACGCCCCACTTCATCCAGCCGAGGAACGTCGGCTCGCTGCCGGTGACGCGGGCGTACTCCTGCATGCAAATCAGGTTCGGCGGCGTGCCGATCGGCGTCGCGACGCCGCCGACGCTCGCCGCGTAGGCGATCCCGAGCAGCAGCGCCAGCCGCAGCCGCCGGTCGGTGCTGCGTTCGAGCGTCGCGCCGGCGATCGGCAGCAGCATGAGCGTCGTCGCCGCGTTGGAAACCCACATGCTGCACAGCGCCGCCGCGGCCATGAACCCGATGATCAGCCGCCGGCCGCTCGGCGGCGGTTCGTCGGCCGCTTCCGCGGTCCAGAGCGCGCTGGGCCCGCGAGCGCACAGGCGGACCATGCCGAGGGCGAGCCGCCGGTGGGCGCCGCTCCGTTCCAGGGCGGTCGACAGAATGAAGCCGCCCATCAGCAGCAAGATGAGCGGGTGACCGTACGCCTCGCCGACTTCTTTCGCGGAGACGACTCCCAGGACGGGGAACAACGCCATCGGCAGCAGCGACGTCGCCGGAATCGGGATCGGCTCCAGGACCCACCAGACGGCGCACAGCACGGCGACGGCCGCGGTCCACGCGGCCTGCGACTCCAGGCCCAACGCGCCGAGTCCGTAGGCGGCCGCGATCGCCGCGGTCGGTCCGAGCCAGAGCGAGGCTTGCTTCATCCGGCGGTTGGCAGCGAGCAGAGAAGGGGCGTCCCGTGGCGAGGTCCCCACTCTAAAGCGCCGGCGGTCGTTGAGCACGGCCAACCTTCGGCTATTCTGTCCGCACCCACCCGCGCCTCGGTTCCCCGACTGCGAGCGATGACCGAACCCCCCGCGAATCGCCCGCCGGTAGCCGAACCGCTTCTGCCACCAGGCTGGGGCGTGCCCGAAGAGCTCCGCTCACGGCTCGGCGACGAAGCCGGCAAGCAGCGGCTCTTGGAGACCGACGGCCACCTGCTGCTCGTCCTGCACGCGCCGCCGCGCCCGGGAGAGTCGTTCCGCCGTGGCCGGCTCTACTGGCGCACACCCGAGGGGCTCTGGAAGCCGCAGTCGCTGCGGCACCACGAGCACGCGATCGACGAGCTGCTCGGCGAGTACGAAGAGCGGGCCGCCGAGATCGAGGCGACCGTCGAGTCGGCCGGCGAAGCGCGCGACTACTTTGAAGCGCTCACGGCGTTGACGCCGTTGGTCCGCGCCGCGCGCAACGTGTACGCGGTGCTGAAAGAGGCTCGCCAAGCGGCGCGCGGCGACCGCAAGCTGATCTTGCTCCGCGATCGGGGGTACGCCCTGACGCGTCGCCTGGAGCTCTTGCAGCAAGACGCCAAGAACACGCTCGACTTCGTCATCGCCCGTCGGGCCGAGGAGCAGGCCGAGGCCTCTCGTCACCAAGCGCGAGCGGCGCACCGACTCAACGTGTTGGCGGCCCTGTTCTTCCCGGTCGCGACGCTGACCGCGATCTTCGGCATGGAACTCGGCCACGGCCTCGAAGGGATCGACGCCTCGAGCGCGCCGGTCCCGATGCTCGTCGTGCTCGGCGTCGGGCTCGTGCTGGGCGCGATCCTGGCCGTCGTGGTCACGCGAAAGTGAACGCCTGGCGAGACGCTATCGAACGCGTCAGCGGCCTTGCCGCTGCTCCTCGCGGAGGTTGCCGTCCCGGTCGTAGCGGACGGACGACATGTAGATGGCGATGACCACCAACGCCGGCAGAAACGCCAGGTAGAGCCACCAGCCCGTCAGGTACGCCATCAAGAGCGTCATCAAGGCGGCGCCGCCGAAGACCCACCAGGTGTCTCGGAGGAAGATCGAGAGGCCTTTCACGTCGGTTCCTGCTGGCGGATCATGAAGCCGCGTCGACCGCGGCGCTGCCCCGCCGATCTTATCGGCCACTCCGAGTCGAGAACACCACGCGATGCGCGCCGTCGTTTACCACGCCTTCGGTGAGCCACCTGAAGTGGCGACGGTCGCCGACCCGTCACCGCCTGAGGGCGGCGCGGTGATCCGCGTCGAGGCGACTGGCCTCTGCCGCAGCGACTGGCACGGTTGGCAAGGGCACGACCCCGACATCCGCTCCCTGCCGCACGTCCCCGGGCACGAGCTGGCGGGCGAGGTGGTCGCTGTCGGCGCTGGCGTCAACCGCTGGAGCGGGGGCGAACGCGTGACGATGCCGTTCGTCGCCGGCTGTGGCGAGTGCTCAACGTGTGATCGTGGTGACCACCACGTCTGCCCCGAGCAGTTCCAGCCGGGGTTCACCGCGTGGGGCTCGTACGCCGAGTACGTCGCCATTCGCTATGCGGACGAAAACCTCGTTGCGCTGCCCACAGGCATGACGAGCGTCACCGCCGCGAGCCTCGGCTGCCGGCTGGCGACCGCCTACCGGGCCGTGGCCGTGCAGGCCGCGGTTCAGCCGGGTGACTGGCTGGCGGTCCACGGTTGCGGCGGCGTCGGGCTGTCGGCGGTGATGGTCGCCGCGGCGCTCGGCTGCCGACCGATCGCGATCGACGTCCGCCCCGAGCCGCTTCGGCTCGCCGAGGAACTCGGGGCCTTCGCCACGATCAACGCGGCGGACACGCCCGACGTCGCCGCGGCGGTGTTCGACCTGACCGCCGGCGGCGCCGACGCGTCGATCGACGCGCTGGGCAGCCGCGTGACGTTCGCCAACTCCGTGGCTTCGCTCCGACGCCGCGGCCGCCACGTGCAGGTTGGGCTGCTGGCCGGCGGAGACGCCGACCCACCGACGGCGATGGGTCGCGTCATCGGTTGGGAGCTCGAACTGGTCGGCAGCCACGGACTACAGGCGCACGCCTACCCAGACCTCTTAAGAATGGTCGCTGAGGAGAAGCTCTGCCCCGAGCGGTTGCTCGACCGGACGATCGGTCTCGACGAGGCGCCCGCCGCGTTGGCGGCTCTGGGTGACTACCGCGGCGCGGGGGTGACCGTGATCGATCTCGACGGCGCGTAGTCCGGCGAGCACCCACCGTCGAGCAGCCCCGACCAAGCTTGGTCGGGGCTATTGAGGGTCATGCAAGCTTATCGAGTCGCTTACGCAACTCCTCGCGCCAGCTCTCGGCCAGCACACCGACTGCCGCGAGCGCCGCCGCCTGGTCGCGGTCTTGCTTGCGGTGGTGCATCACCTCGTTCGCCCGCGCGATCGTCCATTCGGGGAGCGGCCGCTCGACACGCTCGATCGGCTGACCCGCCTCGACCGTGCCTTCTCGAACCACCCGCAGGTACCAACCGGTATAGCCGGTCTCCTGCACGCGGAGCGTCAGGTCCTTCGTCTTCCAACGACGTGCCAGCTTCCAGCACGGCTGCCGCGGCTGGGAGACCTCGAACGCCGCTTCGCCGATCCGCCAGACGTCGCCGAGGCAGACGTCGTCCTCCGTCAGGCCGCCGACGGTGAAGTTCTCGCCGAACGCCGCGCCGCCGAACTCGGCCCCAACGCCCAGGTCTTCGCGCCAGTGCGGGAACCGGTCGGCCGAGTAGACGCAGACCGCCTTGTCCGGTCCGCCGTGGTAACGCAGATCCGCTTGGCCGTCGCCCTCGAGGCCCAGCTCACGCGCGACGATCGGTCCATCGACCGGCTGCTTGTAGAACGCGGTGCGCCACGGCTTGTCGCTCGTGTCGCCCTCGACCGCTTCGTAGTCCGTGGGCTGGCCGATCTGGATCGAAACAAGGGACGTCATGCGGGGCAACCTACCACATCGTGCGGTGGTTTGACCGGACGTCACGCGCACGAAAAAACCGCGTCGGGCCAGCGGCCCGACGCGGTCGTTGGTTTTCTACGCGCGACTCCGCGTGCCTCAGCGACGACGCAGGGCCAGCGGCGCCAGACCGAAGACGGCCAGCAGGGCGGTCGTCGGCTCGGGGACGCCGGCGTTCGCGTAGGCGTCGTCGACGAAGATCTCCTGCGGCGGGGCCGCGCCGAAGCTCTGGATCGCGAAGACGACGCGAGCGGTGTCCGCCCCCGCCGGGACGACGTCGGTGAATCCGATGAGCTCGTACTCCGAGCCCAACGATGCCGGGACGAAGTTGGCAGTCCGCGAGACCTCGAAGTCGCCAACCGAGTCACGGTACTCGATACGCATCTCGATACCGGCGCCGTTGGAGCCCGAGGTGTCCTTGGCCCAGACCGTCCATTCGGACGCCTCGCCAGCAATGGCGGGGATGTCTTGGAAGAAGCCGGCGAAGCCGTTGGCGTTCACCAGGTCCAACTCAGCGCTGTAAGTGTCGGTGCGCGGCATGGTGTCGGTGATCTCCGACGTGTTGCCAGCGGAGCCGTCCGCGAACGGCTGCCACTTGCCGACGCCGAGCCCGTCATCGACGAAGGCGCCTGACTCAAAGCCGGCGTCAGAGAGCATGTTAGCCGCGAAAACAGATTGCCCAGAAAAGGCGACGAGAGCGACCGCGAGGCCGCAGGTAACAAGGTGCTTCATCACGAGGCTTCCTCAGAGTGAAGGGGAGGGGATGCAAAAATTGCTGAGACGAGAGGTCCGCCTGCGCCGGCGCGCGAATCGCTGGCACCCCCTCAGAATAGGAACCGCCTAAGCGGATCGTCAATCAATTACCGCTGTTAGTCAGCGGCTTTTTTGGGGTAACAGTTTCAATTCGCCTGGCGCTCGGCTTTTGGGACCGAATCGGCCTTAGCCGCCGAGCAAAGAAACTGTTGCAGAACCAAGGTCGGACTGCCTCATGAGCGACTCGCCGACCAGCATCGCGTCGATTCCCGCCCCTCGGAGGCGCTCCGCGTCGGCGTGGGTCTTCACGCCGCTCTCGCCGACGAAAACGACCTCCGGCGGGACGTCGCCCCGCAGCCGGATGCAGTGGTCCAGGTCGACCGTCATCGTGTGCAGGTCGCGGTTGTTGACGCCGACCAGCCGCGGCTCGCAGGCGAGCACCGCCGGCAGGTTGGCCGGGTCGTACAGCTCCACGAGCGGCGTCATGCCGAGCCCGACGATCGTGGCGTGCAGGTCGGTCAGCTCCGATGGCGTCAGGCACTCGGCGATGAGCAGCACCGCGTCGGCCCCGGCGACCCGCGCCTCGACCACCTGGTGCTCGTCGATGACGAAGTCCTTCCGCAGCACCGGCAAGCCAATCGCTTCCCGGATCTGCGACAGGTACTGGAGCGAGCCTTGGAAGTGCGGCTCGTCCGTGAGCACGCTGACGCAGCTAGCCCCGCTGGCTTCGTAGGTCTTCGCGATCGTGACCGGGTCGAAGTCAGCCCGGATCAGCCCGGCGGACGGGCTCGCCTTCTTCACCTCGGCGATCAGCTTGATCGGCCCGCCGCCAGACGGCCGGTCGGCTGCTAGCGGCGCCAGGAAGTCCCGCACCGGCTGCGCGTCGGCCACGGCGGCGCGCAGCTCGGCGATCGGCCGCTCCGCCTTGGCGCGGGCGACCTCCTCGCGTTTCACGGCGACGATCTTGTCGAGGACGGTGGGCACGGGGGCGGAAAGGGAAAGCGGAAAGCGGGGGCGAGAGGGCGCCTGCGTGGCCCTGATCGCCGTTCCGCCGGGGCGGTAGACTCCCTAGTATCCGCGGCCGGCGTAGCGCCCGCTAGCGGACCCACCTGGCCATCCGCTTCCCCCCTTCCGCTCTCCGCTTTCGCATGTCCCCTCCCGCTCGCAGCGACGACGCCACGCGCACCGAGCGCGACACGATGGGCGAGATGCAGGTGCCGGCCGACGCCCTCTACGGCGCGTCGACCGCCCGGGCGGTCGAGAACTTCCCGATCGCCAAGCGGCCGCTGCCGCCGGCGGTGATCCACGCGTTCGGCCACCTGAAGGCGGCCTGCGCTCAGGCGAACAAGGACCTCGGGAAGCTCGACGGCAAGATCGCCGACGCGATCATCGCCGCCGCCGACGAGGTCGCCCGCGGCGAGCACGACGAGCACTTCCCGGTCGACGTCTACCAGACCGGGTCGGGCACCAGCACAAACATGAACGCCAACGAGGTGATCGCCTCGCTGGCGAACGACAAGCTCGGCCTCGGCCGCACGACGAAGGCCGACGGGGGCGTCCACCCCAACGACCACGTCAACATGGGGCAGTCGTCCAACGACACCTTCCCCACGGCGATGTGCATCGCGGCCACGGTCGTCGCCGGCCCGTTGCAGGCGGCGCTGGAGCGTCTCGAAGAGGCGCTCACCGCGAAGGCCGACGCGTGGGACGGCGTCGTCAAGATCGGCCGCACCCACCTCATGGACGCGACGCCAATCCGCGTCGGACAGGCCTTTGCCGGATACGCCTCGCAGATCGCCGGAGCGACCGAGCACGCCGCGATGCTTCGGATGGTCGTTCGTTCCAACCTGCCGATCGGTGGCACCGCCGTCGGAACCGGAATCAACACCCACCCTGAGTTCGCGACGCGTGTCGCGGCCGCACTCACAGCTAGACTCGGCGGGGCGACGCAATCGGATGAGCCCGAAGAGCACAGCGGTTTCCTCGAAGCGGCGCAACACGCCGAGGCGCAGGCGGCGAAAGACGACTTCGTTGAGGCGCACTCTAGTCTCAAGACGATCGCCGTCTCCCTCTCGAAGATCGCGAACGACATCCGGCACCTCGGCAGCGGGCCGCGGTGCGGCATCGGCGAGC